CCTGCTCATGGATCAGTCAGTGTGTCCCCACGGAAGATAGCTTATTGTGCGCAGAAGCCGTGGCTGCCCAACGAGACTATCAGGAAGGTAATCTTCGGCGCTACCGAGTTCAAGTCTCTAGATAGTGAGAAGTGGTATCATGAGGTCACAGAGATGTGCTGTCTCACCCATGACTTCGACTCCCTTTCTGATGGAGATCAGACCATGTGTGGTAGTGGCGGACTTAATCTGTCCGGTGGACAGAGACAACGAGTGGTATGCTTGCTGCATCTCCTCCCCACTGCTTAAGCTAACTTTTCTCCAGGCCCTTGCACGCGCACTTTTTGCCAAATGCGATCTACTTCTATTAGACGACACCTTCAGCGGCCTTGATGGGGAGACGGAGCAAAGGGTGTTTGATAACATCTTTGGGCCACAAGGACTTATCAGGACATCGAATACGACTGCTGTTCTTGTCTCAAACTCAGGTACACTACCCATAACTTCTTCAGGAGTCCAATTACTGACTGCAGGACAGCTCAATACTTCCGATCTGCGGATCACATCGTGGTTCTCGGTGAGCATCGAATCGTAGACCAGGGACGCTGGGAGAATCTGAAGATCAAAGCTGCATCCATCGAGAAGTTTTCAGGCAGTCAAAACACGCGAAACAATGCTATTATGACCGCCAAATTCGAGAAGCTTGGCGCCCAAATGCGAGCCACGGCTGAGACGGAGTTAGATCTTGCGAGACAGACTGGGGACCCCGCTCTTTACGGTACGGGTACGCCTCGCAAAGCAGTACATCACTGACGTGGACACAGCATACTCTCTGAGATTCATCGATGCCATCAACCTCGCTCTGCTGATTGCCACGAGCGCATCATACAGCATCTTCATCACCATCCCGCAATACTGGTTGAGATTGTGGACCGAGTCCAATGGCAGAAATACCGCATTCTATTTGTGTGGATTTCTGTTTCTGTCGACTATGTCGTGGATGTCGACTAGTGTCATGATGGGGTACGTCTATCTTTGCTTCGAAGATGCTGTTTTAGTGTTGATAATCAAAAGAATTCTCGTGATTCGGATTGCACCACAGTCTGGGAAACGGCTGCATCAGCGTCTTCTGGATATAGTCGCAAAGTCAGTAGCATCAGTTCTCACTTTTTGAGATGAGACATAGCAGGCGATACTAAGCATCTTCCAGCGCACCTTTGTCCTACTTCTCCAAGACCGACAACGGTTCAACCTTGAACAGGTATGATTTAGCTTCCGTGGGTATCGATCAATATATGTTGACGCCTACCAGATTCAGCCAAGACATCCAGCTCATCGACAAGCAACTTCCCACAGCCTTTCAGACTGTCATGACTCGTAAGCCGCCAGCCTCTGACTTCAGAATATTCCGAGCTAACAATCCAGCAGAAATATTCAAACTCCTGATGCAAATCACCCTACTCTGCATCGCCGACAAATGGCTCGCGGTATCCCTACCAGCGTGCGGGCTTCTCGTCTACTTCGTACAGAAAGTCTATCTCCGGACCTCCCGACAACTCCGCTTGCTGGAGCTGGAATCACGGGCGGGTGTCTTCTCCAGCTTCCTGGAATCAGTACGTATACCCCCCGCTCTAAAGACGATGCATTTCTCTAACCCAGGGAACAGATCGACGGGCTCGAAACCATCCGCGCGTACGGCTGGTCCAACGCCGCCATTCAAAATAACATTCAGCACCTGGACCACGCGCAGCGGCCGGAATACCTCCTCCTGTGTCTGCGGCGATGGCTGAACCTTGTCCTGGACTTGCTGGCTGCTGCCCTAGCCACGATCGTCGTGGCTACGGCAGTCGCATTGCGCGGACAAGTGAGCGGCGCGCAGGTCGGCATCGCACTGAACGTAATGCTCGTGACGAACACCACGCTGCTCAGTCTTGTGGTCAACTGGACTAACCTGGAAACCTCCCTGGGCGCGATCGCGAGGTTGAAAACGCTGGAGGAGTTCACGCCGACCGAGGGCGGGAAGGCGGGGGGCCTTGATCCGCCAGCCCAGTGGCCTTCCAAGGGGGAAATACAATTCGACAATGTCACTGCGTCGTATCAGTATGTGTTTACCGCAATATACTCGTCAAAGTTGCCAATTAACCCAATGTCAGTACGCAGGCCAACGCTTTTGCGCTCCGGAATCTGAGTCTGAGGATTCCCGCCGGCCAGAAGCTCGTTGTCTGCGGCCGGACAGGGAGGCAAGTCACCCCTTTTCCCCCCATTAATATGCATCCCGCTGACGTACATGATTGAATGACAGCGGAAAGAGCACATTGCTCCTCACCCTCCTGCGACTCCTGGAACTTCAATCCGGCAGCATCAAGCTCGACGGTCTCAACATAAAACAGGTGCGACTCGATCTCCTCCGCCAGCGCGGCTTCATCGCCGTCTCGCAGGACGCTCTCCTCTTTCCCCACGAGACGCTGCGCTTCAACCTCGACCCCGACTCCGCCGCATCAGACGAGATTCTTGCCGTTGCATTGGAGAAAGCGGGCCTGTGGAAGCATTTTTCCGCTGTCGAGACGCGCGGCGCAGACGATTCGTTCGCAACTGTCATCGACATCCTGGAAGACAGCAGTGAGCACCCCGTGCTGGACAGGAAAGTCTCGTCATTCTCGGAGCTTTCCGTCGGACAGTGCCAGCTGTTTGCGCTATGCCGTGCGCTGATCAAGGCGCAAGTGCTGCGGGGACGTGGTGTCAAACCCGTGGTTGTGCTGGATGAAGTCACTTCGGCGCTCGATGCGGAGACGGAGACGACGATTCACCGGATTATCGACGAGGAGTTTACGCAGGAGGGACATACTGTTATCGTGGTGGCGCATAGAGATGGGGGGCTGGTGGAGCAACTCATCCCGGGAAGGGATGCTGTTGCCGTCATGGCGGATGGCAAATTACTGGATGTTGCGGAGGATTTTGCATCAAATGGTGTCTCGCAGATTGGACAGGTGGAGTAAATGGAAATTCGAGTAGTTGAACATGAAGAGCAGGATTGATATTGTGGGGTCTAGTAGACAGTGTGTAACCACAATTTCAGTCCCCGAATCATTCCCTTCTAATAGCCCTAATCCTAACAGCAGAGACCCCAACGAGCGCCAGCGCGTAGAACCCGGCAGCAACCAAGAAGGGCAAACCCACCCAGACCTCGCCCAGCACCATTCCGAGATGGAACATGCCCGCGAGAAGAGGGCCCGCTATCAACATGCCGACTGAACTCACCACCCCGATCAGGGTGTAGACGGTGCTCAGCGACGAGGCTCCACGAGCGATGCCACTGGGGTACAAGCGGTCACGAGGAAGGAGGACCATAAGCTAAAATGATGATCCCCAGACCGAGGAGCGGCAACGTCGGCGCAAGGAAGATTACGAGACTGCCCAGCGTCATCAGTAGCATGTTGAGCTGGGTGAGGCGCTTATCGCACACAGCGGTCGGCGACTCGAACCTGCGATCGAGGTAATACGTCACAGCGGGGAGTCACTCGTTGAAGACATAGTGATGGTAACAGTTAATCCCAAACGGTATTTAGCAGTAAGCCTTACGCAGGGATGCAGATAAAAGCTGCAAGCCCGATTGACCTCTGTTGTTGCCTGCCTGCAGTGCTGTATGCGGATTGGACCATCAATTCAGCCATGTTTCATCCACAATGACAGTACAGCTGCCTGGGCTAGACTGTCATATTGTTGAAATAGATGCACGGGCATGTTGGCGTGATCGCCCTAATGGTTACAAGTTTAAGCACTAGTGAAGAAGCTTCTCCCCCATTGGAATCTATTCTCCGTCTACCAAGTCTCCCCACTTTCATGAAAGCTTCGAAGACTCATTGGACAGTATATCTCCTACATCTTATCCTCTGATGCTTTCCATCACTATATCTATGCAAGGCTGAGAAGTTGAGATACATATTAGACAATATAGAACGAACTATTGCCAATATAGTGATCAATCGTGCTTATATGTCGACCTACATACCACCTTCTGAAAGTACCCAGGCCATCCCTTTAACAAGCTCTAAATCCAGGGCCGATGATGGCTCCTGGCTCTCGCTTCTCCAGTCTCGGCCGAGCTCGCTAACAAAACATCGTTTCCCATAGCATAGCAGAGCGCATGTTTGACTTACTTCGTCCCACAGTTTAAGATAAAAGATAAGACACTAGAGTCACGGAGATTGTAACACTAAGAGTCCCAGATTCACCGCGTAATTTGATGCGTATCTTGGTACCTAGGGTCAATTAGTATATATGGCCGTACTCTAGGCGAAGAGACAAGCCTAAGGTGCCGAGGGCAGCCGAAGATAGATTCTGAGCTGCCGACAATCGTGATTGACGTAAATTGGCGACGACAAGGGATCGCGTTTGACGACTATCGACAGCGTGGGTGAAAGCTAGGCAGACAGTAGGGCTTCCCCAATCGAGACTACAGCCCGATTTTAACAACTTTCTCAGCAATTCACGTTGCATCCCGTTACGCCGGACCTAAATTATTCAAGGTAGATGGGATGGTAATACGTTTTTTTGAAGACTGCTCATACTAGTGTACATGGAAAAGAACAATGAAAAAGCAAGCGAAACCAATCAACTAGCTACACCGCTTTGGTCATCTCGCTGTCTATCTTTAAATGGCTTCTAATATGTCTATGTTCATGTTATCTTCCAGCATCCCACACGAGCACTCATCGTGTGCCCCCTCACATTAAAAGCATATGGAACTGACCCGGGAGAGCTTGTTAGACTTGAAGTCATCCGGAATGGTTACATTTACGAGGATCTTTCGATCCTCACCCAAGTGCAAAGAAAATATTTAGCTGTGATACAGGTAGCCACGTGACCATCATGAAGTTTTTGTAAGAGTTTCGAATTGTATAGACGTTGACTAGTAAGGGCATAAGTCGAAAGATGTACAATAAATCGGCTACTTCTGACGCTATGTCTGTTCGAACTTTTGCTTGACGAGAGCAGCAAAGTTATCCCCCTATTTTGTCGCAATGGCATCTGGCGGTATGGAATCTGAGCGAATCCGATCCACTAAATACTCCACCACACTGAAGACAGGGCTGACGCCGGTGCGTATCGGTTTCGTGAATCGTTCGAGCGGCTCTTGTCGGAAGCCACATCCTACACCACTGGCATTGGGAAGGGCATTTGTCATGCCTAGTCCTAAGATGGTAGCTGAGACCAGTATCCCAAAAGTACCACGAAGGGCAGTGTGGGCATTGGTGGTAGAAGTGGCTGCTCTGGTGGTGCCGCTCAATCTCGACTTTGCTGCCAAATCGCATGTCACATGGCACATCTCCCGGGCCGGGTACTTCGCAAATGAACTGTTCGTGTTCGTCAGATGGTTCCAGTCGATAGCACATGGGAACATGAGGACCAACTTGCCGGTAGCCCCGCTGCACCTCTGGGGCGACGGGTGGGTTATGCTGCTCTGGCAGATCAAGACCTTCGTCCACATCGTCCCCATCGGGCCCGTTCTCTTCGCCGCAATGCCCAGTGCAACAGAGCTCGCTGCGCAGAAACCAAAGGGCTCTGCATTTCGTGCAGCCAAATCTGGTGGGAAGACCAATGGCATCGATTCTGGCTGCGAAACAACGCATTCGTCATGGTGCATCTCGCCACACCTCGAGCACCGCCACAATAAAGTGCCCTGAACCGGATGCTGGTGCTCGTGACATATCTCGCATTTCAAATCGCTGTACCCATCCATGTCTGAGGGCACGGATTCTACGACCACCTCCTGCTGTCTCCGTTCCTCTAGTGACAACATTTCTAAACGGACTTTGCTCTCCGGGTGTTAACTGCCCTTATATGTTTGGTGCGATAGAGGACCCAGGTGGGGATCTTGGTGAATGTCGAGTTGATTGACTACGCGCAGTTTTCGAGTTGCGACTATTGGCTAAATCGTCACAGCCTGATAATTTGGGTCATTTATATACACCTGCAGAGCCCAGAACGCAGAGCATAAACAGGAGAGATGATCCCCTTGTTGAAATCTGAACAAAGTATTTGTGCTTCTTTGTATAATTCCGTCGTGTCTTTTATTTGTTGTCTGGTCGGGGTAGGCTGCATGGCGCCTACCTTGTATTCTTTATTTCCAAGAGATCTTCCCACTGAAGCTCGAATTGGTTATCTGATGTGAGGTTGTGTATGGTGGTCTTTGTCGCTGAGTGTGTACGGATAGCCCTACTTTTCACCTTCGTGTTTGTACAGTCCGCGGTAACCGGATCGTCGGTACGGGCAACTCAAGTCTAGTAAGACCGATACAACAAATCTTAGGCTTTTGATGACCTGGTATCTCAGCGACTAGTCAGATATGTTTCCACGAGCGCAGAATAATATTTTGTGGTGAGTGTAACCAAGCAATTCATCCAAAAATTGCATGCCAAGTTCCCAACGCGCCCTCATCTTTTGTTACGTTTGCAAAGAATCCTCCGTCTGACAACAGTCTAAGACGACGGTACTGCTCTCGAGCCTATGCTAAGCATTTGTGAATTGTCTGCCGCAATCAAGCTTGCGTGATGGGCCACTAATGCAGGTCAAGTGGAGATGGTCTCAGCACTCAAAGCGGGCCATGTCCCTGATAGGCGAATCAGCACGGCAAGGTTCTTATCGTATCCTCACCAAGTGACTAAAACGGCATATTGAGCTATATTCAATCAAGGCGCTAGATGAACCCTTCCGCAGGACCGATGTCACCTCCGTCGGAGGAAACGGAGATTGACCGGCCCACTGAGCCCAGATGACGAGATTATAAATGCTCCCATCGGACTGCCACTGCTTCATCTCCGCGGTCAGGCTGCAAGTCAAAATGATTTTTCTGTCCTCCTTCGTCGCATTGTCCTTGGCGGCATTGTCGGGGGCCCTCCCAGCATCCGATCATGTCGTCCATGAAAAGCGCAGTAGCGCCTCGACCCTGTGGCAGAAGGCTGCTCGTGTGAACGGGACCGAGAACGTGATTGTGCGAATCGGGTTGACTCAAAACAACCTCGACCGCGGGTATGAATACTTGATGGATGTGTATGTGGTCCTTTTCCCGAGCGTATATCGATCGCAACTAACGAGATACAACAGATCGGACTCAGTTTCTCCTAACTACGGAAAGTTCTGGACGCCAGAGAAAGTGGCCGAGGCTTTTGCTCCCTCGAATGAAACCGTCACTGCTGTGAGGCAATGGCTCATCGAAGCCGGGGTTGACAGCTCTCGGCTTTCCCAGACAAAGAACAAGGCTTGGATTGTTTTCAACGCGACGACTGCGGAGGCAGAGACTCTCCTCCACACCCAGTACTATCATTACAAGAACGCGGTCACTGGTTCGACCGCCATTGCTACCGATCAGTAAGCCTCTTTGGCTCTCCTACACGTGGAATCTGTATTGACAAAGTTAGATATCGTCTTCCCCAGTCTGTCACGCAGCACGTGGACTACATCAAGCCCGGTGTGATCCTGCCACTGACTTCACGAAAGCGACAGGCCGGCCGAAAGCCTCTGCGGTACCAGCCTGCCAAGAAAACTACCCCAAACCCTTCCTCGCTTGCCACCTGCGATGAAGCCATTACCCCTGCTTGCGTGGCGGCATTGTACAAGATTCCTGCGGCAAGCAGAGATGTGAGCGCCAATAACTCACTCGGGATCTTCGAGGAGGGCGACTACTACGCCCAAGAGGATTTGGATTTGTTTTTCAAGAACTTCACACGCTGGATTCCCAGTGGCACGCATCCCAAGCCTGCATTTATCGACGGGGCCGAGGCTCCTGTTCCGGTTGATGAGGCCGGAGCAGAGTCGGATCTGGACTTTCAGCTGGCATACCCCATTGTTTACCCCCAGGAAATCACATTGTTCCAGAATGATGACTACAACTACGCCAGTGAAGAGATCTACACCTCCGGGTTCTTCAACACCTTTCTCGATGCGCTTGATGGGGTAAGTGCCCTTCCCTCCCCAAGGCATATCGCGCTAACTGAGGTCTCTCAGTCTTACTGTACCTACTGTGCGGACGGCGAATGCGGCGATGCATCGGGCCTTGACCCCGTCTACCCCGACACAAACCAAGGAGGGTACACCGGACAGCTGATGTGCGGTACCTACAAGCCCACCAACGTTATCTCTATCTCCTACGGCCTGCAGGAAGACGATCTTCCGGAGTATTATCAGAAGCGTCAGTGCAACGAGTATGAATAAACCCCTCCTCCTTGACAGTCACGAATCTAATATCCTAGGTTCCTCAAACTCGGTCTTCAGGGTACTTCTATCCTGATCGCCTCCGGCGACGACGGCGTCGCGGGCCCGCCAGGCGATTATACCGACGATGGCTGTCTTGGAAACGGAACAATCTTTAGCCCCGCGTTCCCCAACAGGTGGGTATCGGTTACCTTCCACTAAGCTATTGCATGCTAAGGAGCACAGCTGCCCGTGGGTCACCAACGTTGGTGCGACAAAGCTTTACCCAGGGTACACTGTCGCAGAAGGTGAGAGTGCCGCCTACGACCCGATCGGCGACCCATACTCCATCGCGTACGCCTCCGGGGGCGGCTTCAGCAATATCTATCCCATCCCAAGCTATCAAGCGGCGGCCGTCGCTGAGTCAGTCGCCCTAATCTAACTACCAGCCCTACCTTCGAAACTAACCCAATGTACGCAGATACTTCAAAAATCACAACCCACCCTACCCATACTACAAGGGCGCAGCCAACATAGGCAAGAACGGCGGGCTCTACAACCGACTGGGCCGCGGATACCCCGACGTCGCCGCCAACGGTGACAACATCGCCATGTTCAATGCGGGCGAGTACATTCTGGAGGGCGGTACTAGTGCTAGTATGTTGCCCACTACCAACCTCCTCCTGGAACCCAGTTAGAAGACGATAGAACTGATCTATGTTCAGGTACCCCAATATTCTCTTCGGTGATCAACCGCATCATCGAGAAGCGCATTGCTGCCGGCAAGGGCCCTGTGGGATTCCTGAACCCGGTGCTCTATCGCAATGCGGATGCGCTGAACGATATCACCAACGGGACGAATCCCGGCTGCGGGACGGATGGATTCTCGACTGCTCCTGGGTATGTAGCCATCGCGTTTTTGCTCAATTTACAAGGTGATGCTAACGGTAAATTTGTAGATGGGACCCCGTGACGGGACTCGGAACACCGAACTTTCCTAAGTTGCTGGAGGTGTTTTTGAGTCTGCCGTAGCATGGAAATACCTACTATGGGGGAACTGAACGTACCAATGAGGGTAATTCATGTGGAGATCTGTGTCAACTCTATAGTCTGGTTGAGATAGATCAAGAATGCATGAGATGTCTCCCTGAAATACAACCTTCCGCTGTACATGTTCTATATGATAGGGTAAACTGATAACTGTTCATACAGTACAGTAGTTGAATCTTCTTCCCGCCGCACTTGATTGTACATACAGGCTTGGGTAAAACCTTACTTAAAGCCTACCAGATAGATCACATAAATTCCGAAACCTTGAAGATGTCCTAAACACTACTTATCGCCTAGTAGTGGTTATGAAGCACGCTCCAAGCCATACAACCGAAACAAATAAGACACACTGACAATTTTTCAGAAACCCCGCCACTGAACAACGGTAAGCGACTTCCACCCCCCGCCTCTGTTCTCCGGGTAGGGCGCCCAGTCTTCCAAGGTGCAGAGCACCTCGAAATCATTCTTCTCGAAAACGCGGAGACTCCCGACATTTTCGACAAACGCCGACGCCATGAGTCGCTTGGTGTTCATTCGCGGGACTCCCCAGTCCTGGATCAGCGTCCGCAGGACTAGAGTCATGATTCCTCGGCCGTGGTGGGATGGTGCCAGGAAGTCTGAAAACGAAAGCATAGTTAGACAACAAACCCCCAGAAGCAAACAACCAATGCAGTATGCAGATATCCGATGTACTTACAGCCAATCCCCCACGCAATCCCCTCGTCTCCCGGCGGCAACTCACTATTCAGACGCTGCGCCTCAGCTCGCTCCGGACTGTCATGGCGATACTCGTAGAACATGTACCGCGCGATCTCAATATCCCCAATCAAGACATCCTGTTTTGGATGGCCCGTCTGTGGGTCCTCTTCTATGACTTCCCGAATGACCGTAAAGGGACACAGGTCAAAGTGCTGTTGCTGCTGGACCGACGTCTCGAATTCGGCGCGTAAAGCCCGAAGGACGGGCTCAGCGGCCGCGCATTTGGATTTGACCCATTCTTCTTCATGCTCGCGGAGATAGGGGTACGGGGGGCCGGTAAGATTGAGGTAGATGCGCGGGTCATTGAGGAGTGGGACTTTGGCGGCGATGGTCTCCTTGAGTTGGTGCAGTCGGTGCGGGGTGAGGATGATATGGCTGAGTGGTGCCGGGAGGCGCAGGTACGGCTCTTGCGTCTCGGGGTTGTAGAGGATGGGCATTTTGAGGGGCAGATTTGGATTTCGACTCTAGACCTGTATCTGTTTCTCTGGCGAGATCGCGGGGATTTAGAGGCTTATTTATAGATTCTGGGAGTGCTTGTCGTTCGCCCACGAAAGTGTTGCTAAGCTCACTTGAGCCTCCATGAGTCATTCCGAAGCCGATCCCGAGGCCGCCCCCTGCGATTCTGTTCCGCATCGCTGGATGAAGCAGGCTGCGTATAGGATTCTTTCATGTCAGCCATGTAGAACACCGGAAAAGCTCGATAGTGCAGAAAGCAGAACTCATAAAAAAGTCTAGTATTGTAGCATAGTGGGTAAGAAAAGTATTTTTAGTAGAAGACAGAAAGTCTGGAAATACAGTACTGCGCAGTCCATGATCTCCAAAATATGTTTCCGCTCAAGTGTGTACTGAGCCGAAGCCTTCGCGGGCATGAATTTCTCAGTCTGTCCCTATCATTGTTCCAGACTTATATATATGCCAGGAAAGGACCATAGTTACGTTCTGCATCACCCTCTAATCCACCTTTCCCCTCCACTAAGCATATACCCAAGGGGCAGGGGCCATCACGCAAGCCGCCATCACTGGTCATTCAGCTCGACTCAGAGTCCCCTATCACTCAATGGCCGTGCATCTAGTGGCGCTTACATTCAGGCTGATATCATCCGAACAAGGTAGCAGTGTCACGCTGAGAAAATCGAAGGGAATTTCAACTCGCCAACCCCAACCTCAACACAACACTTCCAGCCCAGCCATCCGCAGTCAGCGGGCAGGTGAAAGGACAATAACACATGATACGAGTGTCTGCATAAAACCTTTCAACATAATAAGATATATACACCCATATATACAACTGTCATCATGCAGATGAGACCTGTCTGTTACCTCGCATACCATAACTACCTTCTCGGCGTTCGAAGGAGAAAGTCCGATCAGAAACAGAACGCGAGACACCGTCATGGGAAGGGGGGGCGGCATACCAGACTGATTATAGCTTCTTCACCGCGACGGAATACGCTGTGAGCTTCCGATCGGTTTTAATGGCTTAGAAACGTGATGAATCTCTCTTACGCGGTGGGAGTGTAGAGATTGGCGCGCCTACTACGCCTATCCCATATTGGAAAAGGAGAACCGGAGTGTTGCACTGGTGACATGAAGGACAGTCTGTGAATGCATGCCATGAATTGTGGACGTTACGGTACACGTAAGGTAAACTAAGAGAGCCGATGCTGTGATCCGGCAAGAAATGTGCTTCGTTCTGGATGTTATTCCATTGCTGGCCGGAAAACTCCAGGTTCCGGCCCCAGGTTATGAAATTTGGAACAGGAGCTTGAGGAAATGAAATGGTTTCAAACTATGGTTCGAAATAGTACTATCGAGATTCTCAATTGCCATGAAAAATCCTGGGACGTTAAGCACAGTGGCACTATGTATCAGAGGCAAATACTTCTAAGAATGGATAAAGGTACGAATCCGAGTTTTCATACAGATTACTGCTCTCAAAATGATGCCGACGTACCCATACGCATGTTTGGATTCAATGTGCGATATGACTTCCTGCCCGTTGTGAGCTGTAATGGAGGAATTCAGGCCTGCGATGAAAGTGTAGCCCGGAGTCCCCGACCTGGAATGGGACACGAATTACTTAGTATTGAAAGAAGTGTTTGTCCCATGCGATGGATACACCTAGAACACCAGGACCGGCTCCGGGCTGTGAGCCCAATTGCCGGTATCATGATCCACATATGCTCAGCAAAGTGTTCTATATCACTTATTATACACAAAGACCCCAGCCGCGATCGGCATTTCACTCTGACTAGCGGTATAATATGTGAAATAGCGTACATTCAGAACTCATCATCACACGGAAGATAATTAAAGTCCGTTCCCTTCCCTTCACTCTACTTCCCATGGGAGGCAAGACTCTCATGCAACCTGCAGTCTGCATAACAGGATGCATTCAGCCAATTGTGCAAGCTTGAACCCTTTGTCAGACAATCGATTCACCAACAGATTCTTTGCATCGGACTCATGCACCTGAGAAACTGGTCTTGGCAGAGCGCTGGACAAAGAGACTGGCACGGGTACGGCCCGATTCCGCTCCAAGAAGGGCAAGTCTAATCGCCCTGGCCTGGGGTATAGTATTTTCTTGGCGACGCCAAGAGGGATAAAGGGCTTATGGTTGATTTTAATAGAGTGAAGCAATATTAGTATGCTTGGCGACTTGGAAATGGGTTCAATGTGAGTGGTAGGAAAGGACGCGCGTCCAAAGGCCCCACCGGAGTTAGACCCTGCCCTACCTTTTCCGAGCCAAGACGCTGACGACGACGTTTGTACCATCATGTCCCTCGCCTACAAACCGGTACGGAAAAGCGCCATCGATACTCATCTTCACTCATAGTTGGCGGAAAGAAGACAATGAAGATGTCTGATGCCGACGATGCACGATGATACTGGACCTTCCGTGAGAAGAGGAGAAGTATGAGAAGACGAGGTATAAAAGCGCGCGATGTCTCACTGGGTCTTGAGAAGAATCATCTCTAGCAACAACAGCAACAGCTCCTCCTGAGTAGAAGCTTGATACTTACCATTTCTTGTGCCTTCGCATCAATCATGGTCCTTTTCTCAAAGCTCGTTGTCCTAGGGATGGCCGCCGTCGCGGTGGCTCATCCCGGCCATGAGGACATTGGCTCCAATGTGGCACTGAAAAGGAGCTTCCTCCGTCACTCTCGCAACAGCTTGTCCAAGTGCGCGGAGAAAGCTGAGTTTCGTGCGCTGCAGGCTCGCGCGGCTGCTCGTCGCCGGGATATCGCAAGCAAGAAAGCCAAGAGAAGCGCAGACGAGGGTAAGTACTGCAACAGCAAGACAGCCGTTCTTCTCCACGAATGGTCCTAATACATGTAGTAGGCTTCCTTAAAGCCCGGGACCTTACAACTGTGATCAACACCTCTCATCTCTCCAGCCTAACCGGTGTAACCGCCGACTCGTCCGAAGACGTCTTCTTCTCAGACGATGTGTCCTGCATTCTGTCCCCGGAAGGCGAGGTTGGCCCCTTCTGGGTCAAGGGCGAGTACATCCGCTCCGACGTGACCGACGACGAGCCCGGGGTGTCCGTCGTGATGGACGCGCAGTTCATCGACATCGACACCTGCGAGCCGATCGAGAATCTGTACTTCGACGTCTGGAACTGCAACTCCACCGGCGTCTACTCCGGAGTCCAGGACAGCAGCAACGGGAACGGTAATGACGCCAGTAATCTGGACAACACTGCGCTGCGCGGCCTGCAGCCCACCGACGCGGACGGGGTGGCGCAGTTCACCACCATTTTCCCCGGCCATTACAACGGCCGCGCCACCCACGTGCATGTCATTGCCCACATTGGCGCGACCGTGCTGTCCAACGGGACCCTGACCGGCGGTAATATCGCCCATATCGGCCAGCTGTTCTACGACCAGGACCTCATTACCCAGGTGGAGGCGCTGTCTCCGTACAGTGAGAATACCGTGGCTATCACCCTCAACGCCAATGACCGGGTCCTGGCAGCCGAGACTGAGAACAGTGACTCGGATCCGGTGCTCGAGTACGTTCTCCTTGGGGATACTGTGGAGGATGGACTCTTTTCGTGGATCACCATTGGTATCGATACTTCTGCGAGCTACAGCGCGAGCTACGCGGCCACCTTGACTTCGTCTGGTGGTGTTTCGAGCTCCAACAGCGGTAGCAGTGGAAATAGTGGCAGCGGAAGTAGTGGAGGTAATGGCGGTAACGGCGCAAGTGGCCCCCACTAAAGGTCTCGAGTCATTGCAGCCTAGGCTGTGAAAGCAGGAAGGCAAGGACGGACGCATGAAGAGTACCATTCAATGGGGAAGGGTCGCGGCTGTGGCCGTACTTGGACGAAGGACTGGACTATCATCGCACAAGATACACGCTATGTTATTCGCTCGTTTTTAGTCCTGGATCCACGCGATTGATTTACAATCTACATATCAGTTGATTGCCATATCGACTCTTTTAACCTTCCTTTACATTTCCGAATAAACCAACGAGCCCTGAATGGCAGTCATTTTAAATAAGCAGCCACAATTATATGACGAGTCGAGAGTGCTAACATATATTTCAAAGCAGTCGACACAAGCGCCTCAAGGACCTGCACCCATACACCTATTTTCTCTAGCGCCGTTACCTTGCTCCGATACCAAAACCGCCACATTACAGATAGTACGCAATTATGTCTAGTTCTATCACGAATATAGAGTATATACGTAACCCCCAACTCCTCGCTTTACCACCATAGTTCAGGACTCCAGGCCTGAAGACAAATCTTGAACCCATTTTCTCCGGTCCACGACTCTTGCCGGCCGACATTGTCCCCATTCCTCGCCACCTGATGGGTCATCACTCCGCCGTCGTTGGCGTACGCGACCCGGATTGGTTAATGCAGTGGAATTTTCTGCGCATGTTGAAGGACGGGAATGACTGGCGTGAAAGCAGTGAAAACCCCAATGATATGAAGTCGAAAATGAACGAGACTGCAAGCTGAAGGATTTGATATTGATTGCGAGCAATGTAAATGAGATGATGGACCTAGTCTGGAGGTCCCTAGATATAGATACATGCAGTTGTTGCTCTACGCTACAGACCCTTGTTGGAGGGTATCATTCAGAATGGATGGTGAGATGGGCGTTGCCTGCATCTGAGAAGATTCCGAAAGGTGACAAGTAGACGGTTTTGATTATCATCCAGATGTGTTGATGTTTCTGATACCATCGACTAGGGGTGTGATGCGATGGTAACCTGATGCGGTTAGCAGGGGCGCCCCCATCCATACCACTTCCAACCTAGCGCTGACGACTAGAATGACTCAACGAACACCGACCCCCACGAGCTTAATTGTTATTTAAAGTATGCTGTGACTGTGTCAAATCCATCTCTCATAGTTTACTTCTCCATTGTTGACATCATATCTTTTTTGCACAATTTCACTGTGATCCAAACATGTCGTTACCCACAGATCCCGTCCACTGGACCCGAGGTGAATTCCTCATCTCCACCGATAAGAGATACCTCTCGCCCACGGCCATCAATCACGCATTCGCACAGGACTACATGTACTGGGCCAAACCATTTCCCGAAGAAATTCTAAAGAAGGTCATCGAGAATTCATTCTGTTTTGGCGTCTACGACATCCGCTCGCATCGACTCTGCAATGAAGAGAACGGCCACTCACAGCAACCGGTCGAAGACTTGAATGCAGCCGATGTGAAGCAGATCGGGTTCGCCCGGCTGGTAACCGATCGCGTCACATTCGCTTATCTGACCGACCTATACGTCCTGGCGGAGTACCAGGGGCGAGGGCTGGGTGGGTGGCTCATCGATTGTGTGGATGAGGTGGTCCGCCCCCTGCCGTACTTGCGGTGGCTGATGCTGCGGACTTCGGCCGCAAAGAGTCAGGCGTCGTATGAGACCCGGCTCGGGATGAAGGTGCTTGATACTGGGGATATCGATAAAGGTCCGGTCATGATGGGGAGACAGGGAACGGCTGGGGGAGTATGAGTGTGCAGGTTAAGAGGGGAGGTGTTCGGGCTGGATGGCTCTTCTAGACTTGCACGTGGGAGTAGGATAACAGACGATTATCGCGTTTTGTTCCTAGGGAGTACATACTTACCTTCGAAGAGGAGATATATAATAGCTTCGTGCCGCATATTTTGCCTTTCACAGCTAATTCCATAGACTTCTCCGCAATACAGGTGCAGAAATGCAGCGCCAACTTTGATCTTGATCGTTTTCAATCTAATTTAAACATCAAAAAATAGTGTTACATGACACAATCCAAGAATCCGTGCCAACCCAATCATTTCTTATGCTCCCCAGCAAGCTTATCATACATCCCCCCAAACTGCGCATACCACTGATCAACGACCTCCTGACTCCACCCCGGCGCAATAACATCTTGCCCACCCTCCAACCCCTGGACAAAAAACTCCATAAACTCCTCCACCGTCAACGCACTCGGATTCTTATGCTTCTTATTATCATCCGGATCCGACCGGTCGCGATGCAGATCTGTTCCCACGGAGGGCGGCACGACCTCCACGACCCTGATTCCTTCATACCCGCCCTTCTCCAGCTGCGTGCGCAGCGTCATCGACCAGAAGTGCAACCACGCCTTGGTGCCATTATACACCGGGTTGATGACGGCGAACGGCACGAACGCCAAAATAGACGAAACATTCATGATCGTCGCGCCGTGCGGGTGTGTCCGAAAATGCTCCAGCAGGCCTAGCGTCAGGTGCATGGGCCCGCGGATATTGATGTCGATCTCCTGGTCGGCCTTGGCCAGGAAGTCGGCGGGTGCGTCCTCGAGCACATCCAGCGGGCGCTGCACGCCCGCGTTGTTGATCAGGCAGTCAACCTCGGGGTATTTGGCCGTGAGGCGGCGGATGAAGGCCGGGATCTGCGCGACCACCCCCGTGTCCAGCACGAAGTAGTCGGTCGCCCCGATCTCTTGGGCGGTTTGCCGCAGGGTGTGCTCGGTGCGTCCGGCGATGATGACTTTCTTGCCCTTGCGCAGGAGGTAGCTGGCGATGGCTTTGCCGAGGCCGCCGCCGCCGCCGGTGATGAGGGCGCAGTTGAAGGTGAGGTTTGACATTGTTGTTTTGGTTTGTGGTGGTTTTTGGTGGTGCTGTCCTTCCTGACTGAGATCAGGGAGTTGGGAGGCAGATTCGCTCGATTTGTGCCCTGGACTGTTGATTGCAGGTAGAGAAGATAGCGGGGTACAGTATTTGTATGTGTTGGATTCGATGTATGACGCAGTTCACTTCAAACGGGCTGGTTCTCGAATTTGCTCATCGGCGAAGATCCCCGACAAAATTCGGGGAAGCCCCACCCGCGTGAGGAGTTTGGAGACTCGGCATTTGGGGATTTACTTTTTGCTCGTCCAGGGTCTAGAACCACGTGCAGGGAAAGCCACAATAACCTTATTCAACCGATTCTGTGAGGGCTTATTTTCAGAATTTCGTCATTCCTTTGCTTTTCTAAACTTTGTAATTGTCGTTAGTGAGGCAAGATACAGCCTCAGGGAATATCATAGACTGCAGCATAGCGGAAGGTGGTCTGGAGGGAGTGCTCGCAAAGCAACATTGCTGGTGAAGAGAAGCTGAGAATGTGCTCAGAAGAAGCTCTGTCACTAGGTGCGCCAAGGTGAAAATCTCCAAGTGTTTATGACTCAGGGTTTAATTGTGTCCGTACCCTGAAGTGCAGCGCATTGACTGATTCAGGGTACACTGCGCCCTACCCTAGCGCTGTCGCGCCCTGTACACCTTAAACTTTAAACCCTACGTGATGACGATGATGATCTATCACCCAGTTCGCAAACCTTTCGACCACATTCCAGAACCTCTTCAAGGTATATATATCGACCAAACGAACCGCTCTCTACGCGTCACCGTGATCACCGGTTTCCATAGCGCGACCGAAAGGAAAGATGGAAAAAGGCAATCCCCGTCGCGATGTTTCCGCAAGCCCGGAACAGAAACATCTCGACGACAAAATCAGAAAGAGGGTTTCAAGGGCCTGCGATCGCTGTAGAACGAAAAAGACAAAGGTACAGTACGACGACACCACAGATTGAGCTACTGTGCACTAAGACCCCTTGCAGTGTGACGGTGCAGACGCTTGCCACCGATGCAAGGCTTCCGGTACGAACTGCACATTTAAAAGGACTCGAAGAGCCAAGGACAGGGTCATACCTAAAGGGTAAGGCACCGAAGGCACTACATGGGCGCGGATTCGACACGACCGCGGCTGACATGGATAGATACGTCGAAATGCTCGAGAGCGATCGCCAGCGCCTGATTGATGGGCTCCGGAAGTTATATCGATACACCAGTGGAGGATGTCGCCGGGACTCGTTGATGCTTCATCTCAATGGACAAGAGCAACCTCTCATCCATGAGATCCTGAGTCGGCTGCAAGTATTACCAACAGAGTCAAAAGATTGTGACCCTCCTTACCATCGGTCTACCACTGAGACAACGACGGATTTATCTGCGACAAGTACTTCCAGCGTGGATGAGTCCAGGGAGAGTCTCTGTGAAGACGGAATAATGTCTTCGCAGACACTCACGGGACTTGACATCTCAATGACTGAACCGCTTTGGTCGATGCTAGACTCCGCACACACAGTTCAGAACCAGGACTTAGTGACAATATCCGACGCGACGACAGACTCCAAAGTACTACCACTGTGGGAAGATTGGCCTATGCAGGTGGCCACGGGCCATTTGTTCTCAACTACATTCAGTCTTGACAACGGATGTATAGATGAAACGCAGTGGCCTCTATATAGTTCGATAACCGACTAGATAGGTCTTACGTGACTCGGCGCTTGAGGAATGAAGATAATCTTGTAACTAGTGTAAACGAAGCAACCCAAAATCAACATCCCATTACGTAAAGTGTTAGAGCGATCTAGATCAACAAGAGCAAAGGAATCAAAAGCGAAGGAGTTCACAGCTTGATTCTCCGAACTCTATCTGCCCCACCCCCAAGTCTCCGAATCCCCGAATCTCCAACTTTCTACTTTTCCCAGCCCCGTCCCGTCGACCCGCCCTCTCAAATCCTCCCTGACTCGGACCCAAGCCCTCTCACTCTTCCCCAACGGCATCCCGAAAATCGTTCAGATACCGCCACCTTGCCCGTTCGGCCAGCCCCGCCTCCCGCCAACCATTGAGTGTCCGATGCGGGAAGCACCAGCCGGCATCCCCATCCTCGGCGCCCGTGAAGATAGGCAAGAGACTGTGGTCGTGAGCCGTTAGCACCAAGACCCGCTCGTCAGCGTCAAATTCGGTGAGGCCATCGATCGTGCGAAGACACTCGTCAAAATCATGCGTGAACTCTTTTGCTGGCTCAAAGAACGGGCTGTCGTTCGCGCCGGGATGACGACCCAGGGAGTGGAACAGGTGACCGGGACAGACACTCCCGAATCGAGGGTGGGAAGGCAGCGGAGATGGCCTGATCATCTCTGGTATAGGACTGTGCTTTGAGGGTCGGAACTCCCCGGGGTGGTGAGCGAAATCCTATACGTCCCTCGTGGGATTTGCGTCAGTGGCTGGACTTTTCGCCGTTGTTTTTTTTTTAGGGCTGTGTTGCCGGACGGGGCCAGGGGCCACGCAGACTCAAAAGCTAAGGTACTTACCGCACCCATGAGAACAAATGAGTCCGACTGCACGCGAGCCAATCCAACCATGTGGTCCGGTGTATGGCCCGGGGTATGCAGGAGATGGAAGCTTCCATCGCCGAACCAGTCCACGGCGGGGAAGCCACCGATCTTCAGCCGCTGCTCGTCGAACTGGATTTCTCGCAGGTTGCGGCCTTCCCAATCGGCCGACTTCACCGGAGAATCACGCTGCTCGGGCCATCCCGGCGTGAAACTGCTCGTGAACCGCGGCCCCACGACCAGCTCAGTCGAACTGGGGAACAAGGACGGATCACCGGTGTGGTCGAAATGGTGGTGCGACCAGATAATGGCGTTGACTTCGGCGAGAGGCACCCCGTTCGCGACCAAGATGTCTGAGACATTGTGCGGGGAGGAGATCTTCCAGCCACTGCTTGCAGTGTTGGTGCAGCGCTCGGCAAAGACCGGGGCCAGGTTCTGGAAGTCGGACCGGATGGACAGGTCGAACAAGATGCGCTGGCCCGATGGGTGCGTAACGAGAAAGCAGTATGAGGGCACAGCCATGCGGTCGTAGCCTTGGATTGCCGGGGTCATGAATTGCTGCGCTGGGAAGTCCAGACGGGCGCCCCTACATGTTGTTCGATGCGTGAGCCGGGCTTTTGGTAACAGGACAGTCACCGGGAAGGAACCTACGAATCGATGAGGCAGACCTCGACGGTGTTGGCGGACTGTGGTAGATGAAGCGACGCCATTGTTTGTGTTTACTGGTGAGCAGGAGTAGAAGACTATATATGGAGTCAATTCCAGACTTGGAGTTGTTTGTTGCAGAGTTATAAATTGATTCCCAAGCTCCTTCAGTCTGTGATGTAATCCAGTTGAGAATCGATAAGAGTTCGGGGTAAATAGTTGGGGCTCGACCCGCCCGCAAGCTTTCGGCTAACCCCACCAATCCAGCTATCAGTAAGTCATGGTCAGCGGCATTTTCTTGAGAATAAGTGAACCATTTCATGCTGACCTCATCGACTGACATTCGAAGAGTCTATTGAAACAACGCCTCTTGGCAATAAACGTCTGTTCAAAGGTGGTTGTTCGCAATGAGGAATACTATCGGTGGCGCTGGTGGCGGCGCCGTCCAGTTCGCCAAAAGTGTCATCGTCGGCCACTTCTGTGGATATGCGCAGTGTGTATGAGTCGGGGCACAAGAAGGGCTTGGGCTTCATGAATCAGGGTTGCATACTTGAGAATGTCTTCCGCTGAGGTTAGAAACCTGATACGTACAGGATGGTTCGCCTTGTTGAGACGTTAGCCTGGACTACTTGTATGTGACAAATACAGAAGGCACAACCTGATATTTCGACAGTAGTTGGCATCGATAACTCCAAGAAACTGGAATTGATCAGAAACTGTTTAGAGTATGACCTTGCTTTTGCAAATCGTTCAAGAACAACGTGAAGTCTGGAGGTCTCTCTGCTAAATTGTTTGTGTGGATGGGAAAAATATATCAAAAGAAGAAATAGATCCAGGATGTCATCGTGGCGACATGACCTTAGCGTCTAGATTTTCTTGATCTTCTTTGACGGAGGTGCTACATGCTTGTATGATTCCAAGAGTTAAACGTGCAACAGATTGATTTGTTTCACCGAACCAAATGTATATCGAGCAAGGAAAGGGAAAAGTGAACAAGTGGGCCCGGCCTCTGCCTGAGGCGGAGACTCCCGGCTTACAGGTTCCAGGCAGGACAGGGTCCCTGGACTCAATAACTGCCATCTTCCAGTGTCCTCATCGTCGTTCTAAGGCTAGAAGATGTGGTTTTTATCCTGATGCTCACAGGAAATAAAACTTCTTTACAAATGCTGATTACTCGATCTAGTGTAAAGTATGGTGGTGAAATTCGATGCATCACTGGCGCTGACTAACCACACCCCGACCCCAACTGACGTAATCCCAAATCCCCAATCCTTAACTTAACCCCAAAACTACTGCGAGTGGAACAATTCCCTTCTCCAATCTGCATTCTTTAGCCACAAACGCCCCTTCCCCCTCTTCTCATCACCCGTGATCCGCGAACCCCAAATCTCCTTCCAAACCTGCGTCTTCTCTCAACGAGTTATCTCCCTACCTAATCGAGCTTTCCCCCTCAATCCTCCATTAATTGGAGATCCCCAAAGCTCAGCCCCCACATTGCAACGGACTCTGCAGTGGCCAAGCCATGTCTTCGGGAGCAACAAAACGTGCCGAACGGTCGCTAATTTGTAATTTGTGCCTGCGTTCGTTTGCACGATTAGAGCATCTGCAGCGTCATCGGAGAACCCGTACTGCCCCCATTCCAGAGGTTCAACGAATGCCTTCGGCCGACCTAACCTAGAATAGATACCAAAGAGAAGCCTTTTGCTTGTCTCTGCGGCCGAGCTTTCACACGAAAGGATCTGCTGAGGAGGCATGAGCGACTAAATCATGGGATTCGTGATGGTAACTGGTCGGTCGACGGTACGTAAGTCCCCTCCCCAAAAACCAAACGTTGGGCTAATCGGGGCACCTAATAGGCGAGCAATCTTTCAACATAGCTCCAGCGTCAACTACGACAGGTCCTTCCTTACAGCATAGGGCTTCCGCGCAGTCTGAACAGGCGCAGCCTCCCATCACCACCAATTACCCGGGGTTTGCTGATCCCGTACCCCAGCAATCTCTCCCGGTGAATGCCCCACTGAACTTTGACGATCTTATAAAAGACTATGATGATCCGGTGTTGGACTTTTCAAGGTTTATGGATATTGTGAGTTCGGACTTTGACTGGAGCATAATGAATCCGGGCATAGGGACCAATCATCAAGAAGTCCAGCCTATCGTCCCGGTGAACGCTATGCTCTCCGATCAGATAGACGTGACCCCAAATCACAGTCGTCCAAGCGTACCCGATGGTGCGACTGATAATGGTGTGCATAACCCCAGCAAGGTTTGTTACCGGACGAATGAAAGATACTGACCTGAGATAGACGACTTTCAAGAGCTGAAGCCTACGCTCGATCCCTGGGTGGTCAGTGAAGCTCAACGAATTGCGATCACACAATCACTGGCTCCGTTCCAGACTTCCCTTTGCAACTTCAAGCTCCCATCCAGATCCGCTCTCGGGCGGTATGTGAAGGGCTACGTAGACGGTTATAGCAATCATCATCCCCTCGTCCACATACCAACGCTCAGCATCGCCTCTCCGGAACGAAGCCCAGAGTTTGTTCTAGCGCTTCTAGCGATGGGCGCGCATTATCGGTACGAAACAAAAATGGCTCGCCGGTTGTACCACGCAGCTAGGTCGGTTGTTGTTGCCCGTCAAACCCGCGGCGGGCCGCTCTCGATCCCAGCAAAGGCCGGTGTACCCGGGCGTGGTACAATGGACCAACTGCGCGCAATAGTCCTGGTGGCAACGTTCGCATTGTCTCAAAAGGACAGTGATTTCATCCGCGAGTCTCTGGAGTGTCAGGGATGGATTGCCTCGCTTCTTCGTAGCGTTCCTATGCCACAACACAACCACGCCAAGGTCGGAGACAACTGGCGGCAGTGGGCCTCGATCGAGGAAGACATACGCACCATTTTCAGCGCATACTGTCTGTTGATGAAACAAACAATACTATACGACACGCCTCCAATGGTGTTGAGCCACGAGCTCGATCTCCCTCTGCCCTCCTCGTGCCGTGAATGGACAGCCGCGACGCCATCGGAATGGCTCGCTGCTCGGACCACGGTGCCACCCGCGATCTCTTTCAGGGAATGCCTCCGCTCACAGCTGGCCACCACCCAGCCCCAAGTTCCCACCCCATTACTTTCACCGATGGGAAACTATGTTCTTATGCATGCGCTCCTCCAAAGAATCTATCTGGCAAACTCCCTCTCCCAGGACGTAGACCGCCCCTCCCTCTCCGCCGCGGAAACCGACAGCCTCGAGCGGGCCCTCAACAACTGGCGAATCACCTGGAAGGCGTCCCCAGACACCGTCCACGATCTGCATGACACCTACGGTTCCATGGCCTTCGCCTCCACCGCGTTGCTGGGCATGGCTCACGTCCGTCTGCAGTGCAACCTGGGTCCCTGGCGCCAGGTGCAGAGCTGCGACCCGCAGACGGTCGCGGCCAAGCTCCACGAATGTCCGCTGCCGAAGCGGAGCCCACATCTGCCTCACGCCTTGCTCCACTCCATCCACGCGCTCCGCATTTCTGTCCACATGGGCGTCGCGTACTTTTCAACGCGCCAGTCCTTCTCCTGGAGCTTGTATCATGTTATCTGTGGACTGGAATTTGCGGTTTTCACCAGTAAATGGCTGCAAGTGGTGGCTCAGAACTGCACCATGGTGCCTCTCACCGGTAGATCCCTCTGTCCAACCGCAAGTTGACTTCTTTACGTATATGGCAGCGCTAAGATGTACTGGCAGACTACGAACGACAGATCATCCAATGGATCATCAGGGTAGTACGGGACGGTTTCGAGTCCCACGATGAGACAGCCGGCGACGATTACCAGATCGAGGACGACGATCTCCGCCGCCCACAGGAAACAATCCGCTTTCTGAAATTCGCGGTGCCGAAGTTGTGGGCGCAGATGTTCATCGCCTGTAATAGCCCCTGGCCCATTGCTCGAATGATTGGGGAGAGCTTGGAGCATTACGCCAATCTCGTGAGAGATGACGTCTGACTACAAGGGTCATCCACGCCATGGGCGATGGTAATGACATTCGTGCCACAGTCGCGAATGGTTGTCCGCATTATCTAGGTCTGTCTAGAGGATGCTCTAGACTCTGCTTCACAGCAACATTAGCTGACCGGTTGGTTCAAGGTGCTGGTCGGAGCTTTTCGGGGTCAAATGACCGATTCCCCGTGCACGTCCATTTAGGCCACTCAGCCATACCGTTAGATCCAGGGTTAGTATATGGAGTGCCCATTGCCACCACGGACTGAAGGCTATTGCTGCATGGGCGCTACATGCTATGAGGAATTCCGGAAGTTGTTGGTGCAGTTCCATCGAGCTAGCGCATCATCATTGACAGCGAGACAACATATGATGCCAGATGTTTGTGCAGTAGCCGTGAATAATATTGGAAATTGGATTCCGATTATGTGTGCCTCTGGAGTGCAAGGATTCACCTGCCTATGGCGATGTGGATGCACCTGCTGCCATGTGACTAAATCCTAACACTGTTGTCGTCCGAGACAGCATAGCAGGGACTTGAGCTACTGGGATTATGACCTGGACTGTAGAGCTCTGCAGTGAATATGATTGAAGTGAACAATTGAGCATGTATTCCTTTGCCGAAACAGGATTTTCGTACAGAGATTTTCAAGGCCAGCTGAATTGGCCACTTACATGGCTGGTCTCCTTCAGGTATTTACTGTCGGACTTCGGCTGAGTAGGCCCACGCATTCCTACTTATTATTGCAAAGCTAGTATTAATCGCGAGCAAGGAAAGTCAAAGCTATGGTCTCAGGACACTTTCTCTCGACGCGACGATCTCCAATTTAGGTCATTCCCCAGACCGATTCGTCTTCACAAGGGTCTCGAGTGTACACACGTGGACCATCACACTAGCAAAAAATACGCGGGATCGAGTTGGAAAGTCCGTTAGCTAGATTCCCAACGAACACTAACCCGACCGAGGCTTTTGCCTGGCATTAGCCAAAGAAGCCGATATGTGCTTTGGCGCCGGACCGTCTGCATGCCCGGTACCATGGCCCAATCGAGACACCGTTCATGATTAGTGCGACGGGGTGTGAGAAGTAATTCGCGAGAAGGTGGGCACAGACTACTCCCGCCAGGGTCTCAGTCTATTCCCGGACGTCGCCGCATGTTGTGCAGGCTGCGCTTGCTTCCGACGCTCACGGGCAAGCTGATTTTCGAGGTTGTTGCACTCGCTGCGCAGCGCTTGAATGGACCTTGTGGAAGCCTTGCTCGCCCCGTGCATCAGTCGCAGCACGCGGACAGACACATCATCGGTAAAAGGGCTCTCTGAAGCGTCGTCGGCGAGGAAGTCGTCGAGATGTTGCACCAGGACACCCGCTATCTTGTCGCGTACGCTCTCAGTATTTGGCACCTTGTAAGCCAGGTCTACGGCTGTCGCAAATCCCTTAGGAGATCATGGCATCTGGAGTGTTTCGTCGACCTTCTTCTCAACGAGAGCCTTCAGCCTCGACATCTGATAATATTCCGCAATCTCCGCGACTTGGATGTGGGCAAGAAAGATCTCAGACAGAATTGGAGTCGAAGGATTGGGGCGTGAAGTGGTTTCGCCTTTGGAGGCAGACTCTTCTGACAACCATCACTGGTTAGCTTGCATCCTAGAGACCTTGGTATAACAACGTAGACACAAACCGGTGGTGCTGGGCTTGCGCTCGTAATGAGTGGTATAATCCCCGGTATACAGGTATTCCACCATGTAACCCACAGTCGATGCCTGAAATCCGTCAATACGGTAGACACCTGTGCATGCCTCCTTCACACAGTCAGCTTCGGCTGCCAGAGTTGTTTGGTATCAAATCATATATCCGTACCTGAAATCGTCCCTCGCAGGCAGCAGCAAAAGCTTTGACCTGAAAGCAAACGACCGCCTTGTGGACAGGGAAGGTGGTTCCGTCACATTCGAGGGCGAAGTCAGTGTATCTCCCATTTTTGACCTGTTTATAGAGCGCCTGGCTTAGGATAACTGCGTGCGTGGCCGTGCTGAAATCCTGTCCCATAGTGACTGAAGATAGGAGGAAACAACACGGGTATCTTAAAGAAAGGTGGCTCAGATTTCAGACCAGTCTCGATCAAGGACTTTGCGGATAGGGACAGGTGTGCAGTGAGATGAAGTGGGAGGGTCAAAGGTCGCGTTGACTGGGAAATCTATAGCCTCCCTCTTGAGGTTGAAGTGGAAGAGAAAGGTTCTGTAAGAGGATAGTGAATGGAGTTAGTAATAGTTGATGTGACTTCACGGAGATGTTGAGACTGTTCATTCAATGTATGCGACTATCACATAGTGAATGTACGAGCCAGCCGCCTGGATGGACCCGGCCTGAGCCTCTTCCTCGACCTTTCATTAATCTGGCTTCGGGTTCTACCATCTCTTCTCAGACATCACACTCCCCCCCTGTAGGCTCTTTCTGCAGCTATGGTGGAGTGCTATTGCTTTTTAATTGGATAGACATCAAAGAACCCGTAAGTATATTGATCCCAAGTGCTCCTTGTTGGCAACAAATCCTGTCTCCTTGCACATTTCAGCTCACCTTGCTTGTAATATCCAACCACTGGTTCTTCGACTGGCAGGATGTTATGGAGTCAAGTCTTGTTTAACTTGTCTTTCCTACAAGAATGTGTGCGGCACAATCTGGCATGGTTATGCCATGCCGGCAAAGCCATTTACACTATCCCTATCTCTGAGGAGAAAGGATATTAGAACTAACCCGCCTCACTCTGAGTTCCTACTTGACATATATACAAGATCAGAATCGCAGGCCGAGAGTCGTCCCCACACTATCACGGTGGCGCATACAAATCCCACCCCCTGCGAAGCCCGAGCCCTAGTCCTCACACTCACACTCACAAAGTCTTCGCCATGAACCAATGATACTACGACTCTGACAGGCGTAAGGCGCCCGCCGATCTGCACACAAGTCCAGTCCAGCGCTTCCAAGCTCTACCCCTCCATCGCCAAGGCCGCACTATCCACCACCGCCGCAATCTTTCCTCACCAACATAGCCGACTGGCTCAGCATCGGTGCGTTTTTCAATCGGGATCTGCTATCTGGCTGTGAGTTGTATGGACTCCGGGCCAGCGAGGAATGATGCACATAGTCGAAAAACAAGGGAAAGGAGAGTGGTTGCTTTCCTAGTCAGTGGAAGGGAACCCAGAATTTTGGGTGTGCATACCTGCACATCATTGATCGGAGACTCTCCGAAGGCCCCGAGCACGGATTGACCTTCGGGGAGGACCAAGACAGCAAAGTAGAAGAGGTGGAGAACCCCGCCTTGGTGTCCCCGGGTTCGCCGCACCGCGTGGGTGAGGTGCTTGGGGATGGCTTCGCTGCCGACGATGCCGCCGTAGGAGTGCATCACAACCACCAATGACTTCTCCTTTTTCTCAGCAAGGTGTTGGACGGCTGTGGTGACAGCGTCCGCGGCATCTTTCAGTGTGCGAGAAAGAAAGTCGCTGTCGTTGATGCCGGTGCAAATGCTTGGGAGTTTGGGGTGGACGAAGGGATATCCCGCCTTGCCAAGGCCGGTTCTGAGTTGTTCATAAACGAGGGGGGTCTGGAAGGAGCCTTGAATGAGAACGATCGTCGGCGTTGAGGTGTTCATTGCTAAGTCCACGGATATTCCGAGGAGGATATATATGAAATGAAAGATAGGTGGAGAAGTTCAAGGTGTTTACTTGGTTGGGAGGACGAGAATTAGATCTTACATAAGCCCTAATAAATGGATCTGACATGGGGTGAGGTGAGATATGAGCCATATGGTGGGAAAGAGACCTTTCACATAGCAAAGCCTTTTCAGCGTGTGATGACGCATAACTTGTGAAAAAGAATGACACCAACATGCTACGGCAGTAGCCCGACTCGCAGTTGAGGCAACAGGTGGCTATCAATGTTGGTGTTAATGCATCAGTTGGGAACCAAGAAGGTACTGGCAGCTCGCATTACAGATGTCCAAAGACTCATGAGGGTCAATTCGTCGGGCCGACCTTCCTCATGCGAATCAGACTACTTGCTACTTTCCTTGACAAACAGCTCAATCTGGCTGGGTACAAGTGATGTCCGAGTTTGCCGAGCCCGCCTCGGACATTTGGTCGGCCTATTGGAATAGACCGAGCTATGAGTGAGGCCCCTCCTTGTATAGAGCTTTGCAGACCTCTTCCTTCTCGACATCTATAAATATGGATCTATCGTGTGCAGTAAGGTGGAAGTTGACCACAAACAGAAATACATATTTCTCCTCCAAGGCTTTGTCTAGCTCAACAATCACACTTCCTCGAAAGCATAATGCCACAACACATCGCTATCATCGGCGCGGGTCCGTCGGGCCTCACTCTCGCAGCGCTGCTGCAAAAGCATGCAATTCCCTTCACCATTTTCGAGCGCGAGACCTCGTCCTGCTCGCGATTCCAGGGTGGATCCCTCGACCTTCACCCCGAATCAGGCCAGCGGGCCCTACGGGAAGCGGGCCTCTGGGAACAATTCCAGAAGCACGCCCGCTACCATGACCAAGACTATCGCTTCGGAGACAAGACCGCAGCAACTTGGCTCTACCACCAAGCATCTGCCAACGCCGAGGGCCGCCCGGAAATTGACCGGTCATTGCTGCGCAAGATCCTTATCGAATCCCTGGACCCCGACAACATCCGCTGGGACCATTCCGTCTCTGAAATTGTGTCCCTGGCTGATGGTAGCGTCAAGCTCTTGTTCCAAGGCCGAGAGGAACCAGTGTTCACGAATCTGGTAGTCGGGGCGGACGGAACGTGGTCCAAGATCCGCCCAATGCTGACAAGCTGGAGGCCTGAATACACCGGCTTGACGGTGATTGACTGCCGCATATCCAACATCGATGAACGGTTTCCCGAGCTCAGTGAATTTGTGGGCCGAGGAACCTTCTTCTGTCTTTCCGAGGGAAGCGGAATCTTCATCCAGCGCAACGGAGACCGTAGCGTACGCGTCTACCCTTGTCTCCGCGTGGAGGAGAAATGGGCATGGAGTGACCCCTCCTTCGACTGGGATGATCACAAGAGAATGACAAAGTTCTTGATTGAGACTTTCTTTGCGACGTGGGATCCTCGTCTCCAAGCTGTTATCAGGAATGTGGATGCGAATATGACGCCCCGTGCGCAGTATCGCATGCCCTCGGGACTGCGGTATCCGCATCGTCAGGGATTGACGCTGATTGGAGACGCTCTACATGTTATGTCCTGGTTTGCGGGTGAAGGGGCAAATTTGGCAATGCTGGATGCGGTGGACTTGTGTGAAGCGATTCTCGCGCACCCAGGAGATCTGGAGCAGGCGGTGCGCAGCTACAAGGCAAAAGTCGTCGACTCCTGCCGGGCGGATGTCACGAATGAGATGTCGCAGGAGCTTCTAGTCAAAGCGATGGCAGATGATGCTCCTAGGGCTTATGTGGAGGCGATGGCTGAAGCGATGGATGCTTGGTTTGCCGGGGGCAAGTTGCTGGGCAGGGTCGAAGACAACCTTTGCTAGACGAGTTGGGTTTGACTTCTATACAAGTTGGAATTTAGCCAGTAAATTCGAAGCTCTAAATTCACTTTTGCCATTAAGGATTATAAATGGAATTCAACATGACTTGAAGCCCAAATATAAGAAAAGCATGGGGTCAGCAGCATCCTCGCTGATAAAGCTCCTTGAGCTTTGGGAATCTCTTCTCCGGGTTGAGCATAAGATATAACTTCAGCCTGCTTCTGAATCTAGCTGCGACTGTGCCAGAGAAACCCGCGAATCGCAAGATCATTACAGTTCCAGAAAATTGGCATATATGCCCACCCTCGGCGCATGTCGTTGTAGACTAGGTATCCTAGGTTGGCAATAAGTCATCATAACTGTATTGAGTCGGCAAATGTACTCTGGGAGATCTCTGCGTCGGTCATGTGGGTGCGGCCGATCACATCACCGCTTTCAAGGCGGCGGATTTTATCCTCAAACCAGGTCCCACCTGCATGGGCATCCACGCCCTTCACGCTGCTATTGCTTGCGCTGGTGTGAGAGGGGGCACTTATAGTCGCGTCTCCGGGATGCTCGCAAAACCGTGCTTGTCTGGATTTCTCGAGCAGGGTCATGCCGGTGTTTTCCCAGGTGGCAATTTCAATCACGCACATGGCGTAATGGATCACAAACCGGAGACGGGATTTTAGATTTGGCAGGCTGCTATTCTGGTGACTGGACCATTCGACGGGTGAATTTGGCTGCTCTTCGAATAGGTTTGAAGGAGCCGGCAACTGAGGTAGTCATAAGGAGCACACTGCGTGAGCCTAATACTCCGAGGTGAATTAGAGGGCCGGTGTCACATTTCTCACGTAATGGGAAATGCATCAGGAATACCATTTTTTTCGAGCCTCAACGTGGCTCTTTTTTTATTACCTGTGCAGCCTTCAAGTGGAGATTCCCCCAGCAAGCGGGCTTCGCGCTCTTAAGCAGACAACCTTGACTTTATTCAGTTCGAGGCTCTTAGTCAAAATGACCAGTTTGGATGCAAGACTGGACGAAGGCCTTCGCACGGATTGCAGGAAGGATAATATCCTTCGCACAACTGCTTTGGCACCGCCTCAACTATGAACACAACACGGAGTTCCAATCCGCATGGGACAACATTATGACTGAATTATGCTTGCTCAACGGGGGCATAGACCCTTTCTCTAACACAACAGAACTAGGAACATCGTTCCAGAACAGCGTAGGGTAGCATTGACCCTCAAGTGGGCGAAACTATAAACGCCTGGGATTTGTTTTCCGGGGAGAGCTGGAACTTAACAATCTGAACCATGAAGCATGACCTATTATTAAGATTGTACTATCTCGAGAATCACATTCCAAGCACCTCGGTACCAAAACATGACCGAAATGCGGGAAGCGGACTTTACGCATAAATTGCCGAGCCCGGCGGTAACCGCGATATATCATAAGTAGGGCTCCCTGCCCCACAGTAGGCAACCTCCGCAATTGTCCGAACAACCGTACTCAGCAAGCTTCCTCACCCCCAAACAATGGATCCTTCTCGAAGGAGAATGAAGCGGGCACTGAAGCCGGGTGCAAAGAGAAGACGGCCTCCACTGGCTTGCATCCAGTGCTATCAGCGGAAAGTCAAGTGCGGCAAGGAATTCCCAGCCTGCAGTCGGTGTGTGGGGGCCGGAATTGCCGAGGAATGCACGTATCGAGAGGGTTCGGCTCATCAGAAAGAAGTAATGACCAGCCCTGCCCGACCTAACAATCGAGAGGTTGCGCCAGCGCCTAGAGCTTTGTCGTCAGAGAATAATCTACAGAGAGAATCCCAGCCTGCACCCGCTGGAAATTACGACATAACTCATCTCCGACGCAGAGGCGGCCACGTTCAGTTTTATGGTTACAGTTATCACCTGAACTTCTATCAGCAGGTAAGATTCAGCAGCTTCTTTCCAGATAGATAAGAAGTAGGCAGTATAACACAAAAGAGCATAGTTTCCCGAACTTCGATCATACATTGCTGGTGTGAAAGCTCAGTACCCTACGATAAACGGGGCGAGAGACGGAGTCTTTCCACCAAATCATGAAAGCACTACCTTTGGCAAACACATCAGTATCCCGGTGGGTACAACAGCTCTCAAGGCTGTGATACCAAGCAAGTCCGTGTCGGATGCGCTAGTACAGACTTATCTTGATCGTTTCGAAACTACACATCGCGTGCTGGACCGGTCGGCTTTCATGGCCGAGTATCATCGTCACTGGAGTGATCCCACGTCAACAGCTCCCTTCTTCCTCACTCAGCTGCTTTTGGTCCTTGCTACTGGTGCCAGCCTGAATTCTGAAACCTACCTCGAAAACAAATCCAACCCATCAATCTACATGCAAACAATCAAATGGATCGAGGTCGCTGAATCATGGCTGACTTTCGCCAACGATGTTGTGCCACATTCTCGCGAAGCAATTGCGGGTCGATGCTTAGTGCTTGTTGCCAAGCGAGCGAACTACATACAAAGCAGCTCATTCTGGACCGGCAGCGGCGAATTGATGCGGCTGGCCATGGCAGCGGGATACCACCGGGAGGTGAGCCCAGCAGCTCGAATCTCCTCCTACGATCAGGAGATTCGTCGGAGGCTATGGACGACCATCGTGGAGCTGGATGTACAAGCCGCCCTAGAACGAGGCATGCCGCCCACTCTGCGACCCGATGGCTTTTCTACAAACTATCCATTGCACATTAATGATGACAAGCTCTGCAATTCTCTTGACTGTACGGAGGATATCATACCTCTAGCGAAAATGGCTGATACCTCGTTTCAGGTCGCCCTGCTACAATCCTTGCCGATCAGACTTGCAATATGCGCATATGTCAACGGCTGCGATGTAGCGATGGAGTTTGAGCAAGTGCAAGAACTGGGGGAGGCTTTGCACAACGCGCTTCAAGCTATCCCGGACTGGAATAGTCGCGCAGCAGATCCACGCCAGCAAAAACTGGCGATGTACTTGAGCACCCTGCTGAAGATTCATTTCTGTCAGTATTTGCTTTTATTGTTTGCCAAGTTCAGTTGCCAGTCCCCGCACACGTTCCAGTCAATCATATGTCGCAGAGCTCGTTTGGATGCTAGCACAACAGTGTTGGAATGCCACCGAAGGCTTGTTGACGATGAAATGGTGCCGAGGCACGCTTGCCAAATAGGGTTGATGGTCGCTACTTTGAACATATGCCATGAGATCTCTCTTTCTCATGGCCCTTGTGGTGAGTGAAACTACCGTGCTTTGAATCAGAGATAAAAGGAAAGGGAAAAGGAAAACGCCTTCCTTTCTCCCTCTCTCTCTTTCTTTCTTTCTTTCCGGATGGAAGAGTAGACATAGTATGTTGACATTTCGCTCCGAGAAGAAGCCATCTCGATAACCACTTGCTTGGGAGTGGCAGAGCACCTCCTTGGAGCAGTTGAGCAGGTGCTAGATATACTGGAAACAAGGATAAGTAGAACCCTGCATGGATTGAACGAGTACTATCTCCTCAGCATGATCATCGGTCTCGTCAAAACCAGGATATCCCCGGAGACGAGGGTCGTCAATGACAACGAAGCTGCAAATCGAGCAATCCAAGTCTGCACTTTCCTACATACCGCTCGAGCTTGTCTACTGACTGGTGAATGGCCGCTGCCGACGTTGTACGTTTCCTTTGCCATGACCCATCCGCACACTCGTCATCTCAACTAATGAAGACGTCACAGCGAGGCCTACGTTGACGCGGGAGGACATCCCACCCCGACGATACAAAACGATGCCTCCGGAGGCTTAGACTCAGTGTCGCGCGAGCATCCCCTTCCTAACAACGCCATTACTGATTGTGTTTCCCAGATCGGAGACACTTTGGCCGTGGTGGATGATGACTTCTCTTTTGATTTCTTCCTTCAGGATCCATCCTTCTGCTTCTAGTCCTGAGCTGTGTTTCAGTGCAGGAAGAACCACCGTGTCACTGCTTTCTAACCTTTTATCATTCGAATGTGCATTCCTTTACTCTAAGCTTTCCTTACTTTCAATGCATGTTCCTTCACACGGGGACCTCTTAGGACTCATCTTTTGGATCGAGACCCGTGTATGATCAAATTATATTTATACCAAATTATTGTTGGGGGTTAATTCCAACATTATCAACAAGCACCTGAGTAGCTCCCCTCCCATTAAACAAATTCGACAAATTCGACAATCGAAACCAAACCGTAGTTCTTCCCTTCCATCCTTCCCCATTCCCTTCAACCCTTCCACAACCATAACATACTCCTCCAAGAAACCCCAATCCGGCTGCTCGGGAAGGCAATTGGCGGTTTTCTAATACGGTCGGAATTCCGAAGAGCCAGATCATGGTCGGCTTTTCCTCGAGCCGAGTCGCAATGAAGTAGGTAAGGCATTCTCATTTTTCCGGTTACATCTCAAATTTTCAAGTGCGCGTTGTAAGAGATATATTTCGTCTACTCTGATAGCAGTATTTGGAGTCTCAATTACCCTTTGTCTTTCACCGCAGAAGGTCTTCGGTACAGCCGGAAGCCAAGCCCTGATCTTGGTGGCGGGGAGTGGGACCTCTACTCCTTCTGTTCGGAAGTCCGAGCAAGATGGGCTTCGGTGGATACACCCTAAACACTGCCCGAGAACAACTCCGGGAATAGCCCGGCCCCTACGCGGCTACTGAATCCCCCAAATCCCCCCGGAATTGAGATCTCCGGTAGAATACTGGGATTGAAGGTCGAACTTCTCTGCAGAAAACACATCCAACATGGCGTTCAGACTAAAAGTCCTGGCAGGCACCACCTTCTCTAGCATCATCGGCATCGGATTGGGGCTACACCATACGACCGCCAACATCCACGCGGTCCCGTTGACTACTACAGACCCTATCTTCGCTTCCAAGTTCTACAGAAGCTACAACCCGAATAACAATCCGACAATCCATGACTTGCACATCATCAGGGTCCCATTGAGCGAAATCGATCCCGCACTCCTTGAGGATCCGCCGAGACTGCTTGAGCGATATTGTGGGGGAATATGGGCAGGAGCCGGTAAGGCACTGGAAATCTTGACGCACAAAAGCCTTTGTGTTTCTAACCCTTTTCTCCTTGTATCCTTCAGGATTTGCCCTACAACGCATGCTTCGCAAATGGCTGGACAAGCCTAACACGGATACCACCCAGCTCTGGTCGCCTTCCGAGCTTCTCCGGTCCGATTACCAGGTAGGGACTGACATAGTCGCCGAATTGGAGGTCATCGATCAGTCTTCAGATTCGATCCTCATCCGAGGAGGGGACAAAACTTGCAATCGCGGCCTGCGGCCCCTGGACGCGTTAATCGAGGTCGCCGCTCGAGTAGACAAGGAGAATAATGTGGTCGAGTTCGGGTTCAAGTCGCTTTTCTTCCAAGGGATTGGCCGGACGGATCAGCTCCCTATGCCAGGGCCGGTGGTGTGGTTGCATGAGCTATACGCGAAGATCTTGTTGAAATCGGGTGTGCAATATGTTCTTAAATGATGGCCAAATAGAGGAAGAAAAAAAGCATATGCAGATAGATGAATTGAACTTCAACCTCTCTTCTCTGAACCCCAGGAGCGCAGTCCAGGCACCGAAGTGCCGCCTCTAATAAGATTGCTGCACTTCTGCGAAGTACACTTACTCCCTGAGAAATTGGGGAACCAGACAATTGGGCAACTCATGCACGATGGAAACTTGAATCGCTAGCCTGTGCAATCACCCCGGGCCCCTGACATAGCTTTCAGATTGCACATAACATAGCGCTGTTATATGATCAGCGCATACTTTTCCCACTTCTCAGTGGCATAATCAGACTGCAGTCCGCCGTAAATACTATTGTCGTCGCTTGTTCCCACGGGGTATTTCCCGAGATTAGAAAAAGATCATTCAATCGCTGTGCGGCTGGTCGTTTCCCAACCCGGGCTTCCGGCTCCCCGAAAGAAGGGTCTGCTTTAAGGCAAATTGACTGATTGAACTGCACGCTGCCATAGGCCAGACGATTCGGGTGCAACGTCCACCACGACATTTATGCCTCCCTGTCGTGCTTGTTGATAAGGTCAATGGCCTTGGCTGTACATGCGCATTTCTCTATTCGCGACATCCCGCTCAGTGACCAGTGACAAAGGAGAAACTGGGATGCCCACGTACCGGCTAGCAATTTGCACGGGGAGGTTTTGAATTCTGTAGAGATGGGGTCCAGCTTGCCATTGTCAATTGCATGGATCTCGAATTAGTCAATCTAAGTCAACATAATGGGAGTTGGCAATACGTGTCGCACTGGAAAGAGAGTTTGAATTCCTGAGGGACACCCCAAAGAAATTGGGCTTGATGAATACTTTGGATGCAATTGTGGGCTAGCCCTAGAGATTACAATGAGGTCATAAGCGGGGTTAAATCAAGGGAGTCGAGTTGTCAAAGGTCCATACGGAGTATATAACCTAAACTTGGCGTCCGGTGCCCCCACGTGACAGACGGCAACCATCATCATCTAGCGTCAATGTGATGGTACGGATATGACACTACTAGGGCGCAAAGAGTCTTCAATATCATTCGCTGCTCATTCCCTCTCATGCCCGGGTCCAGCGGAATCCGAGATCTTACCCCGCCGAACGCTCGTATCGACGGAGATGGCGGGAACGTGCGGGAGGATTAGCCCTAATCGGAAGGACAGTACCGAAAGCCTAAAGCCCCCTCCCCGGTACGTACTCGAAAGATTACGATGATCGACGTCAGTATTCTTTGTTCGAGAAGTCATCGTCGTATCCGTGACACCTAGCCCGCAAAGCCCGTATCCCTTGTCATGCCACTCATATATCCACGCGACATGGCTCTGAGATTAGCCCATGTTCGAAGACCTCACTTTAAAACCATATGCGGGCTGCATTGATCCCGCTCCATACAAACAAGTTCCTAGCTCGACCAGTCTCTCTACATTGCAATGCCCGAAACAATCCTCGTCACCGGTGCCTCCGGCTTCGTCGCCTCGCACGTCATCCAACGATTCCTCGCAGCGGGCTACAATATCCGTGGCACCGTCCGCTCCGCGTCGACCGCCGAGACCGTCAAATCCCGCTATCCGCCCGAATACGTGGATCGTCTCTCCTTCGCCATCGTGCCGGACATAGCTGCCCCGGGGGCCTTCGACAAGGCTGTCCAAGATGTCTCCGGGGTGATTCACACCGCCAGCCCTTTCTCCCTCACGGTGTCAGACAACGAGACCGACCTCCTCCAACCGGCCATCCAGGGGACACTGAACGTCTTCGATGCCGTCGCCGCTCACGGGCCCGCCGTCCGCCGCGTCGTCGTCACCTCCTCCTTTGCCGCAATCCTCGATCTCAACCAGGGCCTCCGGCGAGGCTACCGGTACACGGAGGCGGACTGGAACCCGTGCAGCTACGAGGAAGCCAAGCTGACCCCGGACGTCAGTTTCGCCTACTGCGCTTCCAAGGCTCTAGCGGAACGGAAGGTGTGGGAGTGGGTCGACAGCGCCGCCAAGGCCAAGCCGCTCACCTTCGACGTGGCCACCATCTGCCCGCCCTGGGTGTTCGGTCCCGCCCTGGGCGACCCAAACAAAGGGCACAATCGGCTGAATGAGTCCGCCGAGGCAATCTGGAATCTGGTAAACGGATCCCGGGCGGAGGTTCCAGAAAATGATTTCATGGCGTTTGCCAATGTGCACGATGTTGCGGAGGCACACTACCAGGCGTATACTCGGCCCGAAGCGGGCGGCCAGCGGTTTCTTGTCGCTGGGGGCCGGTTCCTGTATCCGGAGGCGTGTGAGATTATACGCAAGCGGTTTCCGGAGCTGAAGGACAAGGTTCCGTATCAAGAGGGTGTGGCTCCGGTGGAGACGTATGTAGCGGATGGGAGTAAGGCGGGTAAGGTGCTAGGGTTGCGCTATCGCAATTTGGAGGATACTTTGGTGGAGACGGTTGAGGATCTGTTGAAGAGATTTGGATAAATCATGGATACAAGCGTCGTTTCTGCTCAAAAGCATCTTGCTGTTTCAGGTACAATGTTATCAACTTCATTATCTTCTTTAAGGTTGTCATACTAAGGCATATGTAAGCCGTGCCTCAAAGCTATCATATCTTCATACGGCCTATGTGATCAATGAAATATGGCTTGATTGTGCTGATCCCGCAAGAAGCCCATTTGATGGCTGGTCATGGACATAACTAACGAAGATTACCTTTCCTAGAAACCAGTAGCATTGTTGCTCTTGCCAGAGAATCTGAGGGTAATATCATGTCCTGGAAGGCACAAGATGTCCGCGATCGTAACCTAGAAGCTCACTGAGTAAATGGGAAATACGTTTAGGCCTAGTCAACCCGCCCAGGATCTCAAAGCCAGGCAATAGAATCAGACCAGGATTATGAATGTAGATAGAGTATGCCAAGTGAAAATTACGTATACGCTCATCGAAAGCACGATGTTAAGCCTCACCAGCTGACAGGCCTTGGTAAAGATTGTTAAAGCTTCTGGAAGGCGTATTACTAATACGATGCGGTGCTTCAATCCGCCCTGCATCGCCCGACTCCGAGCCCTAAGCGCAGCAATCAGGGTGGCGTACACTTTCCAGCGAGCCTTGTAGATGAGCTATACGAAGCCCTTCGGTGTTGAAGTTGCCTATCTGACCTCATATAAAGGGTGTAAGATAGGTGTCAGCTAAGCTGTGCGGGTTCGGGTATAAAACCAGGCACCATGTCTACTGCTATTGCGAAAATCATCAAACAATTTCCACAGCACACTCCAAGTTCGGACACATAGTACCACAGACCGACACGGGCAAGATGGTCGCATACCTTCACAATCTAATATTACTCCTACTGGGAGGGACGCTGGCTGCCGGCCAAGCGGTCACAGTCGCAGCAACACAGTCGACAGGATGGAACTCCTCTTTCGAGCTCAGCGCCGATCAGGTCAAGCAAGCCAACTTGACCAGTGACCTCGCGGCAATCGTCAACACGATCACCAAGTTCGATCGCTCTCAGCTGGCCAACGGTGGCGCACACCAGGACGATTTCTACAAGATCCAGGGCCTTTCAAAGGACCAATGGCCCACGGAGCCTGGAAAGACCCTCAAGCTCCAGGAGTTCACCAACCCGTCGCCGTTCTCCATTCCCGCCAAGACGGCCATGTCCCGCATCATCTACAGCACCACCAACCTCAACGGGACTCTGATCCCCGCTTCTGCCTATATTTTATGGCCATTCCATCCACGACGATTTCACGGTCTGAACAACACTACGACGGCTTCATCCGCCCCCGTGGTACTCTGGACCCACGGAACATCCGGCTGGTACGCCAACGGCGCCCCATCGACGCACCGCGGGCTCTTTTACGCAGACTTCGTCCCGTTTGCGCTGGCGGAGGCCGGGTACGCGGTCATCGCTCCCGACTACGCAGGGCTGGGGGTTGACGCCTCCTGGGATGGAAGCTATATCCCGCACCAGTACAACATCCGCGAAGCCGGTGCGCGCGATGCCCTGAATGCACTGCGAGCAGCACGGGAGTCTTTTCCCACGCTCTTGTCACGCGACTACGTATCAGTGGGCCATAGCCAGGGCGGTGCGGTCGCCTGGGGCCTGTCCGAGATCCTGGCCCGCAACGACTCCCGGTTCACTGATGTGACAGCGGGCTACCTCGGTGGGGTGGTTGTGGCTCCTCCGACGGCATCCTTATCAGTCACCATTCCGGGGTTCATCGCGTGGATCGCCAAGGAGCTGGCCTCGGTCTTTCCGACCTTCGACGTCAGTGATTGGTTCACTCCCCTCGGCGTCAGCAGGATCGACCTCTTGAATCAGATCGAGGGATCGCAGATGGTGACATTTGCCATACTGGGCGACTCAGAAGCGGGGTTCTTGCAGTCTGGTTGGAACGAGACCTGGTACGCGGACGCATTCTCCAAGCTCGCTAACCCGGGAAGGCTGCCGTTCAAGGGGCCGCTTCTGATCGTGCAGGGCACAGAAGACTCATCGGTCATGTACAATACGACCAGGACGACGGTGCAAGATACTTGCAAGCTCTACGCAGCAGATCTGGAGCTGCTGGCTGTCTCACAGGGCGGCCATTTCTCCGCCATCAATGCGGCGAAGCACACCTGGTTGCGGTGGATCGAGGATCGATTCGACCACCGGCCTCTTGCCAAGCGTGGTTGTGTCGAGTCCCAGTTGGATAGTCTGCTGCCAGCGGAAAACTATCAAGTGCAAGCCAACTCGTTCCCGATGTGGGCGGGGGAGGAACGGTTTGCTTATGAGGTGTCGACCGCACTCTGATCCTGACAATTTCATCTCAATTCGCAGGGTGACGGCGTATGTGGTGGGGTCCGAAAGTGTGAACTCCCGAACAGTGTCGCCTTCTTTTATATTCTGCTGTTCGTATGGTTCCTGCGTTCCGTGCGGTATAGTAGATTAGTGGTGGTGATTCCGCAGTTCTGCAGCAGACTGCAGACAACAACGTGTTTTCCTCAATCCACCTATGGTATAATGTCCCATAATTTGCCATTGTACTACAACCGGCACGTAGAGAGTCGTCTCTGAAAAAGGTCTCTGACGGTATAGTAGAATGCCAACAACAGGCCTTGCGATTGCATTGAACATCTACTGGATACTCAAACCCGGGGACGACATGGCAAGATAGTTACTGGTTATTAGGTACATGAGCTCATGCTAGGCCTGAGGCCTAGCGCGGTCAAGAAACAGGCTTTGAGAATGACATGGACTATGAAATATATTCAAAGTCCAGGCTGCTTCACAATCACACTCCCAGGACGGTGGCGAAATAGGGTACCTATGGAAGAGATGGCTAAATATCACCCTCTGGTGAGCTATTTATATTCCTGGCTGCTCAGAAGTCAGCAGCGTATCCATGATAGTTCTGTTGAAGAAAAAGGAAGGGTTAGGGAGCCTTACACTTGCAATTGACATTCAACCATGCACTGCATATCTCATCAGAATTGAAGCCTTCATCAACAGCCGAAAGGAACCGAGGATGATATCCAAGGACACAATAGTACTTAAACCACGGATAAGCTATTTGTTTCCAGATATAATACTGGACTGCTGATGCAAGCATAAGCAGGCTAACGTGTAACGGGTGTTAGTTAGCAATTCTATAGCTGGTGGCCTCGTAGCTGGAACCAACATGCGGGTCTTCTTCTTACCGGCTAGAAAATGTGTCAATCCAGAGGTCAGCGAGTGGAGGGCCAAACGGATAGGGGGTTCAAAGAGGAGCCAGGTTATACGTGAGTGTATAAAAGTGAAGTAGTACGAGGGAACTTACGTATTTGAAGTTGAGCTAAAGTGCTGTGGCATTAGCGGTTCCAGGACTGCCAACTCAAGTCAGAGTTTTCAGGACACTACTCACACTGGCTTTCGCGTCTAGTAACTGTAATTGTGTGTTAGCCTTCTCCTCACCCATTCAATCTCATTCCTTTTCATTTCTCTTCCCCCTCGACGACACATGGGTTGTCTTGCGCAAGTGACGTTCCCAGAGAATGCACGCGGAACAGCAGTTTGTGGACTTGGTGACAGCTTACCTGCCTCTTTCCCCGTGCTCGGTTTGAGGGTCCACCCTCCGCAGAGAATCCTGCTGCGAGCGTGCAGAGGAGCAGCAAGACGTAGGTTGCACGCATGGTCTGGAGTGTACAAAAGAGAATGGGAATCAGATCACGAGCGAGGATGAGTTCTAAAGGAAAAGGTGGCCGAGTCTTGCTGGGCGCCGGGGTTGTTTTAAATATCCACAACACTTCGCCACCTTCATTCCGGCCTGAATACTACTTTAACGTTGATATATTGATTCGATAGTGGCAATAAAGTCATCTAAGGTTCCATCGTATCCGGCAGCATTCACTTGCTCTTGGTCGATGATGATTCACGGGCGCGCCCACCAGTGTACTCGCCAGCCAATCGCTACTGTCACTGTAGCTTATCTTTACAAGAGTTTAATAAGCGGTGAAAAAGCATGCAGAGAAAATACATAAACGCTTATTGCTCTGTAGTAGTAGATCTTATTAGTGAACAAAAAGGCCGATTATTGTATTTAGTAATGTGTTTTGGGACCACTCTGCAGATAACATCTTACACGGTTCAGCTGTAGTCAAAAGCAGGACTTCGGATCTTATATTTTGTATCTTGTTGTTGATGGAGGGGCGTGATCACTGTGCCATTGTAGTTTTTTTTTTTTTTTTTTTGTTTCTTTTGCCCACCCCCACGGCAATATTAAATACTCATAGTATTAAACCCTTCTTGAACAAGTATGATTCGAACTGCTGTTGCTGCTTTAATTAAGCAGGGGGAGGCTGCTGATTGCCAAGTCTCTACCCTCCATGGCCACCAAGATTCTCCAACTGATAGAACTCGTTGAACTGTAAATGAGTAGCTGTAGTTAGAGGGTGGAAGACAAATTCTGCCCTCCAGCCGCCAAACAATTTCCATCTTTGGTGAAACATAACGTTTGTGGGGTGGATTCATGGTCTCTCGTATCGAGGCTTCAACCTCGGTATGAGTTTTATGGCCTTCCATCTTGCACCAGCGTATGTCTATATGTATAGTACATCATATCTTCCCAACATCTATTGTTCATCTATTATTCAATACTTCAACTGAGGCACTGCAATAGCCGGACTCCATTGGCCTGATTTCTCTCCCACGTGTAGATCTTATAGGCAATAAAAATAAAACGGTGATCATCGCATTACACGGGACAACTCTATCGAGTCCGCCCCTTGCGTTGTTGCAGAATGACACCTCCGATCCCTCACCGACGATCTGTAAAAGGTCGACGACTGATTTCCAAAACATCGCGCACTTGGAAACCCTATGATCAAACCTGGTCCATATCATTGTAGTGTGGAGTCAGCTCCACCATACTGAAAAGTCCTTCACATCCCATCCTGCATTCCGTGCCCTCTTCGGTCAGACAAGACACTCATCGCCCACGGCAAACCCAATGCCCTCTCTTTTCCACTAGACTCGTTCCTAAATCGCGACCATGAATCTCATTCTAATCAGTTTCATGCTCTCTGCGCTGGCCTCTCTGGCGCTCGCCAGGCCAATCGTCAATGACACACCAGGGGTCAGCCATGCCTCGAGCGAGGTCCATCACGGCCAAGTAGGCTCAACCAGTGAGTTGCCCATCGTACTATTCTTATGCCTGGAAATCTGCAATCTAGCCATGGGCTGACCTAATCGTCATCATCGCAATAGTTCTCCAGCACCCATACCATCCGTTTCAACCCGACAGGGGTGTTCATCTGGGCGAAGTCGTCGACCCGCGGTGAGGGGCCGGGAGTAATGGATTCGTAGTTCTGCTCGGGACCGTTTCGGGGCCTGGTGCATGATCAGGAAGACAACAACTGAACAGTCGAGCGGGGATTCTGTGCGGGTGGGATGGGGGTTTTTCTGCGGATGGCTCGCTTGGACGAAGCCAGCGGAGAAAAAGAGGGGATTGCCCAGAGCGAATTGACGACTCAAGACATGTCGAAGGTTTGACTGAGCTTTTTGTGTCGCCTGAGTGAGGTTTATGGTCGGTATGAACGATGGTTTGCACTTGCAAGGCTCCCTGAGTCTATTTACTGGTTGGGTCTTCTTTGCCTCGTGATGTCTCTTTGTGTCTTTGTGTTATTAGCCTTCTTTTGTCTAGTACCACTTGATGCGAGTCTGCATAACTCATTTATCAAATCAACAGACGAGGAGCGGGGTGTTAGAGGCAGAACGCTGTAATTTTCCATAGCCTTAGTTCGACCGGCGCCGGCAATCCATGCGCTATCATCATCTCGGGCTCTCTCTAGTTAGAGGGGGAGTCCATGGCGGTATCTCAATCTTGTCTTGATCGTTGATATTATTGTTAACGACGCTGATTTGTGTTATTGCATTGGTCTGATTGGCCGCCGGCAACATGTGGCGCGGAGATGACTACTTACCGCAGGTTGAAACTGAGACTAACGACGAAGCAAGTTCCTAAGTCAATGTGTTAAGCAGACGTTCAGTCCTTTGATTGATTTGAGAGAGGTGGCTTTTATTATGAACGTGAGGGATATGTTGTGATACGCGCCAAGTGTGTGGGAGGGAGGAGGGACAAAGGAGAAGAGTGGAAAGGGGGTAAGTGGAAACTGCTTTCCACAAGAACACCGGCAGGAATCTTCTCCTCTAATGTCGTGGTCAAATGTGGCGGAGAATAATGAGTCCTTGGCAGCAAACCCCCCAAGTCGAAGTCACTGTCCTTGTCATGAGGCTTTTCATGTATTCATGTGGGGTACAGTACGCCTAAACCACGCCCGGCAAGGAACTTGTGTCACCAACCCCGCTGGGACCCGACGACCCGGGATGCTGTTGACAGGTGGTACGAAGATTTCGCAGCCTACTACACACATGCTTGAAAGGAATACGGTGCAATTCTCGTCAGACGAGATAGAGGCGCATATCAAGCAGTGACACACATACGATAACATAATCATCATGAGCTTGGTCACTCTGACAAAGCTTAAAGGCGCATTGTAGAGCAAATCTGAGAAAGACACAACACAACCTAACCTTTCCAGCAGCAAATGTCTCCCTTCACATTGGCCTAAACAATCGGGAATTCAACCACAAAGGATGGCCGAACCCCCATCATCCATTGCCTAGAAGTTAAGCATACGACGCTCGTCCATGCGGACACAACCGTGCTTGTGGTCGCGCCAGTGGCCGCGTTGACACTCCTACCCAAGAGACATCAGTCACTTATTTTATATCGTTGCACCGGGGATCCATCAACTAACCTTGTCACAATACCAAGCCTCCTTGCACTTGCCGCACCTGCGAAGCGCGTGTCCCATATCCGATTGGATCTGACCGCAGTGGAAGCAGCTGCACAAGCATCATCAGTGTCGAAAACACATACACCAGCAACGAAAGAATAACTAACCTCGGCACTTCGAAGCTTCGTGGCATCCCAGCCTGGTAATGATCCAGAGCAGCCAAGAACTGCGCGCGACCCGGCGAGCGAAACGCCTCGTCAGCAAGGGCAACACATAGCGCGCGTTGCAGGTCACCTGCGGGACCAGCGCACGGAGATGCTCCAGAGAGGCAGAACTGATCCGGCCGCCGGCCCGCATGATCAAAGCCCCCATGATGATGGTTGTGTACTTGGGGGGGTCGAAGAGCTCTTTGTCTCCCTCCTTGGCGCGACACGCAGCGAGCATCTGTTCCCCGAGGCCGTCGGTGTCGAGCTTCTGGCGGATATATGGCAGGACCTCATGTCGCAACATGTGTGCTCGGGCAGCGGGCGTGGTGGCGGTTTCGGGGCCCAAGATTGTGTCCTCCAGATTCCAGAACCATTTCTTGTCGGCCTGGCCCGTGTAGTGGAGCATATCGCTAAGGAGGTCCATGTCCCGATCGCCTTCGAAGAGGCCTGGCGAGGGGGAAGCAAAGAGGTTAGCTTCGTTGATCTGAGGATAGAAAGTGACAAAAGGAAGAAAGTGAGGTTGAGACTTACGCCATCCCCAGCGACCCATGATGATGACGGTCGGTAAGTTGACAGTAGGGGAAGAGAACACCGTAAGCTGTAGGAGATACTTGAAAGATGTTGATTGAAAGGAACACGAAGATCAATGATTGACACGTCGGGTGGATGGGAAAGGCAAGTGAGACTGAGGAGGAAAGAGGGAAAGAAGAGTGAGGAAGTGAGAGGAAGAATTGAGATCACAGGGAGCAATACAAACAAAGGTGTTTGCACCGGTGGCTGCTTCTGGATGCACAACCAAGGCGTCAAATCTCAGTGAATGCGAGCTAGACATCAACAATCGAGTATGGCGACCAGAAGAGGAAACCGGACAAAAGGTTATTCGAGCAATGGTTGATATCATTAAGAGATACTCGCTTCCCATAGGCGAAGGCACACCCCGCTCACTGAGAAGATCCGTGCTAACGGCCTCGTGAAGAACACAGCATGTGGAAACTCCTCCAAGAACTTTTTGTCATACATTCACTTTGCTCGGGGCTGAGCAGGTTTCGGCTTCAAGGGTATATACACTTACATGAAGCACTCTGCGAGGAATGTAATCTTGAACGCTCTGAGCTAGACTGGATACACTATATATGGTACAGTAAAATCCCATGACCTATCTTTTCGAAGCTGAAAGCGATAGGCCTATGGTGGACACAGGTGATGTATTACTCAGATATTGCTATACATTAGTATCGGTGTACAGGATTCAATGAGGCATATGGTGTCAGGTTGCCGCTAACGTGGTGACATCCCTTATGCAGAGATGAAACGGCCAGGTTGGCTCAGCCACTTGTCCATGAAGTTGAAAGCAGTCTTGACAGTGTCACCGTACTGTCCAGGGTAGCTCTCGCAGGCGGTACAGGTGTCAATGGTGTGCTGGGCTCCCTCGGTAAAGGCAATGGACTTGTCCTTGGTGGTAGCAGCCAGGTAGATCTTCTCGGCGTTGAGGTACTCGTAGTGACCGGTGTTACCCATGGTCAGCAGGGGCTTCGAGATGCCAGGAACACTGCCAATGGGAGCAGTCTGCGACGAGGTCCAGTCGACACCAGTGATGTTATCCGCGGTGACTCGGAAGTTATCAGCATCGACGCGAATAGCAAAGGTCGACAGAAACCGGGTGATGGTGGTCTTGAGGGCTCCATCGTAGAAGGAGTCCGCCATGCTGGGAATGCCGGCCGAAGCGACGCGAACCGACGGGACAACCTGAGTAGTGTTGCTGCCGTCCTTGTGCAGGAGAGGCCACTTGTAGATAGTGTGAGCCAGGTAGCGCACGTCCTGGGTAATGAGCTTGTTGTTGAAGCCGAGGTAGTTGGCGTCGGGGATGACCAAGCCTTCGTCGTCGCTGTAGTCTCCGTTACCGGCGGCAATGAGCTCGTTGCGCTCGGTCGCAGAGGCCAGAATGCGGTTCCACCGGGCGGCAACGCCAGCCAAGAATTCCCGAACGAAGGTGGTGGTGTAGTTGGCCCCGTTCTCGGTCCAGCCGTTGGCCGCGCTGTACAGGTTCAGCTTGGAGTTGATATCGGCTCCGGTGGTCTCGTTGGTGATGGCAGGGTTGAGAGACAGCAGAGTCATGGTGGACAGGCCAAAGTTGGCATCGATGAGCAGCACTCCGTCGGCAGCGGGCAAGCCATCCATCGCGCTGGAGCAGGGGTACAGCTTCTCAGTGCCGTTGCAGGCAGAGGCTCCGTTCTCGGCCACGTTCTGATAGGCGGCCATCATCGCACCGCCGCCGGAGTGACCCCAGATGATCACCTGATCAATGTCGGTCAAGTTGCGCAGGAATTGCACTCCCGTTCCGACGTCAGTCATCATTGTCTCGAAGTCGAGGTCATTCATGAGACCGGTTTTGCTCTGGGCGTTGTTCAAGCAGAGAGTGGTGTATCCACGGACGGGCAGCTCGCTGCAGGGGTAGAAAGTGGTGTAATCCTGCTCGGCGTGCATGACCAGGATGCCGATCCGAGCCTTGGCTGGATCAGCACTGGCAAGGGGACGAAAGAGACCGCCAATGACGCCCGTGCCGAAAGTCACCAACGAGGGAATGGGAAGGCTAAAATTTCCCAGGGAAGTATGCGTGAACTGGGTGGGCCATTTGCTGGAAGCACTGGAGCTGGCGCTGGCAGAGAGGCCGAAGCCGGCCAGGGCCGCGAGGGCGGACTGCTTGAATGATGGCATCGATCTTCGAGGCAATGGAAGTGAAGAGGCAAGCAAGATGTTCGCAGACGGGGATATGCTTGTCAATCTGTTGTACCTGCAGGAATACCCTTGTCCATATTTATAACCATCTATAAGGTCGGCAGGGGAATCCTTGCGAAGATTAAGTCCGAGGTATCCCCCGGCACGGACTGGGTAATGGCTGTACTATAACCTGGATAAGGTAGGGTCTATTTCAGCATCCGGTCTCTCTGCCGCGCCTGGTTTGCGGAAGCTTTCCTGCATTGAGTTGTGAGGACTACGATCAGTGGGCCCCTGCGCGTAAATAATCTTCCCGTCCACTCAATCCCCGGACTTGAGTATGGGAGCTGCGCCATTTAACGGCGGTATCGGAGCAAGTTGCCTTCTGCAGACCCGGCACATGCTGATCGCTCGGGCCGTGCCATAACTTGGTGAATTCGGCAGGCTGGTCGTACGAGTACATGTGGATCACTTGAAACATCCTAGTGGTCAGATAAACGACATAGTACATAGTACTACTAAGTATGTAGAAAAGTCGACTTCGACTAGGGTTTTGAGTTTTCCCGGAGATTGATAACACCGAACACAGCAGCAGTTCAGACAATTCGAATTACCAGCCGACATCAGCCAACATCGATTGTGCGGCAATCGTCAAGCCGGGCAATTGGATCTCCACTAACCCAGGTTCCAGAACTGCTTCCCGCTTCCAACAATGACTGGCTCAAACTTAAAACCTTAAGAATCATTCCTACTCAGCACATCGATGACCACGCAATGCTCACCTGATGCAAAACATAAACATAACCTACCAGCAGCCTTTGCGAAAAGACACAGCGTGAATCGACAGAGAAGGAACACGATCGGTTGGTAATCCAGAACTCTTGGCAACCATCTACAGAAAGCATTGGTAGTGGTAGCAAAGAAGATGAAGAAGCATCGGTAAATCTTGAAAATTAAAGCCCGCGTGAGAAGCTAAGACTTTCACCAGATCCGTCTGACCGCGGTATGCTGGAGGGATAATTGAGAGCCATACGCTAGAGGTATCAAAAGAGCAACATTCACCAGTACGGGAATGTCTCTATTTCCTTCTCTTCACCGAGAAGATACGACACATATCTATTTCTGCTTAGCTAGAGCGCGTCGGTGAGAAGGCGGGTTGAGAAGCCTAGAGACGGGGCTCAGCGAGAAAGGCAAAGCAGGAAAATTGAGAGTTAGTCATAGGCTCAGTTATTACTCCGTACCCCGTGGCACTTGAAAAAGAAAACAAGCATGAGAGGCAAGAAAGCAACTCTTGAACCTCCCAGTCGAAGAACAGCATTTCAAGTTAGAAAGATGAGTAGACAGGTTGACTAATTTGCTGTTTCTGACAAAAGCTTTGAGATCTCCCTCCGCCGTGTGTGTCAACTAGATATTTCCTCCAAAAGCACTGATCGAGACGGGCCCCTGCTCGGCACGTCACGTGAGTGACTGATAGCACCCACTGTAAGACCATATAACACCGAGGCATTCTCAATTTGCGACCAAATCTGCGACCAATCCTCTTAGGTGGTTAGACCATCGGTGACCGTCGTGCTTTCTCCTGTCTTTTTAGTGCTCCGCCAAAATCTTCAGTTAAGGCTGATGGCTGCACCGAGTCATGCCTCGACAAACAAAGGCTGCAGATCGTCAAAGATCCCTGTCTAGTCTCTCTTAATGACTGCTGCTTTGCCTGATTTAGCGATTGCTTCTTTTCTCCTCTCTTAAGATCTCATGCAACGTCTCTTCCTCCACCTCCTCTCTTCCAAAGCTTTAATTCCCCGCAACCGTCCGCACTCTGTGATGAACCGGGGAAGAACCCGCCGCGCCCGACTGAAACGGTCGAAAACGGGGTGTCGCACGTGCCGGTACGCAGTTCATCCGCGCTCGACAAGTAGCCATTAGTCGACTAGGCAGCGAACAGGCTGACACTTGACGGCAGGGCCCGTCACGTCAAATGTGACGAAAACCCAGGCAAGTGCCAAAATTGTACCTCGACTAGACGGCAACGCGACGGCTATGATACCCATCGGCTGCTTTTCCCCACCAGACAAACGCGCCATTCCGAGCGACTGCCACTGTCACCTCCGGTCGCAGTCACCGTCCCGTGGTCCAGTACCTCCGATGAGCGCCGCTGCTTTGGCTTTGTGCAAGCCCGCACGATTCCCGACGTGCTCGGCTACTTCGACTCTGATATGGGAGCAATTTGTGCTGCAGATGGTGCGCCGGGAACCCGCGGTTTGGCATGCTGTCATTTCTTTAGGCGCGGTGCACCAACACATGGAGCCTGGGTTGATGGGCGGGTCGACCGTCTGGGAATTGATGGCGGTCGCGCAGTCAACGAGGTCCTTCGCCTGCCTGCGTCGACGGAATCCACGGGACACACAGATGCGGGAGGTGACATTAGTCTCTTGTCTGTTGTTCACCATCAAGAACGTGGTGCGGCAGGAGTTAGGCACTGCCGTGCAGCATATCCGTGCTGGCCTGCGCATTCTGGATGGAGATAAGCTCTCAACTAGCAGTGCCGGTCAGCCGCTTCATCTCTTTTGGCTGCATGCCTTCCGACATCTCGATACCCAGATCGGCAGTGACCGCTTGTTAATGGGTGAGTGCAGTGACGCTAGCAGCAGCACAGAAGACGCGTCTCGAGGATCGAAGGTGGCGGTCCAACCGGCAGTAGACCCTACATGACTGTCATGGTTCTCGCACCCCCAAGGCCCTTGCACCGTTTCTTCCGCCCGCCACATGCTGGAGCCCCTCTATAACCGCTTTTTCAAGTTCATCCGGCAGTGCTGGCGGATGTCCCGAGCGGGACTCCAGTCTGCTACCGCCACGCCTGTCTTGGCGGAGCAGGTCAGTCTCACCGCGCAATACCACCGCGCCCGGCACTTTTGGCGCACCTTTCGTATGGAGCAAGATCCCAGTAGGTTCAGCCCCAAGGATCAGCGTGGAGCCGAGGAGCTCGAGATCTGGCTGATGGCCGTTCAATCTCGGCTTGCAGACGGGGCACCTCCACGGAGACCCGGCGGCGCTGCAGCGGTTTACACCGCAGTATCGCGACTTGCTCAATCGGGAATCAACGCTTTCTTGCGTGCTTCCACAACGACCTACGTTGCTGGTCGATATGGGCGTGCTGCTGACGATCTTCTTTGTGGGCGACGGCTGCCAGGACCTCTCCGTCCGGTGGGAGGCCCTTCGGGCGCATTTTGCCTTGCCCCACCAGGAAGGCCCATTCAGAGCGCCGCTGATGGCCGCCCGGCTGAAACATTTGATTTGCGCCCAACTGAGGGTTCGCGTTCGGGCCGACCTGGTGGCGTCGTTCGGACTCGCTTCGTATCAGCCGGTGAAAAGCTGCTTGGAAGAGATAGAAGAGCTGGTCGAAACAGAAACTGACCTGACCTAAGAGCAAATGCGGTCTGAGCTCCTATGGCAATGAAGAAGCCCGAGAGAGATCAGCGCACATGTTGTCCGCACTAGATCGGATGCACGACCACTGGGGGTCAGTAGCGAGAATGAAAAGGATTGAGGGGTCTGGAACCCCGTGACAGTACTGGTATAGTATGATTCGCGCCTGATTTGCTGATTTGCTGATTTGACTCGCGGACTTTGTTGCCGGGGTCCACTTCCTGAGATCTGGGGAGTCGATGACAATCCCAACGGCGGGCCGGGCCCCGGTGTTCCTTCGACCTTCCAGATCCCCAATTGTTCTATCCCACTGAGTTGGCTGGATGTGACGAACCGGATGGGTGTGGTATTGAAGACATCAAAGTTCTTGAAGTTCTTGGTACTGCCGAGGCCGTGGTCTTCCGACTGAGCGTTGAAGTACATACGTTTTCTCAAGCCCGAGTATCATGTACTGTACATACCGTATCCTTTCATGGATAGGCAGCAGAAATGTGGTTTTGTCCCGGTTTAGAGCTCTTGCTTGGCAAAGATAATACGGAGTACAGCTGAATCGTTCCCGATGGTTTGTGTCTCGGCTAATCTTGCCCGCCCTCCCGTGAACTGGAGTGAACTCGTAACTTATTTCCCACGCTATTTCTCAGCTTCTCGCAACGGCGCAACGCCACATCAATAGACCATTGGAGCAACAAAGTCCGCCTTGCTCGAACAGGCAAATCTCGGCAACCGCCAGCAGCAGCCGAGTTGTGATGGCGCAGCTGAACCCTAAGCCACCTGATGTGGCAGCTTATCATCTACAACGCTTGCAGCGCTTTTGCCCCACCAAACACGGAGTCGCCGGGACTATACGACTATTTACATTCGTCCCCTTCCCCTCCCACAATGGGTGTGTCTCTGCCACAAGGTAATTGAGAAACCCAACATACACGAGGGTTTCCACTCAAAATGAACGTCTTTGGCACCTACACGGACTCCGCCGCCACGCCACTCCTAGGAGGGGAGTGCGGCAAACGTCTGATCCCCCACGTTATCGACGCGACGGCCAACGCAACTCCCGACGCAGAGTGTCTGTCCGTTCCTCGCAGCAACGGCAATCCCCAGGCGGGATGGAAACGCGTCAGCTGGGCGCAGGTCGCCAACGCCGTCAACTACGTAGCGCACATGCTCACCCGGGAGGGGGGCACTCCGACTCCCGGGACGTTTCCCACCGTCGCCTACATCGGTCTGGAGGACCCGCGGTATCCGATCTTCGCAACCGGCGCCGTCAAAGCCGGCTACCAGGCACTCTTCATCTCTCCGCGGAATTCGGTCGAAGCACAGCTGAATCTCTTCGAGAAAACCGACTGCAACCTGCTCTATCATGAAGCACAATACGCCGCGATGGTGCAACCGTGGGTCGAGAGGCGCCCCGGGATGAAGCGCGTGGCCGTCGCGCCATGGGACGAATGGGTGAGCACGGAGGTCGCACCGTTCCCCTACACCAAGACCTTCGAGGAGGCCGAATGGGATCCCTTTGTGGTGCTGCACACGAGCGGCAGTACCGGGCTGCCGAAGCCGGTCGTCATCCATCAGGGCACGCTCGCCCTGAACGACCTCCATCGCTATGTCCCGGAGTACGAGGGCAATCTGCCTTGGTTGGCGACCTGGGCCAAGTTCCCCAACAAGCGTTACCTTAATATCTTTCCTTTGTTCCACACTGCTGGCATCGCGCCGACGACCTTGATGGCATTCTACTACGATGCGCCGATCGCGTTTCGGGATCCTTCCGTACCCATCACCGGTGATAACGTGGTGGACTGGTTGCAGAATACGGACGCAGGGTTTACGCTGATGCCGCCGGCAGTCTTGGAACAGATGTCGCGGTCGGACGTCGCGATCGAGGAGCTGAAGAAGCTCCATGCGGTGGGATTTGCAGGGGGTGAGCACAGCCTTTCCCATATGAGGATAATTGCTGATTGGGTCTTCTGCCTTTAGGCCCCGTCGCTCCGGATCCCGCCAACCATCTGTTAAGCCATGGTGTGAAATTGGTAAACGCCATCGGCTCGACCGAGTAAGTGAAATTCGCCCGCGCTGCGGACAACAATTGCTCACTGAATATGTCAGGTATATCTACATGCCATACTACAACCAACCCGATGCCACCCTGTGGCCCTGGTTCATCGTTCCCACGGAGCTGATGGGCATCGAATGGCGCCCGTTCGGTGAGGACACATACGAGCAAGTGATTGTGCGCAAGGACAAAAATCACCCCGGTCTGCAGGGCTGCTTCTACGCTTTCCCAGAGCTGCAGGAGTTCAGTACGAAGGACCTGTATCGGCCTCATCCCACCCTACCGAACCACTGGACCTACGTCGGGCGAGCGGACGACATCATCATCTTCTCCAACGGCGAGAAACTCAACCCCACGACCATCGAAGGCGCCGTGATGGGCCACCCGGGCGTGCGGGGCGCCCAGGTCGTCGGCAGCAGCTACTTCCACGCTGCGCTGATCATCGAGCCGGCGCAGCATCCGACGAGCGAACAGGAGAAACAGCAGTTCCTCGATGACGTGTGGCCGATCGTGGAGAAAGTCAACGTCGAGACGGTCGCCCACGGCCGCATCTCGCGGGACTACATCTTCCTCTCCGACGCGGAACGGCCCTTCCCGCGGGCCGGCAAGGGCACCATCCAGCGTGCCATGGTCGTCAAGGTCTACGCCGAGGACATCGAGCGCATCTTCGCAGCCAGCAGTGACGCGTCTGTGGTGGCAGTGGACCTCGACTTAACCTCCAGCGAGAAATTCGAGGACTCACTGCGCAAGCTGGTGCATAGTGTGCTCAAGCTGCCCACTCTCTGCGCCGACCAGGACTTCTTCTCCGCTGGCGCAGACTCCCTCCAAGCCATCCAACTGGCCCGGTCACTGCGGGCGAGCCTGGAGAAGGCAACCACACTCCCCGATCACGCAGCCATTGACGCTCAAACTATCTATACCCACCCGACCATCTCCCAGCTCGCCACCTACGCCTACTCCCTTACCACCAGCACACCCTCATCCACAGTCCAGTCCTCCCCCACCGACGAAATCCTCTACACCACCCTCGTAGAGAAATACACCGCCACCCTCCCCGCGCTCAACCCAACCAAACCCTTCTCCCGCAACTCCCCACGAACCCTCCTCCTGACCGGCACAACCGGCACCCTGGGCCCATACCTCCTCTCGACCGCCCTGCGCAACCCCAACATCCACAAGATCATCTGCCTCAACCGCGACCCCAACGCCGCGACCCGCCAACAAACCACGCACAGCACGCTCTGCCTCCCCACCGACTTCTCGCGCGTGGAATTCCACACCGCGGACCTCACCCACCCGACCCTCGCCCTCCCCTCCGCCCTCTACACCGCCCTCACCCAAACCGTCGACCAGATCATCCACAACGCCTGGCCCGTCAACTTCAACCTCGCCCTCTCCTCCTTCGAACCCAGCATCCGCGGCGTCCGCCACCTGCTCGACTTCAGCCTTGCATCTCCCAAGCACATCCCGATCAGCTTCATCTCCAGCGTCAGCACCCTCGCCAACTGGCCCTCCCCGGACACAGCCATCCCGGAACAGGGCTTCGAGGAATGGAGCTATGCGGTCGGCGGGTACGGCCAGTCCAAGCTCGTGGCCAGTCGGGTGCTGGAGACGGCCAGTCGGGTCTCCGGCGTGCCCTGCAAGATCATCCGCGTCGGACAGGTTGGTGGGCCCCGCGGGGAACCGGGGATGTGGAATGTGCGCGAGTGGGTGCCCAGCTTGGTTCGCAGCTCGTTGTACCTGGGGCTTTTGCCGGAGACGCTGGGTGGCTTGGTGGCGGCGGGCGGGTGGATGTGTGTCGAGGATGTGGCCGGGGTGATTTTGGAGGTTTCGGGGGTGGTGGAGGGGTCTCGGGCTGTTGGCAACGTAGGTGACGCTGAAACGGGTGGGGAGGAGCAAGGCGCCGGGTACTTTCACGCCATCAATCCGCATGCGGTCGATTGGGCCGGTCTGGTGCCGGGGTTGCGCGAGTTCTACGGCGACCGGATCAAGAAGGTGGTTCCGTTTGAGGAGTGGGTGGATGCGTTGGAGGCCAGTCTGGGGTCGATGGCGGCCGAGGACGCGGAGGTTAATCCCGGCGTGAAGCTGTTGAGTACGTACCGTGAGGCGGCGCGGGAGACGACTGCCCGGGCGAAGGGCTTCGAGACGGCCCGCACGGAGGCGGCGAGTCCCACGATGCGCGGGGTGCAGCCTGTTACCCCGGAGTTGATGAGGCATTGGTGCCAGCAGTGGGGTTTCTGAAGGGGTTATGCTATTCTACCTTGAGACTGCATCTGTTGAGGTCGGAGTTTGGCCGAACAGAATTAATCTTCACTATATAGAGCTTCTAATGCTACCATGCATTCTACATTTCACTTTCCAGGATAAGAAGGATATATAGGATCTCATTTCTAAGAGTATATGATCAAGGCTGGTTTAATCACATCGTTATGCTTCATAAATAGCCCATAAGTAATCTCCCTTGGGCTCTAGTCCTGGATCCAACTAATCATAATTACACAGTAGAATAGGAATCGAGAGTCCCCCGTTCAGTCCCTGGGAGCCTGTGGGGACAACCACCTTCGAGAACTCGGCCATCAGGGTCCGAGTTCATCGTCACTACCTCTGACACCGACTTGTGTACCTTTATTGGTCTTGGCTTCGACAGAACCGACTATGGACGGATAATACAGGTCGAGACCCCGACAGTGGTCCAGATGACGGAGGGTCGGACGCCGATGTGTTTCCCGGGCGGAATGTCTCGCCGCTGGACCCCCGTACCAAGATGGAAATCCCTTTTCGGCCGCTTGTGGGCCAGGATGCATATACGTCGGCATCTAGCGAAGTCTTCGGCTGAGTGATGCGCAACTGTGAAGGCCTGCCGCCTGAAAGCATCTTCCGAGACAAGTGGCTGCAGGAGGAAGAAGAGGATGATGAGAGCGACTCGTTCCACTCCGCCAATTACCCTGACTCTAGTGATGCTGACTGCTGCAATGATTATGGCAACAATGATGCCGTTAAGGATACGCGAGTAGGGCGGAGTGTTCAGGACCGGCTAGCCGCAGCGGAGAGGCCGTCTTGCCGGGTGCTGATACTGGCGCGTTTCTTACAAGAAGACCTCATTTCCAGCGAAACAAATATTTATTGAGTACATCATTAAATAAGTATGAGATCCTTGCAGCTCTGAATCGCAGTGGGGTGGGTTTATACTCTGTGACTGCCACCCGCCCATCCTGCGAGCCCGAGCATCCAATGGACTCTCAGACGGCTTTGATATAAAGTACGCCTGATGGAAAATCTACGCAGATCCACTGATGCCCCTAGTCCACTACCCTTCGACATTCAACTACGTAGCGATCACAAAAAACTTAGTTCAGGGTTGGAGAAGCTAATGATAACCGATAGTTATCGACGAATCAGGCCACAGGTCAGCTCACGACCACTCCAACTGCCAGACCCTCACCTTGTCGAACGATCGCGGCCGGTATGATATCTGCACCCTGTCACCGCCTCGCTTAACCACGACGTCCATCATAGCCGACAGAGACGTGGAACAACGACCGGCGCGAGACGCCGACATTAGCGGCAGTCCGTCCTCCAAGCCGGCGTCGGCGGATCTCGATCCCGCCACAACCCCGCGAATCACACGCCGGTTGATATTGGATAAACTGAACCCAAAGTCCAGAATCTCTTGCTCGCTAGGGCTGAGCACCCAATGCCCATAGATCACAAAGGTGCCGCCCAAGTCGAGAAGTCGCCCGCCCAGCATATCCTGCAGCTCACCCGCGACTCCCGCACCCAGGAACGGGCGCAGATACTCCAGCCAGTCGCTCGCCCGAAGGCGCTCGCCGCCACGCCACCGTCTCGCCATATCAATGACAATCTCATCCAGCGGGCCGTCCGCGTCCCGCCCAAACCGCCCCGTCATCTTCCGCAGACAGCTGTCCACCTGCAGCAAATAGGCGCAGCCCCGCATATACGGGATCAGCTCCGCATACCAATCGTCATAGAACTCCGTCTGCGAGTCGCGCGCATCCATGCCGATGCGCGGACTGGTCCCGTATGCACTCAGGTATGCATTGACACGATTGCGAAGATAGTCCGCCCCGCGGAGGCCGAAGCGATAGGGGAGGTAGGCGGAGTAGAGCTGCGCGAGCCCTAACACCGCACCCGTGAGCATTGCGCTACATACACTCTTTCTGCCCGACACATGATAAAATCCGCCTTGGAAACTTGAGAACTCATACCTTCAATAAACACCCATTATCGTACCCATCCGCCTTCGGCCCCATCATCACAAAGCTGTGAATCATCTCGTGCGAGAACAGCGCCACCAGCTCCTCCTCCGTCTCGTTCCGGCTCGACTCATCGTACTCCAAAACATAACTCTGCTGGCAGCCGTGGCCCCCGAACCCGCGAAGCACCCGTCGGATGAAGATGTGGTACGATGTCGCATTGGAGTCCCGGAAGAACACGGCCAATTTCGGATACAGCAGGACGCTGTACGCATTGAGCCGCCGCAGGTTCTCCGGGAGCTGGCCGAACCAGAAGATCTGCGCGCGCGGAGCAGCAACAACGCCGCCACAGCCGCGGCATGGATCACTCCGGATCGGTCCGACCATGTACACCGAATCGACGAGGACGGTCGGCGGGCCGATCTTCACCACGGGGTCCGGACCCTCCCCGAACGACCAGACGGCGCGGGTGGGCTGCGCAGCCGCCGGCGCGTGCGAGAGGTCCCACGCCACGACATGCCGGTAGACCCGGTCGTCGGCCGCGGGGCGAGGCAGGAACCAGCGCCCGTTGCCGATCAACCCGCCTGGTCGCGGCGGAGGTCGACCCGCGGGCCGACGGGCGTCGTGATGTCCACGGGCCGCGGGGCGACGCCGAATCGCAGCTGCACGTCGCCCACCGTGTCGCGGTCGACGCGCCATTCCTGGTCTGCGTTGGTTGAGTAGTGGTGGGTCGGGTCGATGAAGTACAGAGGGAGGGGGCCGGCTGCGTCGGACGCTGTGATGTCGCGCTCGGTGTATGGGTGGGCGGGGACGTTGCCGTAGTAGGTCTCGAAGAGGAAGAGCGGGTGGTGGGCCGCGCAGTGCGGGGCTTGGAGGGTGAGTTGCACGGATAGTCGGTCGGCTTCTGCGGCGGTGGTGAAGTGAGGCGTGATGGTGAGGTTGAGCGTGCTGGGGCTGCTTCTTGAGGGTAGCTCGGCACAGTAGTTCATCGTGGCATGGAATGAGGGTCCGTGGGAGTAGGCTTAGGGCAAGCTTGGGGGTTCGGGTTGACAAGGGCGAGAAATGTAGCTGGTGGGAGGCGAGGGCGGGGGAGGTTATCTTTGAAATATGCGAGATCCCAGTTCTAAATTGCCCCTCACCGGGTTTAATCCCTGCTTCTTGTGACGCATAGGGATTTAGTATATCGACGCAAGCACTATAAGAGCACTAGTCACGGCACAAGCCACGATGCAGCACTAATTGGCCGGGTGAAGCCAACCCCCTACCAGTAGCCATGCCATTGCTTGGTGCACGCGGTCGACAGTTGACTACGTTATCAGTTGGGGATGGGTTAAGTTATTCGTTGTCTCACTTCACCCCTCATTCCAGTTTGTTGGCATTTTTGATGCCGTCTGTTCTCTAGACGTACAAAATGAAGCCAGCGAAATGCAGGTGAGAAAAACATGGATAACATGATGGAGGGACGAGGGGTGATGCTAACGGGTGCTGATCGTCAAGTGATCATTATGGCTCTTTCGTGGGCCTCTTTGTCTCGCACCACATTTACAATGAGTTGACCGTACCGTAGAACCATTTCTAGCGATGCGGGTACACTTTGACAAAGGGCCGGGGTGTATGAATCTGGAGAGTGTCTTTTATAAAGCTTCACGGTCTTTCCCGCTAAGATCTGGCCCCGGTGCACTCCCTTTCTCCATCTACTCGTATACATACACATTAGCAACATCACGACATCTTACGACGAACGAGCTCCTGGCCTCGACATGCCGTATGCATCGGTTCCAATCTTAAGTGTGAGCAAAATATATATATAAAAAAAAAAGAACGATTCACGCATGCTCCCCGGGAAAACGCTCCATGGCAAACAACGGGACCGCGGGGAGCCAGACGGTGAGAGAGCCCTGCGTCAATTCCGTCGAACTCCGACGTAATGAGACAAGCTAATAGAACTCGAGCACTTCTCGAGTTGTCTCCGGCTAAGCACCCCAAGAAGAAGACAAGCGACACGAGCAGCGAAGCGCGGAAGAACTGTGCCTACCACGCGCGCGATTGTCCCCTGGAGAGCCCCAGCGCCGGGATACTACCACCCAGCCCCCGGACGGTGGCGATGAGCCTGGGCCCTCACTATTACCATACCCGTACTATCGGGTTGAAGAACGGATCTCAGATGACGACCCGTGAATCTTTAACGGGAGTTTACTGGGCTCTGGATACGGTGTTCACAATATTCCTGGACGACGAATCGCCACTCGAGGTGGTCGGCCCACTCGCAGCAAAATGTCGCTCTCTTCACGCCAGCCATGAGACCCCCGAACCATTCCAACAGGTGGTCAGGAGGACCGAGGCAGCACCCGAGTCAGCATCGCAGCGTCATTCGTACCAAGCACGATATGATAGCGTCAGCTTTCCGAGAGTTGCTTAGTTGTCAATACAACGCTTGTCCTGCCGTCCTAACATATATGAACCATAGACAAAATGGAACAGTGGGTAAGGAGCTCACAATAAGGTGTGTAGTTGCACGGTCTGGCAAGAGAGGTATGGGAAGTTGGCAGGCGAGAGAAGGGGGAAGTCGCGGGCATATGACCTCACTTGACATGAGGTACTAATATTTAGGTGGAACATTGGCCGAAGGTACACGATATTCAACATACACATGGTTCCGCTGTCAACACGATGATGGAATCCTGACGCGGATATGAGATCCGGAAGACGAGTCATCGTTAAGGCCGTTCCACTACAATCACCGCCCTCTCTGACTCTTCCAACAGCCCAACCTCTTCCTTCTTACCTCTGCTTCTCAATCTGTCCTTCGACGGTTGATTTAAGTTACTGCATCAACAAACATGAAATCGTTTTTCATAGTTATAAGAAGACTATGGGAAGCCCTTTTCCAAAGACAAAGACAGCAATGCAGATTCGTCCTAATCCCAGAGTTACTAGAAATGATTCCCCTTCAGCTCAACATGCGCGAGTTGCTCTTATCATCTCGAGTCTGCCGCCATTGGTACAATGTTATCCAACAATCCAGCCGAATTCAGAGAGCATTGTTCTTCCGTCCCAGCCTCCCGCGCGCAGCAATCGGTGAACCGGGGCTGAAGAATCCACTGGTGCGGGACAAGATATGGGATGAATTCTTCGTCCGCGTACTCGACTCGCGTCGGCGACCTGGGAACGAAAGACACCATCTTCCGAAGATAGGATCCCGCAAACGGGAAGATGCGTATCTACGTCCTGAAGCCAGCTGGAGGAGGATGCTGCTGCACCAGCCGCCTACCTCATTCATCCGGTTCCTGGATCCAGATTGGTGCTGGTCGGTGCCGGGGATTCCATACAGCCATGCATATTGGTCGAGGCCGGCGGCAGAGAGTGGAGGAGCCATCACGGTGGGCGATCTGGAGCGGTTGATCGACGCCGGGGCGATTGTTCCATCGGCCAGGCCGTTTGTTTGCTGTCCGGAGGTCATACGCCAGCCGGTCCGTTGGCGGGAGGCGTACGGCTGGCTATCCGAAGGCGACAGTTACCGCCGGGCGTTCGTGGATCGTTACCTCGAATGCTACGACTTGATCATCTATGTTGACGATGAGACCAACTGGCACTGGCAACGGACTTCCACACCTACGCCATTCACGGAGTGGGTCATGTCTGCAGGCCTGAAGCTGCGGAAGCTGGAGACCCCCTCTGAAGCATTGATCAATGGGAAAGAGGGCGACAAGGTTTATCGAGAATTGGCACTTCTTCGTGGTTTCTGACATAGCACGCAGTTGCTCGCTTTGTGGCGGATAATAGATTGCTTGCTTCTAGTAAAGGTGTTTTACAACTTTTGTTCGTGATGTGGAGCCCTTGGTCGGTTGGCCGCTAATAGTCAACCATACCGGATGGCAACCACCAAGCGCACTCATCGTATGCCAGATACCACTTACATTGAACGATAATAGCTATTGTAGTAAGCAGTGTACCTTAATCCAAGGTGCTCATTTCATTTAACAATATTCACCTAGTGCTTTCAGATATTTCGACTTTGGAAACATATGATTGCAGGTATTCTCCAACAGCTTTTCTCACCAATGTTATTTTAGGGCTCTAGACGATAGTCATAGCTTTCAGGATTTAAATTGAATCGAGGAGCTTGAGTTGTGTATCTAAAGATCTGTTTATTAACTCTTTGCATTGAGATCAACACTTCGGTATGACACCTTTCCTGTAGCTTCTATTTATAGGTCAATGTGAGCGGTAAACCAACCTAAGCACTAGTGTTCGAGCAGGAAAACACGAACTCCTCTGTCCACATAGGCTGTAACCTCGTTGGAAACCCGAAGTAAATCAGAATATAATAAGGCGTTTTCAATTATCCTGTATCTAACGCTCTCACCCTGACTCAGAGACCTGCATCCCCTCCGGGCCGAAAGACCGCGCGAAGCTTTCCTTCTCAGGATCCTCCGCCCACGCCCGGTACGCACTCCAATGTACCACCGGCGATTGCTCACACATCTCCGACCAGCTCATGTTCGAAATATTTACATTTATATAGACCCCCTCCGCCTCTTCCAGATTCCTCCGCTCGTATCCATACCCCGTGGAGAGGTACCCAAACGAACGGCCCGTTTCGTCCTGAAACCAGACATCGCCGCCCTCGTACGACGCGACGATAACAGCCTCCCAATCCTCCCGCTCATCGGCCGGCTCCATGGCATCCGCCAGCGTCCGGCGGTCAACGGCCAGGAACTGCAGCGGCGGGCAGTGGTTGCGGTGGTGGTGGGCGAATTCCTCGGAGGTCTCGAAGTACGCCAGCAGGCCCTGCATATCCGGGGAGGCCAGTCGGTCCGCGACGTCGACCCACATGTACTCCTGGTCGGGGCACGGGAACAGTTCCGTGCGGATCTGGCGGAGCTCGGAGGGCGTCATGCGTTCGAGCACGAAGATCACATCGCTGCCCAGGCTGCCGGCGATATCGTCCGGGTCGACGATGGGTTCCCCGCCGCCGCCGTGGGCGTGCACGTCGTACATGGCTGGGTTGTAGCGGTATGGGCCCCGGGGCATGCGGTTTGAGGTCCGGGAGTATGGGTTCCAGGCGGCCGTCCAGAAATCTCGGACCTTCTCGAAAGATAGGATATCCAGCTCCAGTCGCTTGTCCCGGGGGTCGAACACGCTGTACCCGCTGGCGCCCCTGGCGCGGACGACGTGGTAGCCTTCGGAGTCCTCGTCGATGAAGAGCGCGAAGGCCTCGTCGATATCCGGGTGGCGGATCTTGAGCGCCTGGAACATGCGGTAGAGCTGCGCGCGGGAGCAGGGTTCTTGGTGTGGCGGCCAGTTGTGAATGATGATACGATGCCCGATCATCGTCTCGAGGTTCTCCTGGACGACTGGCGGGAGGTGGATGAGTGAGATTAGAGTCGGGGTGGACGGGTCGAGCTGTAGCCCTGATAGATGCGGTGGGAGGACGCCGTTGGGTTCCTATAGCCTTCTCTTAGCATCGTTCCGTTGAACCATGGTCGCAACATGGGTGTTGGATCACCTTGAATGTCGGTTCTTGGCTCCGCTCGGGCTGGATGCGGGGGTATGTCGGTGGTAGTATGCCGCCCTCAGCCACCACGGCTAGCAGCATATTGGCCCGGCCAAGCGGCACCCGCGCAGCTTCGGGGGAGGATTCCTTGGACGACTTCCAGGCGATGATCGCTGTATGGTCTATGCGAGACTGGTCGTCGAGGAATATGACTGGATCATTTTTGAGTATCGTGAAGATTACCGATGTTGGCGGCACGCAATCCATCAACCACGGAATCTCTACCATTTGCCGCAGTTCCGTCGAAGGACGATCTGGCCAGTTTTTATCCACGGAGCTGAGTTCTGTCATCATCTCAACACGCTCTGTGTCCTCCATGGGGCAGATAAAGACCACCTGCCATGTCTGAGGTGCAGTCCTGCGGAAACGAGAGAATTCAGAGAGGCTGGGGAGCAGCCAGGATGGAGGGTTTGTGGTTGTCATCTTGGCTTGCCGCTGGTATTGAAGCAAAAGGGCGTCTTGGAGATTGACCAAAACAAAGTTCAGTTTACAGAAACTGATGAGGGAGGATTACTAAGCCAGCTAGGCAACAGTGGTTTAGTGTCTCGATTCTGCCTGTTGAGAATGAGTCGGGCACTTAACAGGAGATACATAAGATGAGGAACTCGCGTGCTTAGGGCTATTGTAACTGAGCTCCTTGGGTTGCCCGGGACCGGTGAGCATCCGAGTATATGTAAGTCACTTGCGTTTGTTTTACTTCATGTACAGTAGTGGAGACGGCTCTTTGCCCCTGAGAGCGCATTGCTTTTCTGCACCCCACTTTTGCCAAGAAAGTTGTGTCACATCAATCACACTTCAAAGTGTACAGCAGAGCAACAGTCTGAGCATCAATTAGGGCTGACTTTTTGGTGGCGGGGAGCGAGCCGTTCTGCCGCTCTGTTATGTCACCCCAAGTGCAGTGCAGAATATGCCGTTGTGACAATGGAAACCTACTCACTCACAAAAATGGTGCAAGGCTAGATTCAGAGGTGCTTCATTCAGTGTAACGCTTTGACTCCCCATATCATCACCTCCTCTGTGAGCCACCTGTCTGTCACAGACATATCTGCGCACAGCCTTTCAGGCACTGGGAGACATATGTCAAAGCTTAGATTTAGCCCACTCATCAAACCCACATTCCAGAACAGTAGTCAACCTCGAAAACGAATAGTAAAACCCAACTGTTCAACAACCTTGCCCTGCCATCATTTGACACGGAAGATACGAACCTGAAGCGAGATAATCTTCACAATCTCCCTTTCCGGAGAATCCTGCCTGACACGCTCCCACAGCTCCTCGCCGACCTCCGGCTGCTGGATGATTGTTTCCACAAACGTCAGGAGCACAAGATCTCTCGGGCTGAACCCGGCCTCGGAACTGTATATGCCGTCGATGAAGTAGTTGATCTGCTTGGATGATGCTTCGAGCGCGGTCTGCTGTGCCCTGGTCACTCCAGCCTTCAGTGCTACGGGCACATGGTGGGTCCATTCGTAGGTCGATTGGAATTTGGCTGTCGTTAGCATGATCACGAGCTCGCGGTCGCGGTCTGCGAGGGATAGGTGGTGGAACTGGGCATTTCCCAGAGCGGTCCAGTGGTCGACGGTGGCGGTACTGTGGGACAGCAGGATGATGATGTTGAGGGTGGGATGGGATTTGGCGTGCGGGGTGTGGTAGTCCGGGTAGGTAGGCGGGGCATCGCTTGTTCTAGGTAATGGGTCGTTTCTTAAGTAATATTTCCCTAAGTCCCGGTCTGTGGGATAGATCTCGAGATTAATACAAAATTTTCTGGTGGAATGTTTTGGACTTTCTTAGAGTCCCGATATATAGTCCTGCTCGCTGTACGTTCGGCCCAGCGCTGTACGGAGTTACCGAGGTGAGGTAGATTGTATAATATCATCAGCCTCGGCTCCGCAAAGGGTAAATCTCTTCTATACCAACTCGCATGACTATTCCCCGCGATCCTCATAAGTCTATGTCTTCATGAGAAATAACGATGAAAGGTCATAAAGATCATATGTGCGTCTGTAGCTCTTTTATCAACAAAGTTGCTGCCAGCCTTGGTGCTAGGAGGTCTCGACCAGGATGTATGATCTTATCATGATGCTTAATAAATCGATTTTGAGCCTGTGCCAACATATTAATCATATATCAGTGAATGACCCCTCGGACAAGGATCTGGTCACGATCTGCTAGCTCGTTGATTGGGCCGGACGCGAGATGCAGAGCGTAATGCTCGCGGCCGTCCCAGGCGATCCGAGGAGGAGTGGGTGATGGGGCCGCTCTGATGATATCCTTGATTAAACATGAAAATCATCGTTGTATCAACAGCTGGCCTGCTGGCCCAATGGTAAGGCGCTTGACTACGAATCAAGAGATTGCAGGTTCGAGCCCTGCGTAGGTCAATTTCTTTTTGTCTTTTTCCCTCGCATGCGGTCCAGCTTGTGGTGTGTAGACCCTCTGTTGCGGGATCTTATCTCTGATCCGCAAAAAGGTATCCGGCAAGAACAAGGCTTTTGCTTGGTAACTGCAGACCAAAAGATCATAAGTTAGTACATAGTCACAATCTTTTTCTTGACTGGTTTCTGTCCAATCTCGGATTGTGTCTGGTCCGGTCGCATGCTAATTTGCAATATTTGCAATTACAGACATCCACAGTGGACTGTGAAGTGGGAGCAAAATAGTCTGTAACTGTACCACCCGCTTCCTGATTAACCCTCGCTTTCTCTTTTCGGATGAAGGGGCATGGACGTTTCAACTATGTACTCAACGTTAACATAAGATCTTTAACATTTGTAGTAGATGTATTCTTGATCCTATGCCATTAGCCAAATTTTGGGTGGAGCTATAAGATTTGTGATTTATCCAACATATATCTCACTATATATGTACAAGTTTATGATCTAAAGGGCTCGACAAAAGCAACACACAAATACAATAACAAGCCTGTGCCTATCAGAACAGAACCTATACGAGCTAGCCTAGATCGGAATGTGAACCGGTTACGTTTGTTTTCCTGTGGTTTGGACTGTCTCCTGCTCCCCGGGGATCCAACTTCACGATGGAAAACTTCCCAATACTAAGCTCTGTGTTCATATTTGGTACTTCAATAATGATTACTCGGAGGCTAGGTAAAGGCTAGCCAATAGCCAATTTCTGGATGCCAATGCTAGTGTTTACACTTTAGTAAGGACAGGTAGGTGCTGTACATGCATCCGAGTTCGCGAAGACGAGGATCACCTGCTTAGCGCCGGTGGGCAGCCCTAGCCCCGGCCGGAGGGCTCACTCACCACCCCAACTCCGTCGGCGCCGGAGTCGCCGCCGCGGGACCCTCTCCGGGCACCGCCGCCACCCGCAAGAACCCCTGGACCTCCGCGTCCGCGTCCGCGTCTGGCTCCGGCGTGGCGGTCACGGTGATGACCTCGCGATCCAATGGCACCATGGTTACGGGCGGAATATACCAGCTCTCGTCGCACACCGACCAGCCGGGATCGATCTGTCGGACCTCCTCGGGCAGCAGCACCCACGGCCGATAATCGTCGCGAATGACGGTGCAGCTCGGGTCGTAGAGCGGGCACTGCTGGCCACCCCGGTACTGCGGCCAGGGGATCAGCGACTGCGTGTCGTTGTCGTTGCCCCCTCCTTGCAGGTGGTGGGGCATGAACTCGGCGAAGTTAAAGGGGTAGGTGGTGCCGACGGTGGGGTACTTGGCGTTGCGGTGGTTGCGGACGGAGGAAAGGGTGGCCGGGTTGATGGAGAGGATCTCGTTGCTGTGGGAGACGCCGCACTGGGAGCCCGGGTGGGCGCGGCGGTTGCTCCAGGCGTAGATGGAGGTGAAGGAGAGGTAGACGGTCGGGGAGATGAAGGTCTCGCCGTTGACGATGGCGGTGCTGGGCCCCGAGGGAGAGACGGTCGTTCCGTTCTGCTGGCACAGGTCGCCGTCGGCGGTGGTCACGGGCCAGTAGAAGAGGGTGGCTGTACCGGGGAGGAAGTGGCACGCTGAGCAGGGGTTTTCCTCCGGGTAGGAGCGTGTGGTTGACGGGCACGAGTACGGCGGGATCGGGCTATTGGTGTCGCCTGGGGGTGCCGCGGTGATGGTCTCGTAGTAGGAGGTTCTCAATTCAGAATAGGTGGACCAGATGGGGATGCATTCGCTAGTCTGCAGGGTGCAGTCTGGGGTAGGGTCCGGGGGATTGCGGTATAGGGTTTCGGTCTCGGTAAAGGTTTGGTACCCCTCGGAACAGGGACCGTTGGCGTCAGGGTAGTACTCAGTCGCAGTTTCGCGAGGGCCCACCGCACGCGGGATCCCGTCGCAGAGGGTGGTAAGAGGGCCCGTGTGGGTGTTGGACCAGGCTTCGGGGGCGACCGAGGTGCGGCAGGCCCCGGCGCTGGTGGCGTAGGATCCAATGGACTCAATCGTCGCGGTAGGGCCGAGGGAGCGGAGCTCCAGAGAACGACTCGCCCATTCGATCCAAGCCGCGTTGCAGGTGACTACTGCAGCGTCAGGGCCAGTTGTAGGTCCATAGAAGTAGTCCGTGGACGTCGGCCAGAAAATCGAGGTATTGAGAGTGATAAGCCATTGACCGCTGGTGGTGACTGTTTCAGACAGTCAGTTGGGATACGAGTAGCTGGACTAGGGCTAGAGGGCGGGCATACCATCTTGGCCGGCGGCGAGGCCGAACAGCAGCGCTAGGAACAGCATAATGTACATGATGCATGTACAATACAATTCACCAGTGAGGCGTATCCATCGAGCAGAGAGACTCGGCACAATTTATACCTGTGCGCAAGGACGGCAAGAAAAAGAAAGGAAAAGAGCCCCCTTCCGAAGTTGAATAGCAAGCACTCTGCAGATAATCTGCGGGGCCACGCGCTTGGCACAGCTGAACATTGGTCTCTGCGTGAGACAAGCGCAGACCCTGTGTGTCAGGGACAGAGTTTAGAGGACAGGTTCCAGCCAAAAGCAGACCTCAGGTAAGCGGGGACCCCGACGAAACCTGAAGTATTGGCTTGGCGTGCGGGGTTTTTCTGTACCTGAAGTTGCGAGCTCGAGTTACTGACTCAAGCTGATTACTGATCGGTGATCAGGCTACCCGGGTGCATGCAGCCTTCCAAGCCAACCATCTGCTGTATCTATCATAGAAAAGTTGGTGATCAGTTGAGCATAACAGGGTCCAACCGGGATATATGCAGGTATGGTGTGGTAGCTGAGATGTTACACGTACTAGCATGATATTACTAGCTTTAAGGAAGACTAGCCTTAAAAGCTCAAAGCTCTTAGATGCATGCTGCTGACTTTTGTCCTGACGCTAAAATCTCACCCTTAACTCAACCGCAGCACCTGGTTTGCTTTTGTCAACCCACGAAATTACGTTCTCAATTTATGGAAATCATGGAGACCTGCTGGGGTTCAGATTTCTAGGACTGCCTGTGTAGTGCAATCACCCACAGCGTACATGTCAGAGCCCAGCTCACGAGAGGTGATATAGATAGCTTGTAACATATATATAAATCTAAGCAAGTACTCAGCTTGCCTTCTCCAATCTAGACCTGTCCACGGGACGCTAACAACCTTACTAGTAGCCATCGAATTCTGTGGACAATGGGCAATACGAGATGCATGAGGTAGCATCACTAGCTACGATTCTTGACTATGTCACCAACTGAACAGCCCGGTCTCCGCCCATCAATGTACCTCTGTACTATTTCAGGGCTCTAATGCCTTGACAGACCATCTGATAGTGCAGGTGATTCGTGAGCCTCCTCCCATGTCTCAGTCTGTGGGGCCCTTACTGACTCTTGCTTTTGATCTCCGAGATCCTTGGCTTGGGGAACCATTCTAGGAATGCCAAAGTGACTGTGAATGGTTATGCTTCTACATGGAAGATCTAAGTGTAGAATCGTTACCAGTGGGGAGAGGTTTAGAATATGGCCTTGCTTTTAGGGTTCAACGAGGGTGGTATAAGAGGGATGGCGGGTGCCGATGGCAAATTTCCTCTTGGGTGCTTCTGGCACCCCGGAAAACCTGCTTGCCCTAGCAGACAAGCGTTGGCTTTCACCCCCTGCCCTATCCTTAATCAAAGATTAATTATTCCCTTCTCGCCTTAGCTCATCATCCGACGGCCATATCACAGGTAGTCCACGCTCCTTCCTCAAGGACAAAGTCTCCTTCTTCCATTCCCAAAAACTAGACAGCCTCTTTTCTCTGACCAGATGACCCATCGTGTCCCCTGGATCGGTAAAATGTAGACGAGCCAACCAAGTAGCAAGGTCAAACTCGTCAACCAGCTGCCCGTCCACAAGCATCCGGATGGTTCCAATATGCTCGTACAGGGGCTGTCCGTACTTTGCGGTGTGATAACTCATTTCCAGTAGAGCTCCTATCTCCATCTTCAAATATTGACAAAGCCACTGGGGACGCGTTTTATACGACGACAACGGCTCCAAACCTGCGCTTGGATTCCTCATGTCTCGACCGCAATGCCACCACTGCCAATGCTTGTATAGAACATCCTCTGGCGGGAAAAAAAGCTCTAGCTCTGCAGACCGGAAGTCAAGGACCAATGTTTCGATCACGATCCCTCGATCCTGGAAATCCTTCGTGTCATCGCGACGTCGATGATCGGAAGACTCCGCAGCAGCTTGCTCCCCTTTGCGCTTCTTTTCGCCCACGGGACCATAGCGGACGAACCGCTCCAGGGCCGCGTAGAAGGACCAGTGGTAGCCTAGCCGGCCTCCATCGCCCATTTGGCAACGCGCGGTGTGCTGCTCGATGATGTGACCGAACAGACGCACATGCGCGTAGAGGGTCGAGACATGGGCTGTGAGACAGGGCACGGAGAGCCATGTCAGGTAGAGCTTCAAGTCATCTTCGACGGAGATATCGAGAGTATAGTCGACTCGCCTGTGCTCGAGGATGTGGAGAGTCTCGGTGGATAGTTGGTGATTGGTGAGAAGAAGAGATAAGACAGTTTGACGAGCTGGGCTTGTTCTTCTGCTTGTAATAGACTCCCGAGACCCATGCTTTGTAATTCATGTCGCGGTATTTGGCCCCGTCGGAGGATAAAGGGGCCACAGGCGGGTTAAGTGGGGTATAAAGCACATGCTCGATAATGAGCTTCCGCAGCTCAACCGGGATGTTGAGGAGCAGAGACATGACTGGATCAAATTCTTCGTAATACTTCCGAAAAAGAAGATACAGGACCGCCAAGGAGATTGAAATCGACGATCTACTCCCACGGAGATGAACAAGTATATGATTAATACCGACTGACTCAATCGCGACAAGACAGTTTCGGGCAGTGTGTTGATAACGAAATCGAAAGGGAAATAAGAAAACATCCATGTGCGCTACCTCACCGCCTTGGATAGTACGATTTCAAAAGTCCTAAATTTGGGGCCTACTGCCAAGCGACTACTGTTCATTGTGGGTAGGCTAAAAGTCTCCATCTCTATGTTTCAGGGCAGCGAGACTTACCAAGACTCATTGGTTTAGTCTTCCCTTATAGTATTATCCTGTTGCTCTCTAAGATGTCAACAGAATAGTCGAGGTCATTTGACGGAGGCCGGAGGCTTTATCTGCTATTGATAGGTCTGCAACGGCTATGTGAAAGGTTCCGCAGTTAGAACTTGAAAGGTTCTCCGAAAGAAGTAGATGCGAGTCCACCATAGAAATAAGGTAACATAAAAGACTGCCTACCCAGGGTCATGGTACAATGTTCGCTCCTTGCCCCTTGATTTCGACACCAAACCTGGCTGTATTTTCTGCCTTCTTCGTGGCATCGTTGAGTCGATCAGACCCAGAGTAAGGGCTATTCTGCCATACGTATACTCAACCCACACCACTTAGTGATCACAGCCAGTGGGGCAGTATTGACCACTATGGCTACCGACAGCGTATCAGCGACCGGTTAGACTCAACATCAAGTGAGTTTGAGGACCATGAAGTCAACACGAGAGTACAATAGGGCAGGATCTAAGATTTCTGATGAGCAGAATGCGTTTGGGATCTGCCCTTAAGCAGCTGCTGGGCAATGAATTGCAACCCTATGGGCCCGCAAGAAAGTTACCCAAAAGGTTCAGAATCTACCACCACTTCGGATCAATTCAGATCCCTGCTTGAAAACACACACGAAGAGAAGAAAAATCGACAAACCAAGAATAATGAGATTGGGATGAACAGCATTCAATCTTACAAAAGATCACTGTGGTAGATAGCAGTTGTAAAATATCTATGATATACAATACCAACAAACCTTACGGTTTAATGTCCAGTGCTTCAAACCCTACTCCCCATCGGGCTGTAAGTACGGACCTCACGAAAAAACACCATTTCAGAACAGCCCAATAGGAAAGTCAATGAGTTTGTCCCGAATATAGTCCGCAAATCCCTTGCCGAAGCCATCCAGGCGACTGGAGCTGCTCACCCCGCGACCCAGAATCCCGTAGACAACGAAATGCACCGCCTGGATGCGCGGAAACTCCACCCGCTCGACGAAGAAAGTGTCCCGCCAGTCAGCCCCGAGAAGCGAGCGCAGACGCTCGATGGTCATATACGACCGGAGCCATTGCCAATGGCGGTTGTCAGGTACAAATATCCCGAGGTTTAGATTTGACCCTTTGTCACCCGACCGGGCGAGCGCAACATCACCGAGACGGATGGGCCTGGTGGGCTCTCCTGGAATATCTCTGTTTCCCGAAGAAGAAGGATCGTGACTGTGACGGATGTCCAGTGCTTGGTATTCAGGTGGATGACCGGTATCATAGGATCTGATGGCAGTGCCGCCGTCGACAAAGAAGTTGATAGTTTCTTTGAGGCTGGCCTGATCCACGAGCGCAGGATAGTACGCAAGGAATGGTCGTGGGACGGCAGTGCGAGTATCGAGAGAGGAGTGATACCCTATGTGGTTACATTTCCATTAACAGATTTGATGGCGTGTCTGGAGGGTGCTGAGGACGGCAGAGGGGGCACAATTCATACCCGAAAAATGCCTCAGCGAGATCTCCTTGAAAGCACTCGTGATAGCTGCCACTGTCTCCTGCGAGCGGGCAGCGATGAAAACACGCATATATGTCGTGCTCTCAAGCTGACTGGCAGGATTATGGGCCGGGGTTCCTACTCTGGCAGGGAAGGTTTCATTAGATACCTACACTTACTCTTTGGGAAGGTATTGAGGGATGATGGCTAAAGTATTTCTTACCGCTGAAACTCCAGTGTCTCGACCTTATCCATTACTGCCTGTGACACAAAGTGGCGGACTTGCTTCTCGATTAAATCCCACTTCTGAGAAGTGGCGTAACCCGTCGCGTTCAGAAGCACCTCAGCCTCGAACCCTGCTTCGTAGAAGACTGCGAGCTTGGTGGTTGGAGGAGGCGGCGATCCTCGGATTCCAGAAACCCGAACCCTGCAAGTGATTGATATGAGAATTCTTCCTTGCTGTCTGTTCACGTTACAGAAGGGATGTTATTATCTTACCGGTCCTGGCCCACCTCCTCGATGCAGACATCGCCAACGAAGGCGCTGACATCACTGTTGAGATAGGTCTCTCCCTGCAGCTCATAGAGAAACTGACACCGAACAGTATCTACGTTGACCATGCCCTGGGTGTGTTGGTGCTTCGTAATCACACAAGAACCGTCATCTGCGATTTCGGCAATTGGGAACCCCGGTGCCACCAAGCTATCAAGGTCGTATCTGTAGAACCCAGCGAAATTCCCGCCGGTGACGTAGGCAGAGCATTCGATCAGGTGCCCCGCAATTAGGGATCCTGCGAGACGGTCATAATCCGTCTCAGACCAACCATGCCAAAACCAAGCGGCAGCGATGACAGGACTTGCATCCGCCACCCGGCCGCAGATAACAATGTCCGCCCCACGTCGGAGACCATCCACAATCCCCCGCGCTCCCAGATATGCATGGGCGGAGATCATGGGGATCTTCTTTTCCGGGTCGTCGAGGAAGGCGTACGTCAACTCGGGGGGTTTGGCAGATGGGTTGCCCGAGTCCAGATGCTGCAATTCCTCCTTCGTCGTCGGCATGTGCGGCCCCAGGTCGGGATATAGATCGTCTCCGGAGACGTATGCCACCGTCAATTCGTACCCTTTCTCTGAGACCTGCAGTGGACAAACCATTGACTTTAGTTGGGAGGACTTCTTGAAGAGAAAGAAGGGTTCGGAGGGAATAACTACCAATGCCTGAACTTTCAAGGCCAGGGCTTTAGGGTCGAGAGCACCGCCGTTGGTTACCACGCGAATTCCCTTTTCTGCGATCACATCAATTGTCCGTCGGATTCCTTCCCAGGCTGTTTCTTCGTAGCCGGGGTGATTTCCCTTCCTCCAGGCTTTGGCGTTGTTCGCAAGATTGACCTCTTATTTGATTTCTCGTATGAGCTTGTGAGAATGTAACCGTGGTTCAAGTTCGTTGTGGACTTACCTGCGAGGTAGTCGCCGGTGAGGAAGTCAACATCACCCATCGTCGCCTGGCGGTACATCTCATATGCAGGGTCACCTGGGCGAGTGAGATCAGCAAGGAGAGTACTTCACGGCTCTAGACATTCAGATGCAGACCATGATAACCGGAGCAGTTGGCCACTCGAACAGGACGAGTATTCATCTGGCGGGACACGATCCTTGGATTCTTAGGATGATGAAAATAGGAATTGTTCACGAAAAGGTAGCTGATGTTCGAATTAATCTCATCAGAGGAACAGCAAGATCTTAAAGAAAGAAATCCACAAACCCAAAGCTAATTTTGTCCTGGAGTAATTCCGGGTTTACCAGGAATCTACCATGAATCCATGGAAGTACATAAGACCTCATGTCGCTATAGTGAGAGCCCCGCGGCATGAAAACCCCGCGGGCCGTGGAGTTACCGGCCCGTGGGGCTCCACAGTCCGTGGAAATATGCCAACTGTGAAACTGCATTAACTCGTTGAAAAAGGACAAGTGGAAAGAAAAGGGGGACGAAAGCTCGATGCAAAATGACAGTAGTAGCCGAACTTGAGATTAAGGTATAAAGAGTATCATATCCTCTCGTTCGGCCCTAGCCTCCAACCTCCAACCAGTTACGCCCCCCGCCACGGCTCTTTTATGTTAACAACGATGGCACCTCACCAAACTATCCCCGGAACCGACATCTACGGCCCTGGAACCTTCATCGACAAGGAAGTTCTCCCTGTTCCGGTCGACGCCCGACGCGTGTTCGAGTATCTGGCCTCGAGCACCCCTGGCTTCACCCAGGACCGCGCCGCATGGGATACAGTCCGCTTCACCGGGGGCTCTGAACCCATGATCCCCGGTCCGATCAAGGCCCCCGTGGTTGCTGCTGCCCTGCACGCGATGTGCGGTCTGGTCGCCAACGAACTGCTCGAGCTGCGCGACGGAAGACCCGTCCACGAGAGCACGGTGGCGGTCGACACGGACCATGCCGGCCTGTGGCTCGGCTCGACGTTTACCACCTACATCAACGGAGAGGATGTTTCCACGCTGGCTCGGTCCAATACGCTGGCTTCACTCTTCGATCGGGATTTCGAGCAAGGGTTTGGGAAAGGGTTGGCGGGCCGAGCGACAGCCATCTACCAGACCAAGGATCCCAACGTGTGGTACCAACTTCATGGCTCCCTCGATGCCACCCGTACTCTGCAGTCGATGGGGATCCCCACGGACGTCAAGTTCGACACCATGCAGGAGTACTACGAGTACATTCAGAGCCATGTCATCCAGTGGAGTCCCGACGAGCTCGAGATGCACAACGTCCGTCACGGCCTGTGTGGCAGCATCTGTTACTCCCCGGAGGGGTGGCGCAAGACGAGCATGGGACAACGGCTGGCCGCCCATCCGCTGGTCAACTACACCTGTGCAACCTACGCGGCGCCGACTCCGCCCGTACCATTACCCCATAACCCTGCAGATCGACGGCCCTTGGCCGGGATTAAGGTCCTGGAGATGGTGCGCATCATTGCCGGCCCCACGATCGGCGTGACACTGGCGTCCTACGGGGCCGATGTTATCAGGGTTAATTGCAGCAAACTGGCGGATCTCAATGTGAGCCCCTAGCATCAACTAAACACCCCCTCACCTACCTTTCCTCTCGTTAATCAGACCCTAATCATCCAAGTCCAGGTCCTCCAGCTGACCTTGAACGCTGGAAAACGCACAATCGACCTCGACATCTCGAACCCAGAGGACAAAACTCGCCTGCTGGACCTCCTCGCAGAGGCGGATATCTTCGTCCAGGGGTTCCGCCCCGGCTCGCTCGCGCGGCAGGGGCTGGACCTGAACAGCATGCTGGAGCGCGCCGCGACGCGCAACAAGGGCATCATCTACCTCGACGAGAACTGCTACGGGCCTGACGGCGCCTTCGCCGAGCGACCGGGCTGGCAGCAGATCGGCGATGCTGCGTCGGGTACGTCGTATGTCATGGGCCGGGCGCAGGCCCCCGAGACACTACCAGCAGGCTACAGCGTCCTGCCCCCGCTCCCTGTCTCTGACATGACGACGGGCCTCGTCGGTGCCCTGGCGGCCATGATGGCAGTGCGCGACCGCACAACCCGGGGCGGCTCGTACCACAGCGTCAGCTCGCTGGTGGCCGCGGATGCGGTCGCGCTGGACCCCGAAGTCGGCCTGTATCCGCCCGCGGTCGTGGGGCACACTGCGCAGCGGTTCGGGTTCGTGCCCGCCACCCCGGATCAGTTCGTGTCGGAGATCATGATCCAAGTGCTTGACGGGTGGAAGCGGGGGTTTCCTGCGAGTGTGTATGGGCAGGAGGGGTCCCGGTTCATGACGGTCTTTGAAGACGGGCCATGGGGCAGGCAGACGCTTTTGAAGCCGGTCGCGAGACTCGGAGATGCGGAGGCGTCGCCCCGGTGGTCGAGTCCTTCGGTGCCCAATTGTTACCATCGGAAAGATATCCACTGGCTGTAAAATAAACTTTAGTTGGATTTACCATGTAGTTTAGCCTACCGATTATCAGCTAGACCTAGGGTTGTTCTGATTGTCTTCGTTTGCCTTTCTTTCTTTCGATTTTCTTTATTGCTGTCAGATTTAGCATATTACACTTCTTCGCCAGAACAAGGATTGTTGACAACGTTTCAATCGATTAGGCTATCTGAGTGATTCATCTGGTTCGCGCTGAAGCAAGTGATGAGCAATGTTCCGAGCATGGAGTATGAATCAGGTTCAAAGCACGGTCGCATTTCACCAAAAGGGGTTTCCCCTAACCGGACATGAAAAGAATTGTTCTTTCTTGATGATAGTCAGCCTCCAGTATTTGGGTCCTGACTGTTCCAGTAGTATGCCGGTGGAACCCCAGCAAGCATATCCTGCCAATTCCAGAAGAGCGGGGCCGGGGGGAACAGGAGCTGGTCGTCGGTTGTAGGGTTCAGATCTTGACCTAAAGATATTGAGGATGATGGCACTGGCCCACCACCGCCCCTCCAAGCATGAGAACTGGCCGCCTCGCTTGGATCAAGGCTCCAAATCCCCGAGTCCGCTCCGGGCAAAGCACCCGGTTCTTGCGGTTCAGCTTGCGGCTCAGGCGGGGGTCGTCCGGCGGATGATCGCCCCTCCTCCCTCCCGCTTCTGGAGCCCACCTCATGGACACCGCCACGCTCGATAGCTTCCCTGGCCGCCCTCTCGAACCCCGAACAAACAGATAGGACGTAGTCTACATATGTGTCCGGCTCCTGGGAGGCGAGCTTGGACAAAAACCCCACGGTTCGGGTGATCATGAGCAAATCAGATGCGGCAAGCGGGTGGTCGGCTTCTAGCATGATCTGGGAGAACAACGCCACCACTGCTGCTGCGGGAAAGTATACGATGCTCCTGGAACTATGTAAGCCTGCATGAAAAGTAAAACAAATTGAGATAGAACTCCCTTAAGAAGGGAAGTGCAGTTCTAACAGCGTACCACTCGAAGGATTGGCCGAAGTGATTGTCGTCAATTTGACCGAGTAGATCAACTGCCGACCTCGCTGCCTCCAGCGATTTGGCGGTGAATTCGTCAGAGCTCAATGACGGACTGGGAAAACCATCGCCTTGTTCTGAGGTCGTACGTTGCGGTCGTGAGACCAAATAGGCCCGAGAGACGCTGATGTAGAAGCAGTGGCATGCAAAGTGCAGTCTCATGATTTGCGGAAGGAACGGGTGATGTTGCTCGGGAGAGAAAGAGAACCTGCGTTGCGGTCGTAGACTGTGGCCAATGCTATCCTTCCAGCGGTCGATTTCCTCCAAACATGCCCGTGCAGCATGTGCTCTCTCTGATACGGGCTTGTCCAGCGCTTCCTTTGTGAACAGCAGATCATAGGCCCTCCTCTGAATCAGTGCAAATTGAGCCAGGATGGAGAACAACGGCAGTCTCTCTCCCTGGTATTCAATAATGCCCAGGCCAACATGGGGACGGGATGCGGGCAATGGGGTATCGAAATCGCGAATGTCTTGTGCCGCAGGACGGCCCGTGCGTGTGCAGACGTCGGCGTCCATGATAAAAGCAAGCCAGAAGACTCTTCGTCGCTCCTCGACTTGAAGGTCAGAAAGACCGAAGGAGTTCGACTTGTGCAGACCGATGGATTGAGCGAACCGTATCGCCGTCGCGGTAAAGATGAATAAGGGCTGAGGATTTGGTGTGCCTTGAAAGAACAAGGCTAGACCGACCATGGTCTGGACAGCGAGGAGATCGCTGGTCCGCATAAAGAGCTCTGTAGTGGCACTCATGGCATTGCGGATGTGGCCCATGCATTGAGGCCATCCATCTCCGCCATCGCCGGCTTTCTCCGCGCGATGTCGGTATGCAAAAGCAAGGACCACATTCAATGCGCCCCACCACGAGGGACTAGGGTCTGGGTTCCAGGAGAACTGCCGATCCAGAAGCCTCATGAAACCTGTGGGATCAAATAACGGCGTAGCCTCATTGATGAAGTCGAAGTATTCGCCAACTAGTTCCAGGACCAAGGGCTTGGAAGGTAATGGTTGTAGGCCGCTTTGGTTCAAGAAAGTCGAGGGCTGAAGACCCGGTGGGTACCAGTCCACTAGTCTCCACCTGCTGCGGCTTCGATGAGCAATGCTCCTTAGCGAACGATCGCCCGTTTGGCTTTCGAGTGAGCAAGCGCCGTCGGGTGAAACGATAGACAGATAGGACGAAGCGCCTGGCGGGGGGTATGGTGTCAATGACGCCGCTAAGAAGAACCCAGACCGTGAGTCAAAGATGAAAGGGGAGAGGCTGACCGAAGAACCGCATTGCGCCTTTTGAGTTATGAAGAGCATACGATCTTTTATCTCCTTCTCCTGTCTCTACCGGGACTTGAGAGACTGGTTGTGTAGGGGAGGCTGTGCTGGTGCTCTCGTGGTGGGAGGTACGGGTGTTTGCTGAGTCTGCTTCATCACCAGATAGATACTCCAAATCCTCGCTGCGTGAGTCGAGTCGTGGTCGCTTGGCTCTGGATGATTGTTGTAACCTTCCTTCCAGAGATTCGACGCGTTTCTCGATGTCACGCATGTCGCTATCACTAGAGAGAATAGGAAGCAGGGGTCCATGGCCTTATCATAACAAAGACTTACCGATGCGTTTTCTGGCGCTGTACTCGGTCTTCATATTTGCACGGTAGATTGAATGCTTTGCATGAGGCACACACAGGCCGATTGCCATCACACCTAACCTTTTTCTTCCTGCAGATGCTGCATGCCTATTGAGGTGCGACAACGGTTAGCGTCGTCTGTGGCGCTGAGGTGAGACCATTGGCACCTTAGCCAGGCGTATCGAGCCGTCAGAACTTATCTTTTTACCCATGTTGCCCTAGGGTCGCCTTGTCTCACACTTCTTCCTCTCTGCAACTAGAGTGTTTTGCAGGTTGCTCCAACGCTTATAGTCGCCATCAGGTGTCTGGGAAGTTTTAGTGTCAAATGTGTCACTGGGAGTAGGATCCAGGCTCCTTATTCTCAGTATCTCAGATTATATCTCTTATAATGAATTAGATCCCGAAACACGCCCCTTGACAACCGCAATGTGAGGACAGTTCGGGCGTCGGATGTGTACGGAGACCCTGGTAACTTATGTTCGTTACGGGTCTTCGAATTTTTACGTAATACGGTGTTTGACGTGTTTGATCACTAATGTGAGAAACAATGTAGGCTGCACACGCTACTGGGAAAAGACAAGTATCCCTAATTGAATATTGTATGGGATTCTGGTCTTTACTATATCTCATTTCTATCTTCCCAGAGACTTCAAATTCGTGGATATGAAAAAAAGGTTATGTCTTAGCACCAAGGCCTTAGAGAGCTATGGTGTTTGAGGCATCTGAAATTAAGTGGTGTGTACATATTCCGTTCAAGATGACCCACCAAGAAGACAGTTTATCTAGGACCAAAAACCGGTAAGAAAACTGGCAAAGATGATGGTAGAACTCTAGTTGACGGGACTCTATAGGCCAGTATACTCGACGGTGAACCGGCCCTGGTTCAACCCGCGTAAGAGCGAGCATCAAGACGAAAAGTTGGTACATTGATTTCCGAGCTATGCGATCGGCTCGAACTATTTTCAACCATAATAACAGAACACCATACCCCTATGCTAAAATGTGTGACTTCAAATGATAACTCAGGCACCCTATCGAGACGCATATTCATTAGTTTTCAGTCCAGTGTGTGTAGAATCAGCCAGGTAGACGGCTCAACCCACCAAGAATCTCAAGCGTCCATCCTCGTTGGCGATTTTGTCAGACAGCATGATGCCCTGAAGACCCCGGGAACCACCATCGCGGGTACGTAGGTTGGCGACAAGCTTGGGGCCGTGCTCGGTCATCTCGAGGCGGACATCGCTCGCCGAGTCGGTGAAGTTCTCACCACCCCAGATGAACCAGCCTGATTGATTTGGTATCATGTTAGCATATGACTGGTAAGGAGAAGCGGGGTAGTGTAGGCCTACCATCCGTGTTGCCAATGTGCTGATCGAGACGGATCTTGCGGTGGTGGAATTCGCCGTGTCTGTCGCGGGCAACGCAGCACAGCATGGTGCTGCCATCCTCGTGGACGATGTGGATGTCCTGGCAGGAGGTGTGGAAAGACATGATGGATGTGATTTGGGTTGTAGAGTGATTGTGAAAAACGATGGAGGAGGACGATGTGAAGATGAAGGTGTGTTGGGGAAAGGGAAAAAGGAGGAGGGGTGGGATGTGGGGTTGTTGTTTATATACGTAGCTCCGTCGCTCCGTAGCTCTTCCCCTTCATCACCGCCCGCATTGCTGCCCTACCCACCAAGCCTCGGGATAGACGTCGGCCAAGACGCGAAGTGGCAGACTTGCCTCATAGTGGCTGTACGGATACCAGTCAAGTGGGGCAGAGGGGTGTCTATCGCTTCGCCTCGCGTCACAGGCGCACGGCAGATAGGCAGCTGTGGGGGAGAGAGGAGCTGCCTGCTTACGGATGGAGCTTGATGCAGAAATTAGAGGGCTTGATTGTGGCTACTACCGCCACCCACATAGCTGCTGCGAGTTGGCAGCTGCAGCCGCACACGTATGGATCCGGCTAGTAAATCAATTTAGTGGGATCGTATTCTAGAAGGTCTCTTGTTGATCACCGCAAGGGTAGGAAAGGACGGCGGGGAGGAAGTGGGGTATCGGGACTTTGATTCACCCATCATTGGTGCCATAGCCTAGACTATCGATTAGTGACTTTCAGGACAATGATCATTCATGAGGAAAAGTTTCAGATTCGAACCCTGTCTCCATCTTAATGTCTTGGCGTGGTGAGCTGGCATCACCGTCAACTACTAATTTTAGCATCGCAGACCACCAGCCACATCAGCCACAATGGTTGCCTGATCGTGGCGCCACTTGTTCTTTGAGAAGAACAACAGATGGCGCATAGCCCGGTGGAAGCTACATTACTGACTTAGCATGGACGAAGGTGTTTCAATACCACTTGGTAACTGTACACATCTTAATAACCTTATTTATCGGTAAAACAGCAGGTTACAGCACAAGTTATCAGGAGCATGGTCACGTGATGGCGGTGGAAATGTGCAACATTTATGTATAAGTGGGCAGGCGTTGCGTATCATGTGACGTACGTGGTTTCTGTATCGTGTATACATTACTAGCGCCCCCGAAGCTTTTTGAAACATACAAGACTCATGTTGTTCAGCCCAGACCAAGGATACTAATGCTTATATATACCTTGAAATAAAGATTACACAACTGGAGACTAATGTATACTTGACTCTTTCATGCCTATTAATTTGTATATTAGCGATCAGGCATATTTAGGTTATGTTACTACTCAGTTATTTCAAATGACCAACTGGGTCCCCGAATATATATCCCAGACAAGACGTTATGCTTGTATGCAAAGTGCAGCCAGGTGTCATCTGAACCTCCTTTTCCTTTATGATATACAAGTGTAAGGGATTGCCATCACACCCCATTACCTGCAGTAGCTTGTCTATATAGCCCCAAGCATCAGGGATCTATCAGAGGTCACCGGCGTTCACTACCTCTACCTCCCGGGCTCTTCCGACAACACAACTGCCGTTGTACAGTAACTTAAATTGCTAAACCGGAACAGTTCCGCTAGCTCTTCTAAGCATTGCTCATCTACGCCATCTCTTGTGTATTTTGAGATGATCGATTGCGACTACAATTTAAGTGCTGGAGGAACCTGCTTATCAAGCCTGCAGCTCGCAAACGCAATCGCACCATCAAACGCGGGGTAACGCCATCTGTTGTGATACGCCAGCAAAGCACCCTCAGCCCCTCATCGGCCCCTCATAAATTCACCCAACACCTCAGTATTCCACATCATCTATCACTCCTGATTATCCCACATATCATAACTCTTCGTCTGACACAATGTCCTCTCCCAAAGTAGCCATTGCCGGTGTACGTCCTCTCAACATCCAGGAACCCCACCTCAGACACCATACAACTAATAACAGAACAATCGCAGGCAAGCGGCAACCTCGGCCCCAGCATCGTGCAGGCACTCGTTGATGCCGGAATCGAAGTCACAGTCCTCACACGCCAGGACAGCAACAAGACCATCGACAACAACAAAGTCAAAGTCATCCCCGTCGACTACGACTCGCGCGAATCCTTGGAGACCGCCCTGCAGGGACAGGACGTCGTGGTCGACTCCCGGGCCATCCTCCCCAGCGAGTCGACCATCCGGCTGATCGACGCGGCGATCGCCGCGGGCGTCACCCGCTTCATCCCCTCCGAGTTCGGCACGGACACCCTCAACCCGCTCAACGAAGCCCTACCCGTCTTCGCCAACAAGGTCGCCCCGCGCAAGTACCTCGAGCAGATCGCCCAGACCTCCCCGCTGAGCTACAGTCTGCTGTTCACGGGCCCGTTCCTGGATCTGGGCCTGCGCTCTGGGTTCTTGGTGAATCTTGCGGGCCCGGTCGCGGAGCTCTACGATGGCGGGGACCAGAAGGTCAGCAGCACCACGTTGCCGGGCATCGGGCGGGCAGTCGTCGGGATTGTGAAGAATCTCGAGGCCACGAAAAATGCAGCATTGTATGTGAGCGAGGTGGATGTCACGCAGAAGCAGTTGATTGCGCTCTCCGGGAAGACGCTGGAGACCAAGGTCGTGGCTACCGAGGAGCTGGAGCGGATTGGACGCGCGGAGTTGACCAAGCCTCAGCCTCATCCTGGCATCGTGGCGGTCAATTTAATCCGTCGGGCGCTGTTTGGAGAGGGGTATGGGAGTCTGTTTGACGAGCAGAAGCTCGCGAATGAGTTGCTGGGGTTGAGGAGGTTGACGGAGGAGGAGCTGCGGGAGTTGGTGACTAGTGTTTGAATTGAGTGATCATAATGGTTTCATGTTGTCGTTAGGTCTGTTGGAAGTAAACAGCATGTTGCTTGAAGGCTGTCTTGTGAGAGGGTCATGATAGGTATCCTGCGGCCCTAACGACAGGGTTGTGGGGTAGTGAGTTTTGAGATACCATCCCCTCATGTCCTCAGTGCAATGCGATTGCCGTCAAGTGTCTAAAATAGCATGAGCTAACTCATCTAGGTAGAAATGGCAGTGCCCCATCAATGGGATTATCAACCATTCCCAAAATCGCCCTCAGGAGGCCTTGAGGGACCGGATACTGGGCTGGTAAGTGGACTGGGTATGGGTGTAGAAACTTCGCGTGATGCCGTTCATCAAACCGGGTTCCAGGGGACTCCTTGCCCTGCTAAAAATGGTGCTTCGTGGAAACAATGCTGCTTCACGAAAATCTACCTCAGGAGAACAATGTGACTCTGATGAAAAATAGAGAACAGAGAAGTTTCTGCTGTGCTTTGTACTACCTCTTCGAAATACAACGCACTGATTTGACCCGAAAAAAGGACTAGAAACGAGGATACAGAAAAGACCCATTCCGGAGGGTCAGAATGGAGCGACTCTAGGCCCCTATCGAGAAGTATATATAGGCCATCAAATCACGACGAGTGGGTGATTCTGACACAATACACACGAGTCTTGTTCAATCTTGATTGATACAACCACGCTCAAACACACACACACACACACAAACGCTAAAACGCTAACCGACAAGATGTCTGTTCCAACCCACGTTAGCCAGTACGCTCAGTACAAGCAGGACACAAACGACGTTGCCGCATGGCTACTGACCGCCCACCCGGACTTCAAGGGGCCCCAGGGGCCCGGCCGATTGAAGGGCAGGGCGCGCAGGGCCGCCAGGGAGGAGGCAGAGGCAGGTAATGCAGCACCTCCCCAAGACTCACAAGAATACCCTCTAACTCTGCACGAGTTCGTAGAGCGGGCGACGGCAATTGTCGCCAGCCGACACGTCAAGGAGGTGCCGCGGCTGGTGGCCATCAAACTGCGGCGTTCAATCGTACGCCGCCGGTACCAGCTGCGGCACTATGAGCACGGCGGCGGCGACGCCGACTCAAACGCCAGCCACGCACATTTTATCGGCGTGCTGGAGGACGTCGAGAAAGTCCTCAGACCCATCTTGCCGAAAGAGTTTCGGGCAAAAGCGGGTCAAGCGGCGGAAGAGGATGATATCGACGCCGTAGCGGCGGCGCTGGTGAATCGCTTCGAGGCCTTGACGGTCGAAGATGTCGCGGACGAGGCTCCGGACTGCCACGCAGCGGCTGGCTCCTCTCAAACTCCGCCAACCGTTGCGGTGAAATGCAAGATTGCGGAGGAGGAGGCGATTACCCCGTCTCCAATACATGCGCTGGAGTTGTTGCTGGAGGACCTGTTCTTAGTAACGCATTACGTGCAGGAATCTTGGCAGGCGTATCGGGAGGGGCGGATGACGCTCGAGGCCGCAACGCTGGCGACTGAGATGGCTCACCACCTCTTCTTCGACACCGAGCAAGAGCTCCGGGTAGCTGGCGGCGTTGAAAATTGCCCGGACGGTTGGGTAGATGCGCTGTACAAGATCTGCGAGGTGCGCCAGAAGGCGCAAGAAAAAGGAGAAACCCAGAGCGATAACTCAGGGTTTCCCCACTTCCTCCAAGACCTTATCTACACCTTGGAGGCGCTCTCGGCTGTTTTGCATGCTAGGCAGGGCTCGGCTCTTTCGGACCTTCTTCGCGTCCCCGTACCAACCTACGACTGGGCCAGAGACGACCGGCGCCTGCTCCTGCGGTTGCTCGTCGACGAGGCGTTAGTACAGAATCATGTATTCTTGGCTACGCCTGAGGCACACTCACTGTCAGATGTGGACCAGTGTGGGATGTATCTGTGCCACACGTTTAGGACTGGGACCCCTTCGTTCACAGCACTTTATCTGATCATGGTCTACCTCAAGGTGCGACTCACCATGGGTTCGGAGAGTGGCAAGGCATGGCCTGAGCTCCGTGACTTTATGGAGGCCACGAAGCCTCAAATGAGTCAAGTCCGTCAGCGCTACTCGTATCTCGCAAGTACAGAAGAGGAACGCCGGCGAGTACTACAGGGTCACACCTATTGGCTGCAACAGGCGGAGATTGTGTTAGACGACAACGGCGCGGACTCCCCTCCCACATCCGCCCGGTTCAACTCACGTAGCTGCGTTCCCTCGCATCGCCGCGTCTCTTGGTTCCGCTCAAATCCCTGGCTGTGCGGACGGCTGTTGATGATCTACAAGATCATCGCCTACTGTGGTGGCTTGTACTGGTCCAATTCTGCCCCAGCTCCACTCGCAGTATGCCATCGTTACCACGCAGCAAAGCGAGAAAAGCTAGCGCCAGATGGATGGTCGTGGCCCGGGTTGGAGCGTTTGATAAGCCGCCACCCGGACATGTTCTGTGGCCAACAACGGCCGAAAGTCTGGTACAGCTATTCCAGATCGCTGGCCCGGGCCCTAGGCGGAGTTGAGTCTGAAAGGAAAGACACTAGAGGAGGCGCGAGAAGAGGCGCGAGAAGAGGCGCGAGAAGAAATGCCCGAAGAGGCACCGGGGGAGGGATGGAGGATGTCGATCTGGCCAAGCGATGGGAATTCCCGCTGCTCATTAGCACACTTCGGGAAGTCCAAATCCGCTGGCTAGGAAGAAGGCACAAGTGGACCGCGGACGAGATCACGCGCGTTATGCGAGAGTCTCAGCTGTGCCAAAAGTTTGTGAAGTCCACCATCCGCCGCGGGGCCGAGCCGAAGCTGACTATGGTTGACGCCTTGAGACGCCTGCGAAAGTGTGTCAATGCGGAAATCGCCGTCCTGTATGAGGATGCCTGGCTGCAATATCACAATTCCTCTATGGAGATTTGCACCAGGATCTGGACGGAGTTTCCAGCGGTACGCAAGGAGTCAGAGCGATGTGGTCACACGGAAGAGGTTGTCCACATGATTGTGCATACGCTCTTGTCAACCCATGATCGGGACTTGGTCAAGAAAGCAGCTCGAATCATGCAATCTGTTGTCTCGGGAGTATGAGCCTCGAAAAAAAAAGAAGAGAAAAAGAAGAAAAAGCAAATAAAAAAAAACAAGAAATAAAAAGAAAAAAGAAATGATATTTCAGATATACAAAATTCACATTCCATTACTCCACATCCCACTAGACACTATATAATAGGTCTCATCTCTTCAGCTGATACATGGAAAGGAGTATCATAGCTATAATGATCATGACAGCAGACAGGAGCAGTAACCTTCGAGTTATGATTGAAACTCTCCCATGCACTTGTAGACCGACTCTAGGCCTGTTCTTCGAGTGTTAACTGTAGACAGTGAGCGCATACGAAACGAGCGTCAACAGATCCACCAGAATATTTATTGGCAAGCGATGAGCCATGCTTCAGGTGGAATTAGACGTTAGATATCGGGTGAGAGGGTCAAACCGTGTTGAATTGATAAAAGGTAGATATCTTGGTCAGACGCAATGCTGCTATAAGCCTCGCACCTACTCTTGCTCCTAGCCCTTCCCGCATTACTGCTGACGTGCCGTTTTGGCGGTAAAGCCATCGGCGCCACGCCACTGGGTTCCCCGGAGCCCTAGCCTGCCCCAGATCGTGTCCTTCCTCAAACATACACAGGCCGGACGTCTTGCTTGTCTTCTGTTATGATACGGGGAAAATTCGAAGTACTAATAGTTGCACTGAGACGCTTTTGATCTTCTACCTAAGATGGGCCAGTGCCAAGATAAGTCTTTATGGCCCAGTCATTTTAAGCTGTCTCATCAATCTCTGCCTCAAGGACGATGAAAAATGTTGATTGCAAAGGCTGTTGAGGATGTTTGATGAAGTTCACCACAAAAGAATTGTACTTGCATAAGCCTGCACAACATCGTTGATGCTTATTCAGGATACCCACCTCCTTACAAATCAGCACCGGGATCAGCGCAAGCTTCCGGTGTTAAGGAAGCGGGGAAATCTTGCCCATTAACCTCCCCCACCCCCAACAACTTGAAATTGAGAGACAAACCTCTCCCGCCAATCTGCACTATGAAGGAAGCTGTCATTGACAAAGCAGTTACGGTCGCAATTCACGAAGTGGACACCCCCGTCGTGCAGCCCGGCCAAGTGTTGATCAAGGTTGTGGTCTCTGGTACGAACCCTAAAGATTGGAAAGTGCCAACATGGCAGCCCGATGCACCGGCTACCAACCAGGGGGACGATATTGCGGGCTACGTGGAGGCAGTGGGGGAGGGAGTGCCGAACTTTCATAAGGGTGATCGAGTGGCCGCCTTCCATCAGATGTTGACTCCTGGGGGCAGCTGGGCGGAGTATGCCATTGCCTGGGCGCATACAACCTTTCATCTGCCTGAAGGAACTACCTTTGAAGGTATGTCAAGCGAGACCTTGAGCATGTTCTTGTATGATTGTTGGAAGAACTCCAGGTGACATCAAACAGAGGCCGCCACGATCCCTCTCGCTGCCACAACATCCGCTGTCGGGCTTTTCCAACGACTGGGGCTGCCTCTTCCGTGGAGTCCGGCCACGCAGCCGCTGCCTCTGGTCGTCAATGGCGGTTCTTCAGCGGTCGGAGCTTTCGCCATCAAGCTGGCTCGTCTCTCCAACATCCACCCTATCATCGCGGTGGCTGGCAAGGGTGCCTCGTATGTCGAGACCCTGATTGACCGCTCCAAGGGCGATACGATCATCGACTACCGTGACGGGCACGAGGCAGTCCGTAAAATTATCAAAACGGCTGCTGGTGGCCGGCCAGTCCATTATGCCTTCGATGCGGTCTCTGAAAAGGGGTCTTACCAGAATCTCGGCGCTGTGCTGACTGCACCGGCAAAGATCACCGTAGTCTTGCCAGGATGTGATTCCCAGGGCCTCCCAGACGGAATTCATCTGTCGACAACGAACTGCGGGTCAGTTCACCAGCCTTCAGTTCAAGGAAAACTGGTCGGAGACGTGGAGTTTGGTGCGGCTATATTTGCCCTATTTAGCAGGGGTTTGGTCCAGGGTTGGTTCACAGGCCACCCTCACGAGGTGCGCCCCAACGGACTGGCTGGACTGGAGGGGGCTGTGAAGGACTTGCAGGCTGGCAAGGCTTCAGCGGTGAAGTATGTCGTGCGCATCGCCGATACCCCAGATCTGTAGAACAGGTAATCATTCGATTTCGGCGGACGCCGTTGAGCAGCATATGTACATTCGGGTTCAGTAACAGCTATATAAACGATACCAGCTTTTGAAGGATAAATGGAGGATATTGAAGGGTGCGAGTATGGACATATATGCTACATGGAAATCCATCGAGGCATTGGAATTACTGAAAGTGTATGGTTTGCAATATCAAAGTATATTAATCACCTTTAAAAAAGAACCTTCTATGGCTTAGACTGGGGTTTCACAGAGCCTTGGGGTTAGCGTCTCACATAGTAGACCTGATGAGAGCGTTGCACCGCTCGGCCAAATGGATTGTCAAGATATCGATCTAGCAGATAGTTCTGCTCTACAGGATTCTGATTTCTGCCAGGTTCTTTCTAGAGTAGACTTTTTCTTGCATGCTCCTAGTCGAAAGCACTTTGGTCGGTCGATACCTGGATACTCCTGATAAAGCTCCGGATGAATAATATACAAAAATTGAAGACTACTTGCACTGATGCTGCTACGATGGGCCGGAACTTGCGTACAGGTATCCCACAAGGCAGCTGAATGACAGTAAGACAAAATATTTTAAAATTGCTAGAATTTCCCATCCTAAAATCAATAACTCTGCTCACAGATTCAATCCTAAAATCATGATTTTTATACCTAGGTATTGCTATTGATTAATCACCAAGTGAACTTGTTGTCAACTTATAATCTAGCTGACCGAGGAGTGTATTTCCTGGATGCTAGAGTAGGTTACATACCAAGACAGTATATTTCGCGTGTATATAGCCTAACACAAGATCACAAAGAAGCTCCTACAGTCTAGGCGGAATTTCAAGCTCCTTGCTGTTGTGAAAGCAAATCGTGACCAGGGCTATCTTACGCGAGGGCAGAGGCTGTATCGGGATTTTGGGTAGCTGCAGTGGCACGAAAAAGGTGTTGTGAATAACGGCTGTCTACTAGCATGAGAGACATGACGAATCTTCTTACTGGTCTCCACTGAAGGGCCATCGTGAACTTTCGACAGCTACACAAGAAGCATAGACCCAGAGGGTTTCGTCGACAATTATGCAATCACCTATCCCAAAACCAGCGTTTGGCTACACCAATGAGTGTCCTACCGTCCAATCATCGAATAAATCACCTTTATATCAGCTTATCCCTTGACCCGGGCGAATCATATCACATCTTCACTTCATGTCAAACGCACTCCCTCTTACACCGCTGATTGCCCCTGGACCTAGCCCCCGCAAAGAATGTCGGGATGTATCCGCTCGTCAAAGGAGGCGAGGACCCGGGTTTCCACAAGATAACAGGTCAGCTTATACTCGCATAAATCAAGTTGCATGAGGTCATGCTCCAGCACTAAGCTGACGGACTAAACTGTCCAAAAGGTCCTAACAACCCTGTTTCCCGGCCACCTTTCTTTCAAACCGCAGCCTTGTATCTTCATATCCCTATCTCAAATCCAGCTCTCGCACTCGCTACTTGATCATCAAAATGTATTCGTCGGCCAAAAGTTTCCAGCTTGCTCAGAGGATCTTCATAATTGCCCCCGCCTTTACACTCTACGGATACAATCAGGCTGGGCTCTCTGCCCTCCTCACCCTCTCGGATGTGATCAGTCTCTTCCCACAAATCGACACGGTCAACACCCACGGAGCTCAAGAGACACAGAATTCCACCATCAAAGGGCTGATCAATGGAACTTTGATGTTAGGGGCCCTACTGGGGGCATTGTCATGCTCCATTATCGGCGATAAGCTCGGTCGGCGCAAGACTATCTTCGTTGGAGGCTGCTGTGCTGCGGTAGGTCAAATTCTTCAGTGCACGGCCTTCTCCTTGGCCCAGTTCACAGTGGGACGCATCATTCTGGGATTCGGGGTGGGCCAGTTGAGTGTCATTGTGCCAGTGTGGCAGGCTGAAAGTTCTTCTGCGGGGAAACGGGGGCGTCAAGTCATCACTTCAGGCATCTTCATCTGTGTGGGATTTTTCTTGTCCAGCTGGATCAACCTGGGATGTAGCAAGATTGCCTCACCCCCCCTTCAGTGGCGGATCCCGCTCGCCATCCCAGTGGTCTTCTCGCTAGTGATCTGCTTCTCTATCTTCACATTGCCGGAATCACCCCGCTGGCTGGTCCAGCGCGGACGGATCTCAGCCGCCACCGAAGCCCTCGCCGCGCTCAACGACATGCCCAGCGACCATGACCTGATTCGCCGCGAAGTCTCTCGGATTGACGCTTCTCTCACGACAGGTCCTACAATCTCCTTGCGGGATGTCTTCCGAAAGAACGACCCGCACCGACTCGGCTACCGCTTCGCCCTGTGCCTGGGTATCCAGACCCTACAGCAGCTGGTGGGCGGCAACATGATCTCGATCTACACAACAACCATTTTCCAAGACAATCTACATCTACAGGGCGACACTCCGGCCATTGTCGCTGCGAGCGCCTTGACCTGGAAGTTCCTGTGCTCTTTCCTCTCCTTCGCCGCGGTCGACCGGCTGGGTCGCCGCTGGATCCTGGTGACCAGCGGGACGGGAATGTGTCTTTGTATGATCGCCATGGCGGTGGCCACCAGCTTCCCGGCTTCCAACCATGCTGCCTCTGTCACGGCGGCTGTTTTCATCTTCCTCTTCAACATGGCGTATCCCATTGGCTTCCTGGGCGGCAACTTCCTCTATTGTACGGAGATAGCGCCCGCGCCCCTGCGTGCAGTCATGTCGTCCGTCTCGACCGCCAACCATTGGATGTGGAACTTCATCATCACGATGGTCACCCCCGTGGCACTGTCGACGATTGGTTGGCGGTACTACATTGTGTTTGCCTGCACCTGTGCATGTGTACCCGTGGTCGTGCTGCTCTTCTTCCCTGAGACGATGAACCGCGACTTGGAGCTGATCGACGGGGTGTTCCGGGAGGCGCCTACCATCTGGGAGATCGTGCCCATGGCCCGGCGGTTACCTCAGCAAGGTAGTCCATCGGCGCGGGTGGATAATGATCGAGAGAAGGCGGTTGAGGCAGAGGCGACGACTGAGGAGCAGCGGGAATTTGCTTGAGGTCTACAAAACCATAAGATGTAGATAGTCTAGGCCCCATTGGGGTATATCAGAAGAAGCTCGTGCGAGCTCATCGCGTCAACAGATTGAATCTATCTTACGATACTATTTCTTGGATGATCATTCACAGAACTCTATATTACTATCTATCCAGCCTAGCTCATGCATGGATACATACTATCACTACCAAATGTCCTACTTCTCCTCCTCGTCATTTCCAGCCAAAACCCCTTGCCAAAACCATTCCACCACCAAAACCGTGCCCGTCTCACTCTCAACCAGAAACAAAGTCTTCCCCTCGGGTCCCCCAAATGTCAAATTTGTCATCTTCTTCCCTACGCCCGCATCCCACCGAATCCGCCACCCCACCTCTCCATCCGGCCGATGCACGAACACCACCCCTAACGTTGAATGCACAACAAAGATATTCCCCGCCACATCCATTGCCATGCCATCCGGCCCACCAATCCCATAGTAGCTGGCAAACCGACCCACGCGCTGCACGCTCCCATCCGGATGGAAAGGGACGTACCAAACCCCGTTGTCGCGGGTCATGGCAACGAAGACGGCGGATTCATCGCGGCTCATCACCAGTCCGTTGGGAGAGGGGCCGATGCCCAGCACACACTCTAGCTTGACATGCTGCTGGTTTGCCTTGTGATTGCAATTTTCTGGTGGAAGATCGAACCGAAACACCCGACCCGTCGGATCATGCAAGCCCGTCATGCCTTGGTCGGTAAAGTAGACCGTGCCAGTGGAGGTGACCACTAGATCGTTGGGGCCCTTGAGCCTTTCGCCGTGAAAGCGCGTGACCAGTGGCGTTGGAGAGTCATTTGGGTCTGGATGTGCGGTCGGGTCGAAGGCAAGGATGCCTTGCTTGAAGTCGGCGATGAGGATGCGGTTCGTTGGATGGTGGTAGGCCAGGCCGTTTGGCTCGCCGTCGTAGGCGAGGACGAGTCTCCATTCCCGGGTTTTGACGTTGATCGAGAAAATCCGGCCGTAGGGGATGTCGACGACGAACAAGCGACCCAGCGAGTGGATGTAGAGGGGCCCTTCGAGGAAGGAGTCGAGCGGGTGGCCGCGCTTTTGGTGCAGACTATGCTCGGATTGCCCGCCGGGGCGGCGGTATTGCGTAGGGAGGTTTGTCCATTCGGTGGCCTGAATGGTGGTTGGTATGGTGGGTTGGGATTGGAGAGACATGGACGTGGTTGTGTTGATGTTTGGTAGCAACGCTAGTCAAATGATGTGCTCTCCTGTAGAGAGTTAATTCTGTGTACTGATCTTCTCTGTTCTTCTCGCTCTATCCCTTGGGGTACGCCTGCGTTGAAACGGGTCGTATCCGTGTCTCGTGGGACGCATCAACCCCATACCCGAGGGTGGACGGAGCATATCCGCATGGGTCGACAATCTCGACGGATGATTTCCGTTTCGACATGTGTTAATTAAGGTCATGATGCTCCCACCATCAAGGCAATCAGAAAACCGTACCTTAACCCCTCTTCCCCCTTAACCTCCCCTAGCCTCCATCAACGCCCGCCCCAGCAGATTCAACCACCACTTCTCCCGCCACAATCCCGCACACTCGCGCCCAAACCCCAACCCCCAGATTCAATCGCGGGGACTTGCCTCGACGATTTCTCGTGCCCCCGTGGCGGGTAAATGCCGGCAAGGTCGGGATTTTGGGTGAATTTGAGATAGGTCCCCTCCGCCACAGTCGCATACCGCTCCGCCTCCTAGACTGTCTCGTTGAAACCGGGGATCTGGCGACCCACGTCTCGTAGCTTGTTGGGTTTCATTTTCCAACCCGTTTGGAGTTTCTGGGTCAGAGGGTGGTCGGGGCCGACGAAGAGGAGGGCTTTACAGTGCATCATATAGCTATTTCTCTAGCCTTGGTTAGATGCGGGCTGGTGCAACGACTTGATTGTGATTGTTGAAAGGGGGCAAATAGGTCAACCTCACTGTTCTGTCTTCGCATAGGTGGATGTCTTGTCACCATTCTTCCAGACGAAGGATGCTGGATACCACTGGCCCAGGTATGCATTTTCATCTTCCAGACGCCAGAATAGATGGGGTCGTTGTTCTCTTGATCAGCTGAGGTCATGGTTAGCTTTGTGTGAGTACGTTTGCCATGGATATCTTGAATTCGATGTTGAGTACTCTGACAAAGTTCGTGTACGTTGTACTGTATAAGTACTCTGTTGTATTCTATGAGTCATATTGCAGGGCGAGCTTGGCTTGGGCGTGCGTTTCAAAACGAGAAATCGTCAGAGCACTCGCATTGATGGTTCATAGATGATGAATCGAGATAGCCTAGAATTACTGAGCGAATCTGCTGTTAAAACCTGTCAGAGAGGCCGACAAAACACAGGAGAATATTGATATGTTTGGGCCTCAATCTATGGCTTTGCTTCAACCCGGAGGCGATGATATAACAAGGTCGAAACTGAGCACTTTCTTGTCTTCAAGCCATCCCTTGCGTCTTTACCTTAAGTTCCTGATGGCTGAACCACTTCATGTTCTGATTCTTGACTTTCTTTTCGGATGGAAATAAGAACCAAGAAAGGGACTGTACTGCACTCCTACTATAGCTACAGTGACAATATTGCTGTCAGTAGGTAAATAAATGAACTATCCCAGATAGGTTAGAGGGAATCGGAGCGGGGAGCAAATCCAATAACGTCATCGACTCATTTCCGTCTTTCCTCACTTTCTTCTTTCTCTCTGGCGCCATTCTGTGACTGGGTATCTTCCTTTCCCTTCCATCGTTCGATGTGTCTAAGGACTGTGGCTCCTCCTGTCGATCACCAATGGTCTGATTGCTGGGGTTAGTTTATTTAAGCCCCATGTGAGCGCCGCCCACCCCGTCGCTCTTGAGCCGCGACCCGCATTCCGGCTTTCAGATTCCCGACAGCCATGAGCGACCACACAAGCGATATCTTGCAGCATACTTGCTGAGCTACGGCAAGAAACTCATCTTCTCCTATCCATACATACATTTGCAATGTCTTTTATCTTTGGACGACGACATTCCATCGCCTCCACCGCGCCGAACGAGGGAGACGCAGTCCCGCGGGGCAACGGTGGGCGAAGATCATCTGCTCCGGATATTTCGGATCATAGCCACGGTCTCCGTGCCAAAGGCGTGCTCCATGATATTTTCCACAAACACCACGGCTCTTCCAATTCTGATTCCCCGTCGAACCCTGGATCCCCGCGTCGGGTAAGGTTCCAGCTCGATTGTGCTCTAGATGAGGCTTATACGATCGGCGTGATTAACACTGCTGTAGACAGATAGTCCACCATCACAGACGTCGGAGAATGCCCCTGCAAGCTCTCACACCCGCCATGACAGTGGGGTACACGAGTCTTCGGCCGAAAATCCCCCAAACCCAGATCCCAAGCCTGGCCGTTCGCCGAAACCAGGCCACCATGCGCCATCGCCTCATAAACACCATCTGACGATGAAGGATGTGGAGGTCATCTTCTCAGGAGCCCCGTATTTCATGCTGGAGAAAGGAAAGCATGACCGCTGGTTCCCGCAGGTCATATTTCCATTCGACGATCACGATCTGGCCATTCAATGCTTCTGGGATAGGAGGCCTCTCCCCCATGCCTCATACACCTTATGCACTTTGCATGCGCACCTTCCGGTACCGGATGACTGGGTCATTGAGGGCGATGTCCCGGCCCATCTGGGCAACTGGAAACGAAGCGATGCGCCCAAGCGAGCCACATTCGACGTGGGAGTACAGGAAATCCCCAATATGCTGGCGATGCATGGGCGGGATCCAGGGACGGTCGGGTTCGGCTATTTCTTGGAGCTTCCCGTGGCCGACGCGGCCCGCTATCCGGGCCCGGGGGTGCCAAGGCCTTCGCCAGACTACTTACATTTATCGAGCCTGCCAGCGACCGAGTCGTTCGAGTTGTTGGAGCGTTACGGCCAGCCATACGCCCTTTGTTCGGATGGTACTGTCCACGATCGCAAGAGACTATTGCGCGAGGGGCCGAACTTTTGGAAGAAAATTGGTGTCCGTGACATTGATTTGCAGGTCTTAGTGCAGCGGTTGCAGACACTGAAGCATCTGCGCTACGAGATCCTCCATGGGGATCGACCGAAGACGATACTTGACATCGAAGGGACACGTGAGCTCTATAATGAATTGTTCACCAAATTCCTCTACCCGCCAGTGCGTTTTCTGCTTGCCGACATGGGCGATCCGCACAGCCTAAAGGTCCAGATCAAGGCTTTGACTGTCGTGCTGGCCACCCCCGGGGCATGGCTGGACTTCAGTCTCATCGACTGGCGACTGCACATTGGCCAGCTGCTCTGGGAGCAGTCACCGCACATGGACGGCGACTTCATCGACATTGCGGCGACGGATAAGCCATGGGTGCATACGACCCTCGAGCGCAAGTGGTTTCTGGTCCAGATGCTGCTTGCTGCCGAGCTCCTGCTGCGTTTAGACGCGACTGTCCGCGTCGGGATGCTCCAAGAATCGCAGGACATCAACATTTCGCTACGCGATATCTATGAGTTCGACCGGTTGCGAAACGGCAAGCTGAACTGGGATCTGGTCGTAGTACGGCGATTCATGGACAGATTCGATTTTGATTATCAGCTCGAGGATGGCAGCGCCGGTCCAGAGAACCACGAAGAAGCCGGTCATTCACATGAGAAGCATCATCATCGGTCATTCTTCTCGAGCATCACTCACCATTCGTCTTCGGCTACCCCTCACAATGAGTCAGCGTGGCGATGTCATCTGCTGCCCAATCATGTGATGCAGCAACTCAAAGGGCTTTTTGTCTTCGCCGACAACCTAGGCTGGCCGCGCTTGGACAATTTCAAGGAGACCCTCAGGTCAAAGATTGGTGGAGACCAAAACGGCCAAGTCATTAAGGAGGTCTTTACCAACCCGGAACTCAATACTATCCCGGCGGGGTACCAGATACCCGATTTGCGGAAAGCCATGTATAGCAGAAAATCTTCTCGACGTCTCTTGCTTCTACACCATATGGGTGATGACAGCAATCGTAATCACCTCGGCGGTTGGGCCACCAGAAGCTGGCTGTCCGGTTTTGTGATCCCTGGCTCCTCCATCAGCCACTTACTCATCAGTACCATCTTGGAAAATGATCCCGACGCCATGACCAAACTGGGGCCGGTTGTCAATCTTTACGGTGGCTTCACGTACGACGGGCGGAGCTGGTGGAGCAAAGAATGTATCGTTGGCAGAGTGGTGGCTTGTTTGGAAGGGACCAGAGTATGCTTGGCATGGCAAGCCAGCCCGATACTGCCCACAGACTCGGAGACCTCTCAGCCTCTGGTCGATACGTGGTTCGAGGTTGAAGCCAAAGACCCGCAGAACAGACCTGGAAAACCGAGGATTAAGCAGGGATCCAAGCTGGCCCTGGAATCTACACCCCTGGGTCCCGGAGACTTGACCAGCGGCGCCTTCAGCTTGCCCCTCGACGACCAAAGCGACTGCTCTGTGAAACTGAAAATCGCCTTCGAGGAGCTGACATTCCAGGTCAAGGCCCAGCAACCCCCGGCCGCTGAGCATCCGATCACAGTGGTCGAGCAGGCAACTGCGCGCTTTTCACTTTCCTCTGACACGGCGGCCCCCGCCACACAACTCTCGTTCCCATTGAAGTACAACGTACAGTTCATCTCCTCCCATGAATGTCGCCCGCCTGGCGGCATGATCACCAGTCCCCACGCTCAGAACGCCGCGAGCAGTAGTAGTGGGAGCAGTAACAATCAACCCAACGAGCGATCATCTTCCCCGTTCAGCGCCTCGTCGGACCGTCACCGTCACCACCGTCTCCCGGGCCACCCGCTGCATTGCCGCTACGCGTACCGCTGGGTCCACCTTCCCTCCCTGGCGGAGGAATTCTCGACGTCGGACCGCGTTCGATCGGCCTTCGACCTGGAGGAGACCATGATCCTGGACGCGCGCGGCTCCCGGGAGAAGGAGGCCTTCGCCCGCGCGTGGTGCTCCTCGGTGGGGTATCATGCCATAGTCGGTCGCGCGGGTCGGACGTGTCTCTCGTGCTGTATTCGGGAGGCGCGCGCATTACAAGTCAAGGTCGTCATCCGCACGGGCGATGGCCCTGTCACTCCGACTTCATCTGTGCATGTACTTTATGGGGGTGAATAGGTGTTAGCCTGGGCTAGTTTGTTAAAGCTGGTTCGAGGT